ATAATAGATTACTATAGGGTAAGCCTTTATTATTAATCTATAATATAGTTCTCTATATCTAGTTTCCTTATAGAAGATTACTATTAAGTCTTTAGTAATATATTTTTATAGTAGTAATTAATTAATATTTATAGCACACGTAATCTATACTACCCTATACACTACTTATCTCTCACTAGAACCCTAATAGGGCCACGGCTAGTAACGAAGTCCTAGAGGCCCTATTACACTATAGGAGGTCTCTAAGTAGGGAACCCCTAAATATATTAAAGATATTTAGTTTTTCCTAGGATTTTATAACTATTATAGGAAGTTTATTCTAGGATAGACTAGAATTATAAAACTACTTATAAGGTTAACTAAGAAGGAGGTCCCTTTTAAGTAAATAGATAAGTACTAATAAGTAATAAATTAGTTAAAGAGAGAATTTATAAGGGAACCTATTCTATAGATCTTTAACCTACGCTACCTAGTAATACTTAAAACTAATATATTAAATTTTACTATAGGAGTATATTTGCTCTAGTAAGATCTAAAAATAGATAAAAAACACCTATATAGCTATTATTCCTAAAAAATAAAGGCTATAGAACTTAACTATAATATCTATAATAAGGAAATATTAGTAATAGTTAAAGCCTTTAAAAAATAGAGAATATATCTCTAAGGAGCTAAATATTAAATACCTATATTCTTAGATTATAAAAACCTAATAAGATTTATAATTAATAAAGCCCTTACCCCTAGATAAGTAAAATAGGTATAAACTTTATTAATATATAACTTTAAGATTATATATACTAAAGGAATAGAAAACCTTAGGGCTAATACCCTAAGTAGATAACTAGACCTCTAAGAAAAAATAGAAGTATTAGGAGCTTTACTTAGGTATAATACTAATAGCACTATTATTTATAATACACTAAAGTTAGTAGTAATAATAGAGGTATAAACTAGCGTATAGCTTAACTAGATAAAAAAGAAAATTATAATTAATAAAGAAAGTATAAGTTATCTACTAGTAGGAATAATATATAAGAATAATATATATAGAGTCTTTAATAGAATCTATATTCTAGTAAAAATCTAGAGGAATTTATATAATAATTCTATAAGGTGCTAGTATATAGCTACTAAGAAATTAAATAAATACTAAAATAATTAATAAGGGATTACTACTTCCCTTAAGCCTAGTAGATAGTTATAGAGGTCCTTAGGGATTATATAGACTACTATAGGAATAAACTAAATAGGTATATACTATATAGGTAATTATAACCTATAGAAGTACTAAATAGACTATAGGGAGTTATTATAATAGACTTTATAATAGAATTACTAAAGTCTAAGGACCTAGATAACAAAGTTAAATATAATAGAGTAATAGTTATTATTAATAAAATAACTAAGTACGCTTACTTCTTACTATATAAGAAAGTTAGTAAAGTAGAATATATAGTGTTCTAGTTTACCTCTATAGTAATAGCATAGTATAGTGCCCCTAATAAGATTATTACTAATAGAGATATACGCTTTATATCTAAGTTCTAGTAGATAGTATTCGCCCTTATAGGTATTAAATATAGTATATCTATAGTATACTATCTATAAATAGATAGCTAGACTAAAAGAATAAACTAGATAGTAGAATAGTTCCTTAGGTATTACCTAAACTACTAATAAAATAACTAAGTAGGGTTACTCCCTATAGTATAGTTAGCCTATAATAGCTTATAATATAGTGCTACTAGAGTCTTACTATTCTTTATAAACTATAGATTTAACCTAGTAGCTTATTAAGTGCCTAGGATAATAAGATCCTAGAGCGTAGATAGAGAAGATTAGGTAAAGGAAATTATATAAATCTATACCTAACTCTAGTAAGATACTATATTCCTATAAAGAAAGATAGGTAAATACTATAATTTTAAGTATAAGCCTACGCCTATACTAGAGAAGAGAGAGAAAGTCTAGCTACTATAAAAAAATATTACTAGTAAATAACTATTAAATAAACTAGACTATCTAAAAATTAGACTATATAAAGTCCTTAAGTAGATTACCCTAGTTTTATTTAAACTATAACTCCTAAATAATATAAAAATATACCTAGTATTCTACGTAGCCTTACTAAAAAAGGCACTATAAAACGTAGAACCTATAGTTTATAAAGTAAATATATATAGAGAATAGTAAGAAGAATAGAAAGTAGTAAGTATTAATAAATACTAACTAGTAAATAGTTAGAATTACTATAAGGTTAAATAGCTAGAACGCGATAAAAAGAGAAACCTATAGGATAATATCTAGAAACTAGAAAGTAATCTTAACTACCCTAAGAAGTTAGAAGAATTTTAGTTAAACTAATCTCTTAAAGAAAGCCTAGAGATATTAAACTAAGAATTAAACTACCTTATAGTAAATTATAAAGAATACTACTATTAGAGAAGGTATAAGTAGTATTTTAAAAGACTACTTTACCCTCCTTAGAACTATTCTATAGACTAGTGGCTTTTAGCTCTACTTTTTTCTAATCTAGTTTAGCCTTAAGGAATACTAACTAATAATTCTTCTACTTATTAAGAAGCTCCTTTTATTTCTATAACTATAACACCTTTACCTAGGTAGTAGTAAGGGTATCTAGAATCTCTTTCTAGGCCTTCTTAGCCTTAATAAGTTTAGCTTAAATTTTAGCTTAGGAATAACTAGTGTTACGTACTATAAATAGTTAATATAGATAGAATAATAGTAGTAGATAATATACTCTTAGCTACTAAAATACTATTAATATTATAAGAACTATAAATATTTAAATAGATATAAGCTTTATAAGTAGGACACCTAGGTATATTATATAGAGAAAACTTATATAAAATTTTTAACTAATTATAGTAAGAGTAAGGTATAGTAAGAAATCTATAATAACTAATTTTATTAGTAAGTATAAGTTATTTATTAGTTTTATAAGAAGGTATAGAGGGTAATAATAACCTAACTTATAATAGGGCTTATCTTACTAATATAGCACTACCCCTATAATAGATTAATTTTTAGGCTAAAAACTTAGAAGGGGGAGATAGTATTATAGCTACTATACTATAATAAAACTATAGGAATTATATTAATAATAGTAGTAACTAATTAGATTATATAGGGGAAGAATATAATTATAGATTAGATACTAAGTATAATATAGGTATATAAGGAAGTTATATAATTAGATCTATAGATTTATAGAATAGAGCTATAGAGCCTAGATCTATAGGATTTATAGGTAGAGCCTATAGAGCCATTATTAGATAGTAGTATATAGAGATAATAGATTATTATAGGGTAAGCCTTTATTATTAATCTATAATATAGTTCTCTATATCTAGTTTTCTTATAGGAAATTACTATTAAGTCTTTAGTAATATATTCTTATAAGTAGTAATTAATTAATATTTATACTATATATAATCTATACTACCCTATACGCTACTTATCTCTTACTAGAACCCTAATAGGGCCATAGCTAGTAATATAGTCCTAGAGGCCCCGTTACACCTTAGAAGCTTAATAGGGGTAACTAAGCTTATTAAACCTTAGAAGCTTAATAGGGGTAACTAAGCTTATATTAAAGTATAAAAACCTAAGCTAGAATATAGATAGAAACCTTATTAATCTATAAAAGTTCTATTCTAGCTATTTTAGCTTACTAAGTACCTAGCCCCTTATAGTTTTAATCTATTATTTAGATTTACCTAGGCCTCCCTTATTAACTTATTATATTTTATAAGATACTTTTATATTAATAAAACCCCTTTCTCCTTCCTCTATAAGTCTTACCTAAGAACTAATCTTAACCTATTTAGGATTAGCTACCCTTTCTAGATTTAATAAATAAGTACCTATAGTTAGGCCTATATTTAGGGTAAAGCATCTATTAGAAGAACTACTATATTAGTAAGCTTATACCTAGCTAATAGAACTCTTCTATAAAAATAGATATAATAAGCTAAAACACTATAATTCTCCTCTAGAGACCGAGTTTACAAAAGTACTATAAAAGAGGCCGTTTTTTAGATTCTAGAAAGTAGAAAACTATTCTTAAGTACTCTAATTTTATTTTCCGGCACTTAGATTTTTGAACCCTTATGTACCTCAATAGTTATTCAAAACGGGCTTGTGGTTTAGTGGTATAATTTTCCCTTAGCATGGGAAAGGTCCTGGATTCGATTCCCAGCAAGTCCACGTCTTTTTTGCGTGCGTTTAGGCATGGTTTTGTGTGTTTTTGACAGCGGTGCGTGGGCTGTAGATGCCAGTGTCGAATATTTTGCCTCTGAGCGTGATCTCAGGATTTTTTCTATAGAAGACGCCTGGAAGACGCCCATGGAAGCTTGGGGGGACTTCCCGCGAGGTCAGGGAGATGTGTGGTGCTCCAGCTCCAGGGCTGGTCTTAACTCACGGGCGTGCATCTTAGTTATGCCCGTCTTCAAGTCATCTCGATGTGGACTTTTTATTTCAGCGACATGACACGATATTTAAGTATTGAATGTAATTCATTAGCTATAGAAGTTGCAGTGCAGCAGCCGTACCGGCTCCGTCGATCTAGCTCAGATGCCCTCCCTTGGTATGTCCCGGGTGTTATGACTACACCCTCCTTCCACTGTTGTAAACGCCGTTGAACTCCTCGAGTGCGAGTTGTACTCGCGGAGGCAGTGCATGCTGACCTCCATTAATTTTCCTTTCCATCGCAGGGCTGCCTGCGGCGTTAATATGCGAAGTGCATCAAAGCACGGTTTCCTTGCGCTTAAAGGCCCGGCAAGCGACTTCGACCATGCGTTCAGGATCCTGATGAATCATGCTCTCGCTCCAAGCTGCGTCCGGGAGATACAGCGCCGGGTGGTAGGTGCGGAGCAGATCTAATTGAAAGGGCCCCATCTCTTCAAAGGGGAGTCTTCGACGTCACCACCATGCATTCACATCCCTGCACTGCTTGGATTTGGCCGCTCAACCTTTCAACCGTATTGATAACCCGTCGGCCCGGCACTCATAGGCCCCATATCGACCGGCTGCTGTAACGGCTGTGGTATCTGTGGTATCTGCGGAATGTGACTCGTCGGGTCTTGCGAAAAGTCGAAGCTGGCCGCCCAATCGTAGTCCGGGAACTGATCCAACGTCGGCGGAAACATGTACGCCTCCCCCTCCCAACCACCATCGAAGCTCATCGGCGCCGACTGCGGGCCCATCGTATGCGGCGGCAGTCCATGAGGATCTAACTTGATGGGCTGCGGCGCCACCGTCGCGGTAAGCGACTGCGAGATCCCTGGTGCTGTTGTCTGAGTCATTTCCCTTTCGTAGTCTTGCACGCCCGATTGCGTCAGCATAGTGTTGAACGTGGGCGAAACAGGATGGGGGAGCTTACCTGGAGTCGTCGGTTGTGTCTGGGCGTTTGCGGGGAGACCTTCTTCGCCGTTGTAGGGGTTGTACATGTGGCCGAATTCCTCGCGCCAGTACCAGAACATGTCGAAGGAGACGCTCATGCTTAGCCTTGTTCGTAATCGTATCCCGAGGCTTTCTATGCTTCCGTCTCTTCTCCTAAAGACCCTGCTGCTTTGCCAGAGATCCCGTAAGATTTGGCAGCATCGTTCGCCCAAATCGCCATTCTGCAAAGAAGTGGCTTTGCTGAATTGCGCAGCATTGTAGTACGCTTGTTCACCAGCAACAAGGTCCAAGTGTTGATGCAGGTGAGAGCGCGTGAGTTTCAAAATGACAAAACCGGCCAGCGTGACCGTTCGGTCGATGAAGGATTGCGAAATGAACGCGAAATTTGCTTGCTGGGTCATGGCGTGTGCGGTCTGTAAGGTGGAAATACATAGAGAGTAAAGGCGGCTCAACGATTCCGCATCCGGTCCGGGATTAATGGGATGCGCGAAGAAATGGAAGGCCAAAACGTGGATACGGGCGCAATTCAGTTGGAAGGAGTCTATCCAATCAGCAAACAGTCATTGCGTCAGCAAAGGCAACACCACTTACCCAATTCGCTTGGTGATGAAGCTCCCAAGCTCAAAAGTTGCGAGTCGAATATGGTGACCAATGAACGCAGATTCCTAGCATCGCAGTTGACTGTTTTGATATCCGTCCTCGCCATTGCTGCCATGGCCTTGTGTAATATAATGTGCAGTTTATGATTGAACTGCAAATCGGCTGGAAGGAAGGTAAGTAGATCCTCTCGGTCCTTCTCGTCCCCGTCATAGAACGATTCTGCGATAACAAGCGGTGGAATTCCCTCCGCACAGCTCGTCCGAATTGAGACGATGACACACTGCATCCACAGTCTCGCGCGGAGAATCTTCTGTTCCTGGTCTGTTTTCAATGGAGTCCGCGCAAAATCTTGGCCGACTCCTGTCACATGCAACCCGATCTGTGTAGCTAGGTGCACTGCGGCGCCGCACAAAACATGCGTCATGTCCTTGTACATAGAATTGGTAGGTAACCGCCATGTGCAGAGGATGACGAGACCCTGGATGACCGATATCGGCGTCGCACGAAGTGCCATAGAAGAGAATGCAAGTGGCGTTATGAGCTGGCTGACTCTGTCGAGGATGCTTCGATCTTCGAGGTAATGCCGCGATCCTGTGACCACTATACACCAAAAGAGGAAGGGGGAGAGTTCGTAGTAGCCGTTCGCGCTATTCGGGCTGAGTGACGATTCCAGAATTGGGAGCAGCGGATGATACTGCGTGAAGAATAGCGCAAAGCAATCATCAATCTTTCGCGCATCAACCACAAAGCCATCCAATGCTCTTGAAATCGTCGGTCCGGCTGCGATTCCTTTGCTATCTTTCCCAGAATTTGGTACATTTTCTAATGCTGGGCTCATACTTGCATCGGTCCCGGGAGCGCTGGGATTGGAAAAGCTTCCATTTGCCGGATCGTGAGGACTTCTGAAAGAGCTTGCATCGCCCAAGCTCCCCGGAGTAGAAAGCGGATCACCGTGGCCTTGGCGCATGTTCCATTTCAGCTCTTCAAGTTCGCGGCGCATCTCCGCCTTTGTCTGCCGTAGGTTGCGGGTCGACGTGGGCAGGATGCGACATTCCAAGTTCATCTTTTTTGCAGCGACTACATGGCTCATGCGGAGTCTTGTGCTGCTCGACATCGCAGCGAATCTGAAGAGCATCAATACACGTATTCCCGTGATGTTCCCGTGATGTTCGGCGCTACTGACCTTCTGCTGGCGGCACTCTACGCAAGCCTTACGTCTCGGCTGCGTCGTCATGCTGAAAAATGCCCGGACCTACATGTACACCTCTTGCGCTTCGCGGTTGAGATTGAGGATGCGTAGGAGAATGCGATGGCAATGACTATACGTGAGTTACGATGCGTGGGGCGAAAAAGAAGACCGTTGAGCAGTTCTAGTTTTATTTACGCCATCATTCGGTCTTGGACCGGTGGAGCTCGGATAGCGGGGAGAGGCGCCCCGAGGAAGGACCGAGAGGGCGCGGGGCGTGATGGCTTCCCACGTTGTAGATATCCTTTGTGAGGGTCGCCGCCGTCTTATGAGAAAATTGGAGAGGAGCGCCTGTGTCATAGGGCTGTTCTTTTTCGGTCCATGGTGAGGCGTGGTGCCGCTCGGAGGACAGGCGTATCCTGGAGATCTGCACCGTCATTTTGACAATGCTAGGCCGCGCACGGTATAGCCTGCTTCAATGTCTTCGACAACGCAGGGTCAAGCTCGGGATACCTGCTGCCAGCGCTGCTGCAGAGCTTCAGTCCGGTGAGGCTCCTCAGGCGTTCTCTGTCGAAGCCCCTGTTGTCGCATCGTGGGCGCAGACGCAGAGCACAACTTTGTACAGTGCTGATGCACGACCTCCTATCTTGATGCAATCCGATCTACAACGCGTCTCTAGTCTAGCATTAGCACTGTATACGTAAACAGGCCTCGGCAGATGTCGATTGAGCCACAGAGCGTTCGTACGAGCTTACTTATTCTGTATAAATTTGTTGAGCCCCATTTCGTAGAACAAAGACGAAGACTCACGATCTTACAAATTCTCCATCAGCTTTCAAGTCTCGACTCCAAAAGTGCTACGCAAAGTATTGTGCCAAGTGGTAAGTGCGCATGCAAAGCTTGTTGGTGTTCTGAATAATGTGTCCTGTTGTTTTTCGACCCACGGTACGTCGTCAATAATGCCGCGCCCGCCAAGGGTGACGCAGGGATCACTACATGTCGACGGCAGCTTACAAAAGAAGAGGAGAAATTTTCTGCCGTGATCCATCTTCGATTGAATACGAATACAACCAAGTAAAACTTTGCTGTTTCAATCATGGCGTAATAGGCAGTTGAACCACAGTCGCAAGGATGTGCACACCAAATCGACATTGACTCGTAACGCATCGACCGCAGCAGCAGCCTCAGCATCCAAAGCACCTTCCATTTAGGCTCCACGCGTCTACCTTACTTCTAATATGCGACGCATCTACTAGGATATCATAAGATCAAGCGCTCGCTGAAACGTCCAATATTCACATCCAGCCTTTCATCGACTACATCCCTGCATGCAACCAACATCCACAACCCTCTACCCTATCTAAAGGGGAGGCAAATAAATATAACGATAGACGAAGAAGTGTGTGCGCAAAAGAGAATCAACTGAAACCACCGGGACCGGCCCAAGCAGCAGTAGCGAGAGAGAAGTCCCAGAAGCGCCAACGCCGAGGATTCCCCCTTACCAGCCCCACTCTTATAGGAAAGGCAGCACCATGCCCTTCCTGATGGGACTCGCTCTGCCGCCGGACTGCGATCCCTCAGTCGAGTAGCTAGAATCGTGATCGGCTTCGTCGTTATCAAAGTCAATATCGAAGCCGTTGTCCTGCTCCTCGCCGTCTTTCTCTTCCGCATCGCCGTCCCACGCTTTTTGCTGGGCGCCGCGGTTGTTCCATCGCAGAGTACGAGAGATGGAGTCGAACCATTCTGTGGGTTGCGACAGCACTGTGGGGAAAGGATACTGTGAGGCGGCGATAGTGACATGGTCGCCCTGGCGGAGCTCCACACGACCCTTGCCATCGAACGCGCAGTAGGCGGTAGCACGGGAGTTGCGGGGCACTGCAATGCGCAAGAGCATGCTGTCGTTCAACAGCATAGGCCTGAAGCTCAGAGTATGCGGGCAGATAGGTGTAAGCAAAATAGCGGGAATATCTGGATGCACGAGGGAGCCACCTGCGGATAAAGAGTAGGCAGTCGATCCAGTCGGGGTTGAGAAAATGCACCCGTCCGCTTGGACGACAGTGAGGAGGTTATTGTCGCCATAGAGTTCCAGGTTGGAGACGTAAGGCGATGGGCCGCGATCAATGACAAGCTCGTTCAGCACCTCGAACTGCTCAGCTTCGATGTGCTGCGATGCCCCTGGCGCAGGGTTCTTCTGGTAGCGGTATACGGTGCATGTAAAGCGCATGCGGAGGTTGACACGCATACCTGCATCGCCTAGAATCTTGCTGAGAGCCTCCTTGTACTGGTCGAATTCGAAATTGGTAAGGAATCCAAGGCTACCAAGAGAGAAGGAAAGAATCGGCGGCACAATGCGCTGGAAGAGCCATGACGTGAAGAGGACGGTACCGTCTCCACCAAGTGTCAACACAAGGTCAAACTTCTCGGGGGATTCCCAGCAAAGGTCAGGCGTCCAGAAGCGGAGCATGTTCTCGAAGCGAGCATCTTTCGCCAAGAGGGAAGGCATGTCGAAACGCTTCGACTTGCGAAGCTTGTGGTCTACATAGACGTTTACCCCGACGTCTGAGCCGTGGCGCGGAGTGCACAGAAGCCACTCAGCTAGCTCTCGCGTGAGATGGACCAGCTGGTTGTCACGCGCCTTAGTGACGATCATCACATTGCGGATGGTCATCTTGATCGGGCGGCGTTGGAGCTGCTTTGAGACCTCGCGTACACTCGTCGCAGTTTGCATCAGGCGGGAGTGCGAGATGCTCGCATCGTCGGCCATCTCATCCAGTACCTTGTCGAGGTTGACGGCCTTGTCAAACTTCTTGTGGAAGAAGCAAGGTGAGGCTAGCGCAGCCATCTTGCTGGATAGTTCAGCTGAATGCAAGTCGAGTTCCGAAAGGGCCTCAGCGAGGCGATGCTGTGCCATTTCGGAGGAGTGCGTCTTCAGCGGTTCGTCCTTTGAACCTCCCATCACGAGCCCATCCATGGAGGCTGCGTTGGGATCCTGTGACGTAGGTGGGGGTCGCGACTGGAGCGCCTTGAGGATGGTCTGGCGTGGGATTGAGTCGATAGAGTAGGCGTTCTTGCGATGCTTGCTCTTGCGTTGCTCGCGATGCTCACGGAACGATTTTTTGGGAAGTGTGGTGAGATTCTCGATTGAAGACGCGGTGCTTATGGAAGCTTGCGGATCGGTCCGTGTCGGCTCGTCCGTGGTATCACCAGGATTGCGAGTGGAGGCTTGGGCAGGCGCACTGCCGCTTTGATCCACGGATGCTACCGAGTGTGCATTATCGGTGTTGTGATGGTGTGCGTGGCTGTCCGGAGTCTGGTGCTGTGGAGGTTGCGGAGAATGGGGGAGCGGCACATTTAATGCTGCGTCGACGGAATTAAGGCCGGAGAAGGTAGTGCCATGTGGGGACAGAAGCGGATGTATCTTTGACGGCGAGAACGGCTCCCCGAGATGTGATTGCGACATGGTGCGGGCGGCTGATTATTATTTCTGACTTCGCGCTAAACGCCGGAATATTGATGCGATAGGCCGACGGGTCGAGCCGGGGATGCCGGAGGCTGGTCAGAGTGTGAGGTATTAGAACGGCGGATGTCGCAACTATGTACAATAGCCGTACCAACGTAACCAGACGTCGCGCCGAGAAATTAAATGCACCGGGCAATTGAAGCGTTGAGACTGAGTGAAAGATCGCGATGACAGTGGCTACTGCATTGACGGGATGTGAAGTTGCTCGATCAAGGTGAAGGGCTGCCGAGGGTGTAACAACGCCGGAGGCTGGTGGCTCTGGTCAACCGCGGGTGACAAGACGTGTACAACAGAACGAAGAGCCCGGCTCAACCTAACGCAGCAACGAAGAAGAAGACGAAAAGAAGCAAGGGAATGCGACGAATAGACACGACCGCAGGCCGCGCCAAAGAACAAGAGGCGGAGAAGGTTGGCGAATGTGGCTCTCAGATTATGGCACTAGGCACGACGCAGCTCCCTATATTCACTTTTGACAGCTCCCGACGTCAACTTCATCGGTACGGAGGAGCCACAGAGGGTCTACGCGCCAGCTTCAAACCAGAGTAGCGAAACCCCGTGGCGGCTAGCCAGCTGCGAACTGTTGATACACTTGGGGTATCACGGTCGTGGGACTCTTCCCGATGCGCCTCAACCGCCGACCTCAAGCATCGCGCCCACTGACAAGCCTCTACACTGACCTAGAAGCGCACAACGCGCAAGACCGAGATCCTCCTGCCATGCCTGTTTCCTCAGGCACTGACTCCCGTACGCTCTAGGCTTCTCACCGCTGCAGCTCCCCCGCAGCTTCGGACCTCTGCTGTTGACCTTCGCTTACATTCTCCGGAACGTCCAAGCAGCTCTACGCTTTGTGTTTTCGATAAAGTCAATATCGTCAAAACCTACTCCCATGACTTGAAAATGCATGCGAATTGAGCCTCAGTAGCTGCAGCGAGCTGCTTCTTGCATGTGAGGCTCGCCGGCTGCATTCGCAGCGAGGGCGAATAGGAGGAGCGTCCAGACGAAACGGGCCAGGGTGGGCCTGTATGTTTGAGGTTGTCTCGACACCCACTCATTTGCCCAGGGCTTCCTTATCCGCACAGCAAGCGAGCACTTGCAACAATCGCCCTCCCTGCCGCTCTGCAACCCGCAACAAAGCCGTCAGCGGAAACCATGCTGCATTTGGGGGCTGCCGTTTGATCCGGATCCTACGAAAATCAAACACCTCAAAACCGTGTGGCACAACACTAGGCCCAGAAGCAAACAGGTGCGGCACTGCACGTGCAACAACTCGTATGCGCAAAAGCGCCTGCTTGCGTAGTCCTTGCCATGAGATGCTTGTGTGCGGTTGTCGGTGAAGATCTCTACCATTCACACTGCTGGAACTCTGCCAAGTCGGCTTGACGCCACAGTTAGAACCTCAGGTTTACTCCCTTAATGGCGCATCTGAGGGATATCCAGTTTTCCCCTCCCGGTACATTATCGCGGCTGTCATGATCGAGATTTGAGACGAACAGCTCCAATCAACCACTGCACCAGTAAGCCTCGTGGCCGCGGACCGTGCAAGCTGTCTTGATTGTCATTCACCCCGGTGTCTCATCGTTTCGTGAGGAACCTCCCGCCCACGGTCTGTGAGGTAACTCGCATAAACCCGTTTGTTCAAATCCCTTCCACATGTTAACGCGTATCCACACTGTATCGGAAAAGTCGGAGGCTCCGTGAGAATGCATCGCAATGCGAATGTGAAAGCGCAAGGAGAAATGCAAACAGGAATTCAATAAAGATCGTAGTAGTGCACGCTTTTGATTCGTTAAATACATGTCGAAGCATCGTGATAGCTTCGGCGGCTACAGGGCCACGGCAAATAACCGCCAGGAGGCAGCCCTTGTAGAACTGTTTAGTTTTCATTCATATGCCCATAACATTCCTGGTATCTATTGGTGAAGCTGTGAAGGTGTGAAGAATAATTTGTGAGGCAGGAAGCGCTTAAGCAGCCTCCTACCGAAGAGCCTTGCGAGCGAAAGTGGGTAGAACGAATGCTGCCTCGTGAATCTCCTTGCTGTAGTACTTGCACAGCTTCTCCTCTTCCTCAGGGGCCCAAGAGCGGAGGGGCTTCTTGAGGTCGCGGTTGGCGTCCTTGGAGCAGACCATGAAGCCGATCTGGCCAGACGGGTAGGTGGGGATCGTGGTGTAGCCGTACTCGACGTTGGGGAAGACCTCCTTGCAGCCCTTCTTGAGGTTCACAATGAGAGGCATGTGGAGCCACTGGTTCTCGGCTATTGAAAGGGGTATGGTCAGCTAAGGTCTCGCATCGCATTGAAGGGACTGCAGCGATCATCATCGTGCTTGGGGAGGAAGGGGCTCACAACCTTGAGTGGTGATGACACCGCCTTCCCGAAGCGCGCCGTTGAGCAGCTCAAAGTACGGCTTCTGGAAGAGGGCCTCGGCGGGACCTTCTGGGTCACTGGAATCGGTGATAATAACGTCGAACTCGCCCTTCTTGTCCTCAAGGTACTTGAAGCCGTCGCCGACGATAGCCTCAACCTTGGGGTGGTTGAAGCCAACCGACATGCCGGGGAGGTACTTCTTAGACAGACGAATGACAGCCTCGTCGATGTCGCAGAGCACAGCCTTCTCGACGCAGTCGTGCTTGACGACTTCACGGAGCACACCACCGTCGCCTCCACCAATAACGAGAACACGCTTGGGGTCGGGGTGCGCGTTCATGGCAAGGTGGGTAATCATCTCCTGGTATCTGCCCCAATCAGCCTCCATCCCGGATGTCCAACTGCAGACCAACGTACGAGAACTCATCACGCTCGGTGCACTGGATGACATTGTCAAGGACCAAGACGGTGCCGTAGTCGGTCGATTCGAAGATGAGGACGTCCTGGTACTTGCTCTTCTCGTGGTGAAGCACCTCCTTGACCTTGAGGGTCATGGCCTGGCCGGGCCACATGTCGGAGATCTCGCGGAACCAGCCATCTGAGCGACTGAGTCAGCATGCGATTGGAGCAAATTATTGGAAATGCAAGTCGTTGAGAGGTTTGTAGGTTTGTCTCTTACCCTTGATAGTGGGGTGTACGATCTCAGACATCTTGAGGTTTGCGGAAGTGTGGAAGGTGTTGAAGCGGAAACTCGAAAGGGGACGGAATTGGCTGTTGTAGATACTAGAGGCTAGGGCGCGTCTAGGTTTTATAGCAAACTTGGGTGCGGTGTGGAGTGAGAGCTTTCGGATTGCTTGGGCTGCCATCCCATTTTTTTTCACGCGCCCGCATTACGTCTGCCCGCGCCCCGCCATTGAGCTGTGAGGACAAACATGACTAGTCCACATCCGGCAGGAACACGAGCGCTGGACATGCTCGTTCGGCCCGCAACGCAGATTGCACACACTGCATGAGCATCTTTGGTAGAGGGTCGTGAAGGTCGTGAAGGGGCAAGTGTCAGAAAATACGCCTGCTCGGTGTCGGAGTTATCGGCGCCTCGTGTATTTTATCTCAATACCAGGGCGCTCCTGCTGGTGCAGCGATGCTCCAATAGCAGCGCGAGCATGGGAGTTTAGCGTAGATGCCTGGCACCTTTACCACCAGCATGCATCAAGCTCATCGCATCGTTGCCCTGTTCGATACCGTGCGAGCTTTATTGACATACGTATTCAAGCAGATTGGTGCCCTCCATATACAGTATAAATATCTGAGCATTGTTCCTTTCCCTCATGTACTCGCCTTCAACTACAAGCTGACATCCTTAGCATCCTGAAATCATTGTCGACCTCTTCAGTCTCTTTCTCATTCACACGCCGATTATCGGTCTTTTCATCACTGACAACTCACCATGTCTTTATCCAAGACGCCTGATCTGTCAGTCGCTGCCAATCTCCTCAAAGGCTCACCGTGGGAGAACTTACCATTGGAGTATGTAATCTTGATCTGCTTGGAGGACTTGTACTAACATGCATCTCAACACTAGAAAGCTACCTTGGTACTCACCTGAGATACAGGAGATAACGCCTCAGGCCCAGGAGCTATTCGAAAAGTACTCCAACGTGGAGCCCGAGAAAGTCAAGGCGCACATCAAGGAGCTGGTAAGGCCATATCTACCACCGCCATATCCCTCTAGCTGACCAGTAGCAGAGAGACAAAGCATATGTCGTGGTAGGTGCATCTAGGCTTCGAGTTTTCCAACAAATTGACAAAAACAGTTTCCTTACCCATGCCTTGCCCGTTGGGCCTTTCTCGAACTCAGTGTCAGTCTCTCTCGACAGTACGGCGAGGTCCTCGAACGTGTAAAGAACGGAGACAAATGTAAGTGGAGCGTTGCGCATCCGGTTCGACTATACTTCGGTGCTAATCAATCTCTAGATCTCGATCTCGGATGCTGCGTTGGCCAGGACATCCGCAAATTAGTCTTTGATGGCGCCCCATCTGAGAACACGTACGGCTCAGACCTTGAGAAGAACTTCATGGAAATCGGCTACGATCTCTTTCTCGATAAGTCGACCTTGAAGACTACCTTCATTGCCGCAGACATCTTCGACGAAGATTCCGAACTGAAGCAGATCGCCGGCGATATCGATATCATCCACGCGGCATCGTTCTTGCACCTCTTTGACGAGGAAGGGCAACACAAGTCCTGCAAGCGTATTGTCAAGCTGCTTAAGGATGAGGAGGGGTCCCTGTTCATTGGACGACAAATTGGGAACGTGGAGGCCGGAATTCATGTTGGCTCGATTGACTCGAGCAAGAAAAGGTTCAGGCACAACCCGCTGACTTTCGAAGAGCTGTGGAAGAAGGTTGGAGAGGAGACTGGTACGAAGTGGAAGGTCGATGCGTATCTTGAAGACCAGAATCTTCATGCCTTAGCGGAGAAGATGGGCTTGGAGTCCGCAACCATCCCTCCAGGCTCAAAGTGGCTGAGCTTCGCGGTACGTAGGGAGGCATGAGTGTATGTTGCTTGCCAGGCTGCGGCATGATACAAGGGTTTCAAATTGTAGAATTGAACAATTTCCTGCAGTACGAAGCAAATTGGTTACGTAGATGCTGATTGTAGCTTGTGGTGCCCCAAATCCACGGAAGAACTGGTGTCTCTCGACGTGGGACATGATAAGTCGTACGAGTGACTTACACTCTCGTTTCACGGCAATGGAAATAATCTAAACAAATTGCAATGGAAATCAAGATAATGTGAGAGTTTTTAAATGATGCGTGCAAAGGTCGGAGCTTGAGCTTCATGTGTCGACCAATGATAAGCAATGCTGGCCGATCGCAGTTGCCAAGGCCACTTCGTGGCTTCAACGCCATAGTTCTAGGACACCCCGACATCCCCGCAACAACAACACGTACACAATTTCCCCTCTTACACATTACTCAACCGCCCACAATGGATCCGTACTCGCACGAAGGAGGTACTTGCATCTGCCAAATTCCGCGCGACATACGCCCCACTAACAGCCACCAGAACTCTTGAACATCCACACAGCCTTCCACGCCGGAGCCCACCAACAGGTCCTCGACTTCGACACGTCTGGCTTCTCCTCCGAAAACGCGCTTCCCGTCCGTGTTCTCCAGCTTCGCTCACAGATCGCCCTTGGCCAAGCTAAAGAGGTCGCTTCTTCCCTGGCCAAGGAAAGCACACCCGACCTCGTAGCTGTACGGTTACTCGCTGAATACAGTACCGGCAAGGATGTGTTGGTAGACGTGAAGAAGCTGGCTGAAAAGGAGGGTCAAGAGAACCTGACCGTGCAATTGGTGGCAGGAATCATATTAGAACGGTCTGGGGAGACGGAAGAGGCATTGGATGTGTTGAGCAAGCACCAGGGAAGCTTAGACGCGTATGTTAAGAACTATCTCCGGAACTCATGAATGTACGCTGACATGATTTGGGATATAGTGTTGCGTTGATCGTTCAGATACACCTCCAGCAGAACCGAATGGACCTCGCCTTGAAGGAAGCCCAGCGCGCACGGAAGTGGGCACAAGACAGCCTCTTGGTCAACCTTGCTGAATCATGGGTGGGGTTGCGTGAGGTATGCGACTTCTAGTCACGCATCAAGACAACCACTGACTCTTGCTTTAGGGCGGTGAGAAGTATCAGTCGGCGTTCTACGTCTTCGAAGAGCTCGCACAGACATCGCAATCGCAATCGCCACACTCCCTCGTCGCACAAGCAGTCTCGGAACTACATCTCGGCCGTCTACCCGAAGCTGAAGCCGCGCTGCAACAGGCAGTGCAACTCGACCCCAAAAATGCGGACACGCTTGCGAACCTCATCGTGCTGAATACGCTGTTGGGCAAGAAGGAGGAGGTTGCACAACTGAAGGGGCAACTTGCGGGTATTGACAGCGAGCACAAAGTCTTGACAGAATGGGCGGAGAAGAAGCAGGCGTTTGATCAAGCGAGAACGAAATATACCCCAAAATTTGAGGCCACAGCTTAGAGGGTGCGCAGATGTAACAGACCCCCAGGCAGGTAGATGGGGGCGTCGCGACAGCATGAGATAAAGCTAGAGTGGAGCATGGCGTTGGTCAATAACAAGAGAGCATATCATGCTCTATCATTTGAGATAGCGAACCAACGAACTTGACGCACTGACTTTTAGTCGGCTGAGGCTTTAAATCAGCTGTCCCCTTCGCTTCTATTCGCATTGAAGCAGTATACTCCGCTGTTATTCAGTACCAGATCGAGCAAGAGCCCTGCAAACAAGACATGCAGTGTCAAGCAATTGATTACCTTCGATCGGCGCATTGATACACCGGGATAATACGCGCTGTATTTTGCAAGATGTATGTATGTCAAGTCTTCGGGGTTTGTTCGCAACTCGCCTTCCGCGGCCACCGCATCTTATCAAGACTGACCGTTGGATTACCTGTTCGGACGAAAAGTAAGCCAACTCTGCATCTGGACATACCTGTGGAGCTGACATGCATGGAGCTACATCCATCTTCCTTTTCTTGTTCGGCTTCTACACTTGCCGGCGCCATACCAGCTTCAAATTTTCTTGTGCGTAGATCTTGCTACTTCTATGGCAACTCTCGCTAAGCAGAACCGCATTAAGAGCAAAAGTTTGCCCTACGAGTAAGGAAGTGGACAGGCGTGTGATGTGTTCAGGTCAGCCAAGCGAGTGGTGGGGCACGACTAGTGGTGGATCTCCCGCCGCACGCGATTCGGAGTTAGGAGGCACGGTACTGTTAACACCTGAAGGGTCCTGTGAACACCACCTTCGTCCGTCCACGCAACCCCCATCCTTCGCGCATCCCAACAATCGAGATGTACCTGAGAACTCTCGATCTACCGTCTTTCCGATGAACCTCACCGTCAGCGGCTGCCGCCCGAGACACTCCGATGCATAACGCAAGGCTCCTTGCGACGTTTTCTGCGTGGCGTCGGATATGACACGTTCCGAGTGCGCACCAAGCACTCTTGGAACAAGCTTAACTTCGTCTCGCTGGCCAATGCGCGCCCCTCCTTCTCTCGATCCAGAATGGCACCGCAGCACTATGCTACTTCTGTGAGGCGGCTGGATGTTTTGGGAGGGTAGGGCGCCGCGGCAGTGGATTGAAGGGCCTTGGTGGGCGCCAGCTTCGTGCATGCGGGCTGCCTGCACGAGACCGCCATGTGGTGTCGAGTTTGGTCCGGCGGCACGCCGATTTTGACTGGCGTTTGTAATGACCCGCAGGACAAGGTTGCAGGTAGATAGACTCAGGTTCGGCGGACCCAACTCGTGGGTTGCTTTCTGCGGATTTCGTGCGGCCCACCCGTTCTTTTCTCGTTTGGTACCTTCGTTCTACGCCGGGTAGGCTGCTCGTCGGTGTACATATAGACACCGCCCGGCGTTTGAGTATACGAGTGAGTCTTGGCTGCCCTCGTGGACATACATGGTTGTATATCGCGAGCCACCCATCGTCTCTGCAAGTTGCTCCACATTCGTACTTCCTTTTCCGAGGCATTACTACACATACAACTAGCGCGCTTTCGTCATAGCCATGAAGGAACGAGTTCGGACACAGATTCGGGACCGTCGTCCTGACAGCCCGGTGGAAGAGGCTCAGACACCGCTGTTGGAAAACATGGTGATCGGTGTGCCGCCTGTCTTTGAGGGCTTGACGAGGGAGATTGATCAGTTGGTTGAGCAACCTTTGCTGGGTCCGAGATCGGAATTCCCCTCGCGTAGGTCACCGGCTTGCAATAGAAGTTGAAAGTTCTAATATAATGTACAGCTTCGTTTGCATTCGCACGAAAAGATGTTTCTGGGAAACGGAAACCACAGGCTATTGCCCATCGTGGATACAAGGCGAAGTTCCCCGAAAACACGATGGGTGCTTTCCGGGGAGCAGTGGAAGTTGGTGCAGAGGGACTTGAGACGGACATACATCTGTCGAAAGATGGTGTAGTCATGTTGTCACACGTGAGTTGAGCGGATGAACTTGATGTATCGAACGCTGACACGACTTAGGACAAAGATCTGAAAAGATGCTTTGGTCGCAACGAGAAGCTCCTAGACTGCAACTACGACTTCTTGAGCAAGCTGAAAACGCTGAAAGAGCCGCACCAGTCGATGCCCCGGCTGATAGATCTGCTCGAGTATCTGGCGCAGCCTGGATTGGAAGAGATCTGGGTGCTCCTAGACATCAAGGTAACTTGCCATCCATAAAGCTCCAACTTACACTGCTGTCTAACTCTCCTACAGCTCGACAACGACCAAGAAGACGTAATGCGAGCAATCGCAGATGCTATCATTAGCGTCAAGCCCTCACCAACTCGCCCCTGGCAAAGCCGCATCGTCCTCGGCATCTGGGCCGCGAAATACCTACCTCTCTGCTCTCGCTACCTCCCCAGCTTCCCCGTCTCCCATATCGGCTTCTCTGTCGCCTACGCCTCGTACTTCTTCGCCGTCTCCAACGTCTCCTTCAACATGTACCAAGCCGCCCTCATGCTACCTTGGGGCCGGGCATTCATCCGCAAAGCGCAGCGCGACGGGCGGCCGGTTTATGCATGGACCGTGAACGAGGAACGGCGTATGCGGTGGGATATACGGAACGGGATCGATGGGGTAGTTACGGACGATCCGAAGTTGTTTCTGGACGTGCGGAATAGCTGGCACGAGGGGATGAAGGAGAATTTCGGCCTGCTCATGTGGCTGGATGTGCTGAGGGCGAATCTATTTGTGATGATCTTTGCGGTTTTTCTGAGGTTAAAGCATGGCAGTCCGAAGAAGCCGTTGGTGAGGGCGAAGGTGGAGAGCGGTGGACAATAGAGGACGACATCGTGAGTTCGCTCAGTTGGTTGAGACACGTTAGCATACTTTTCAAAATGAACTGCATATCTTAAATCGGCCTACAATTGCTCGTTCTGAGCGAATCAATATGTGAGGGTGTATGCGAAGTCGTAAATAAAGAGTTGGCGTTGGACCAACTCGCGGGTGGCCCAAGCTGCGGGTGCCCGACGCGTTTAGAAGCTCCCCGCACGCGTCTCGACCTACGCAACTGCACCCAACATGCCGCGGTAAGATACACAGGAATATACTCCCATGCTTCGAATGCTGACGGTATGAAAGCGAAATTATCACGCTCCAGGCCGGTCAATGCGGTAACAGCGGTATGTACAACTGCACCTTCTCGAGCCCCGCATTTGTCCCGTCCAAGTGGTAAACATTTGCGACACTCAGCAGCAATAAGTCCTGAAACTCTCAGAGCTCGCTGACATGTAAGCAACCAGTCGGCCAGCAGTTCTGGCAGCAGCTATGCCAGGAGCACGGTATCAATCGCGACGGAAACCTTGAAGACTTCGCGACTGAAGGCGGTGACCGCAAAGATGTCTTCTTCTACCAGTCGGACGATACGCGCTACATCCCACGAGCCATACTATTAGATCTGGAACCCAGGGTATTTTGTCTTACAAGGTAGTATTACGAGCGTTCCGCTAACCCATCCAGGTACTCAATTCAATCCAATCGAGTGCATACAAGAACATTTACAACCCCGAAAACTTCTACATACACAAAGAGGGCACAGGCGCAGGAAATAATTGGGGAGCCGGCTACAGTATGGGCGAGCAGGTGCAGGAAGAGATTCTGGACATGATCGACCGCGAGGCAGACGGCTCAGATTCGCTCGAAGGCTTCATGCTCTTACACTCGATCGCAGGCGGCACAGGATCTGGCCTGGGGTCTTTCTTACTTGAAAGATTGAATGACAGGTTTCCGAAGAAGCTGATTCAGACATACAGTGTGTTCCCGAACACACAGGAGGGTGACGTCGTGGTGCAACCATACAACAGTATGCTTAGTATGCGGCGCCTGACGCAAAACGCCGACTCGGTGGTAAGTCTCTATACGAGGATTGTTCCAACATGTGTGCTGACCATGAAGGTGGTACTCGACAACGGTGCTCTATCCAAGATCGCGGCCGATAGGCTACATGTGCAAGCACCTTCCTTCCAGCAGACGAACCAGCTCGTCTCCACAGTCATGTCTGCCAGTACAACGACCCTTCGCTACCCCGGATATATGCACAATGACCTTGTCGGCATAGTAGCATCGCTAATTCCTACCCCTCGCTGTCACTTCTTGATGACCTCCTACACACCGTTCTCTGGCGAGAATGTAGAGCAAGCCAAGACAGTGCGAAAGACGACCGTTTTGGACGTGATGAGGCGACTGTTGCAGCCTAAGAGCAGGATGGTGTCTACCAACCCAACCAAGAAGAGCTGCTACATGTCGATTTTGAATATCATCCAAGGCGAGGCCGATCCGACAGATGTGAGTTCAATTGTTCCCGTTGTGAAAATCAACCGCTAATACATGCAGGTCCACAAATCACTTCTACGAATTCGGGAACGTCGTCTCGCTACGTTCATCCCATGGGGTCCCGCATCGATCCAAGTTGCCCTAACCCGAAAGTCTCCTTACGTTCAGTCATCACATCGGGTCTCAGGTCTGATGTTGGCAAACCACACTGGTATCGCGACCCTCTTCAAGCGTATGGTCATGCAATACAATACGCTACGGAAACGAAACGCTTTCCTCGAGCCGTACAAGCGCGAGGCTCCTTTTCGGGACGGCCTGGGAGAGTTCGATGAAGCAAAAGAGGTAGTACAGAGCTTGATTGACGAGTACGAAGACGCGGAAAATCCAGACTACCTCAGCAAAGAGGATCCACCCGCAGACGAGGGCGATGACAAGCGCGTTGCGTAGGAGAGATGCTCTTGTGGGGTTTTACTTAACGGGTTGGAACCGCATCCGACCCGGCCTGCTTGTTTCTTTCGGTCGTGATGGCGTATGCGGGATGGGAAAGGACTGTGCAGTATGTTTTATGATACCATTTTCGAATGCGACATTGCGTTGATTGATTCTTTGGTCTCCCTCTCATCTACGTGAGACTAAACGGGTTAGCGTATTCGCTTAGGCCGCGTCGACCCGCTGAAAATGTTGGCTGCGGGCGTTCACTCATCGCTATATACGGTCTCCATACTTTCCAGAACAACTGAAGCGAATTTTCCAAAGCTTGATCTGCATCCAATCATCATGGCTGAACAGACTGGCGAAGCATCCTCTTCGTCCTCCGCCCCAGCACCCGCATCACCAGTCTGCGCACAATGCTCCGCACAGCCGGATTCTCTCAAGCAGTGTATCAAGTGCCACAGCGTGTCGTACTGCAACCGCGAGTGCCAAAAAGCGCACTTCAAGACTCACAAGAAAGAGTGTGCGAGTCTGGCACAGGAGTACGTGAAGACGCATGAGCCTAAAATGGCGAGTAGGGCGCCACCCAGGGAAAGCGGCAAGAACAAGGGCATTGGAAAGTGGGAGGTAAGTGTAGATGGGTTGTTCCGGGGAAAATGAAGGCTAACGTGATATGAAGTACGACACGTGAGCGGTGATGGGGGTTGATGTGTGCAATTGTGCAGTGCAGGAGTCGAGCAGGACTAGGGCGGAAGTATGGAGGAGAAGGGGAGAGAGGCACCGCGGAATAGGCGGTCGATTGGTCAAGTGGACATTTTCGGTTCAGAAACGCAGATGCCGTGCGAACGGGCGCATGGGCGAGTTGAAGAGACGCACGTATGGAACTGTGGATCTTGGATGATCATCAAGTTTTCAATCATGGAGGCGCTGGCATCTATGGCGTCTATCGGTTCGGGACAATCGAGTACTCGGATCGATTCGCGTGTGCGCAGTCCGAAAACCTACCAATAGCAGGTACGATTGTCCTTGAAGCTAGACTTGCAGTTTGGTTGCAATATAATCAAGTCCAAGGATATTGTCTCGTCTTAGCCGTTGCACGATGGTCTTGTACATTCTTTGTGTCTTGGGTGCTGTACGTAGCGTCCAATGAGCATCAAGATCCCGATAAGGTTAGCAGGTCTTCGCCGTCATAGGACGTCTCTACGCCTCATTCTCATCCACGCGACCTGCTCTCAAAGCCAACTTCTTGACTTCCTTGGGTCATTGACTCGCACTTGTATATCGCTAGTCCGTATACTGTCCCTTCATAGACGTTACGCCGCCAGAGTCGGGCAACACGACGACGTGTTCACTCGACTGTAAGAACACGAGGTACGTTCCGCGGGTTTTAGCGCATTAGCACCGACTACCGTTTCATTGGACAGCCTCATCTATCAACATCCCTTGAGTGTAAATCAATTCACCATTCCCGGCCAATCTGTTGGTTTCTGCGATGAGGCTTTATCGATCCACTCAGACCCTGACCTTTGGCCTCGTGCCATAAAGCGCGCGGCGCACCATAGCCGCCGCGGCTGGCTTCGGGCCTGGGTATTTCATCTACACTCCAGCGCCACTTTCGCTTTCTAAGTTATTACTGCATACACCGTTTATTTCTACATCTGAGCTTCTGGCCAAGCAAGCACCTTACCCCTCACATATCAGCTTACGCAAATCCCTCTCGTCATCATGGCTGATTTTCGGACTTTTATCCCCAATAATAGACCTAACTCCGACCCAGATATTATGACCCGTATGCAGAAAGACCTTTCGAGTTCTGCGCATTCAGAGGGTTCTTTGGAGACGAACGGGCACGACATGGCGGTGCGGAGAGCAGTGGGAAAGGTCCCTCACGTGGGCATCGTGGGCGCTGGAGTCGCTGGACTGCGATGCGCAGATGTGCTATTACAACACGGTATTAAGGTTACAATACTTGAAGGGAGAAATCGCGTTGGCGGTAGAGTGAGCTACATCCTACCCCACCTAGAATAGACACGTGACTAATGTAACAAGCTCTGCCAAAGCGATGCTCTGGGTCACAAAGTCGATCTGTAGGTGTGCCTTGCCATTTGCTTTCACAATAACACTCCGCATCAGGGGTCAATAATTGACATTTCGCAAGTGGCCCGAATTGGATACATGGTACCGATAACAATCCGATACTTGATCTGGCGAAAGAGACCAACACTTTGACGATGAATTGGGATGGCCGACAGTCAGTCTTCGACAAATCAGGCAAGCAAATGTCGGCAAAAGAGGCGGCCGAGAACTCAGAAATCGTATGGGAAATCATTGAAATGGCTATGAAATACTCCGAAGATGAAACTGCATCAATACCGGCTGGCGAAAGCCTGTACGATTTCTTCAAGAAAAAGGTGCCGGAATTGATACCTCAAGAAATGGAGGGCGACAAAGAGGTGGAGAGCAAACGAAAGACTGTGTTGGAAATGTCTGAGATGTGGGGTGCTTTTGTCGGCAGCCCGATCGAAAGACAAAGTCTCAAGTTCTTCTGGTTAGAGGAATGTATCGATGGGGAGAATTTGTTCGTTGCGGAAACATATCATAAGGTTCTAAAGCGAATAGCAGAACCTGCGTCGAAACGCGCGGACATTAAGTTCGGGCATAAGGTGCAGAAAGTAGTATCCTCTGGGACCGAGAAAGAGCCGAGTGTGGAGGTACATGTTGAGGGGCTTCAAAACATGATTTTCGATGAGGTCGTCATGACCACTCCTCTTGGATGGCTGAAGAAAAACGAAGGTGCTTTTAAACCCGAGCTCCCGGAAAGGCTCAAGCAAGCCATATCCTCGATCGGCTATGGGCACCTGGACAAGGTACCTCTTCTCCAAATTTTGTCGCTTCAAGTGCGCTGACTCTCTTGCAGGTGTATATTACCTTCCCAACCGCTTTCTGGAACGAATCTACTTCCAATGACCTCACTACCACGAAGTCTCACGATCTTTCCATCCCCAACGTGACAGCTACGACAGCTCCAATACATCAATCGCACACTACAAAAGAAACAACCGTCGATCCAGCTCACTACCCAGGCTTCACTCACTGGACGAAGCCTACCTATGCGGGCCCATCAAATCCATCCCAATGGCCCCAAGAAGCCATGAACCTAGCGGCCCTTCGCTCTCCAACCGCCCATCCAACTCTCCTCTTCTACACATACGGACCCACCTCCCTCCACATTGCTTCGCTCCTAAAAACGCATGCACCTCCCATCGTAGATCCAGACGAGGCCACTCGGAAAGTCCTCACCGACTTCCTCCACCCCTACTTCTCGCGACTGCCGAACTACTCGCCTAGCGACCCCTCACATCAACCTTCGCGCATTCTCGCGACAACCTGGGCAAACGACGAGCTCGCTGGCCACGGCAGCTACTGCAATTTCCAGGTTGGACTGGAGGCTGGAGATCGCGACATTGAGACCATGAGGAGAGGTGTGCCTGAAAAAGGGCTCTGGCTTGCCGGTGAGCATACGGCGCCTTTCGTGGCGTTGGGGACGGTGACCGGGGCGTATTGGGCGGGAGAAGGGGTTGCGAGAAGGATTGTAAGGGCTTGGGGTATTGATGGGAAGAGTGGGGAGGCGAATGGGCATGCGAATGGAAAAATGTAATGGGTGCTCATTGATGTGGGTTCCGCGCTTTCTCCACTCTGTGGTGGTTTCATGGTGGTTTGTGGGCATCACTCCACTTGGCGACATGTAGCATCAGACAAACTCTACATCCAACAACCCGTTCCCTTTACCATCTTTCTAGTCAAACCCATGTATCGTGCATCCATGCCACCGCTGCCTTTCCTTCCGCCAACTACTCCCCCGTACCACTAACTTCAATCTCCTCAACCAACTCCTTTCCCTTCTCCGGATCCACCAACGCCGCAATCTGTAACCTCAAGGACCCCACTTGTCTCCGAAAACCATGAAACCTACGAGTCAACTGTATCCTCTTATATCCCAAAGCTCCTGTAACTGGCGTCTCCGTCTCCGTCTCCATTTCCCAACCATGTTTCTCTTTGAGAAGTCGCATCCATTCGGTCGCCAGCGCCTGGGCTGTGGGTGCCGTGACGTCGATTGCGAACTGGCGGATAGTCTTGATGCATTTGACGCCCGGAATTAGCTCGGTGGGTGGGACGAAGGTGAAGATGTAGAGTTCAGTCGGTTCTTGTGTGCCTGATGAGGAGGTCTCATGGGAATTTTGGGAGTCTTGGGTATCTGACATAGTGGAGGTTCAAGTTTGGAAAGGCAGCTGTTGAAGTGCTTTTGTTGACGAGCGGTAGATTGAGCTTTTGAAGGTACATATATATGCTTTGATCGATTGGTTGTTTGCTTAAGTTTGACGATACAGTACGGCATGTGCGGCTTGCTCGTTCAGTTGTTGACGTTTAGCACGACTCACGGGTGCTTTGCGAGATAATCTCAATAATTGTCCTACGTATCTGGGTGTTTTTTAGTGCGTTACGTATGGCGACGGATGATACTCTAGATGATATCATAGGATACTATCGAAAATGTATCGTCGACACTACATAGATTACGAGACTAAATCTGCACCCATGTCTTACCATCATGGTGTTTTGCGCTTACTAATCTTCAACCCGCCCGCAAATATACTTGACTTGCATTATGTGCCAATCTCCGCCCTCTTGCAGGCTTTACTAACCTCCGGGCCTGCTCCTAATGATTCAGAATCCACCCACATGCTCTTCATCGCCACCCGCTTTTGCCCAATCTTCGTGAAGAACATCTTTTTCATCGTGCTCCAAGAAGGGTTGCATTCTTAAGCACCCTGACTTGAACAAAGAAATCAAGGGCTGAAAATCGACTTCCACGCACACATCTTTGCTGTTATACGTTGCATATTGCGAAATCCATCGTCCGCCCGCAGATTCTACAAATTGCTCTGCTAAGCCATCTAGAACCTGCTTGGCTCGAATGTATGTACACTTCACCGCGAACAGAGTTCTAGAGGTTGTATGTTGTATTGGAAAGTCGGTGAAAGTGAAGGTGGAGATCTTTTGAGGTGACTGAGGAGGATGACCAAGGAGGACACTGTAGGATGATAGTTCAGATGTTTTTAATCTGGCAGATAGGCCCATTGGAGGGGTTACGATTTGTTTTGAGGCGGATTTTGCTTGGTGACACGTGTACGGACCGCCTATTGATGGACTGGTAAGCTTTAAAATTGCTAACGAAAGGCAACAACCGCCAGTACGCCGTGTGCAGCATGGTCTGAGCTCGATCGTATATCGTTGCGAGTACCACCGTTTGCTCCATGCGATCGATCGGTGCAGGACAAAGTCACGTTCAGGGAACATAAGACGACCACAAACTTTTTAACGTGAATTCGAAGGTTTGTGGAAGTCCATGAAACATGCAGTGACTTTCTGAAGCTTATGCTGGAGCCCAGCCGGCATTCGGAAGCTGTGTACTGGCATCTATTGGACTCGATTAAGAGTGGCTGGCGCAACTGCATCTGATAGGATTACCGATATTGGAGAGGGGCCGTTATCCTCAGCCTTGCACTGCCTGATCGATTTATTCAGCTCATCAGCTCACGACAACCATGCCTACTGACACATCATTCCCGTCGAAATAGTTTCATCATCGCCATCGTGCATTTCACACCCAAAATGTCTTCGACGAAGAACAGACACATCTATCGCGCTCTCGAGCCAAACGAAAGTCGGCTCGTGCACCTCGCGTCAGGCGAGCACAATGATGCTATCGTCTGTACACTCGATTATTTCGACACTCGAAGCCCTCCAACATATGAAGCACTCTCCTACGTTTGGGGCGACCCGAAGATTACGGCACCCATCGATGTCAACGGACACACGCTGCAAGTGACAACCAACCTCGAAGTTGCGCTCAGACACTTGCGACTTCCTAAAGAAGATCGGGTGCTTTGGATCGATGCTATAGTCATCAATCAGCTAGATTTGGCCGAACGCGCTCAGCAGGTCGCGCTTATGGGAGATGTCTATAGCAAGGCCGCGTCGGTAAGAGTGTGGTTGGGGCCCGCCGACGCGTACACTACAATCATCTTCGAATGGATCAGAGGGAAGAAACTGCGGGAACTGTATTCGCTCAAGTTCGCGTGGAACCTTCGTGCCCCTTTGTTAGAACCTCGCGGTGGTCAGCAGAGGTCTTTGTGCGGATCCCGAACTATGTATCAGGCTAGAGAGATCTTCTTTCGGACTGAAAACTCTGGTCTCCGATGGCACCTGACACGGGATATACCCCTATCTATCTCCGCATTCGCTTCGGTGCAACTTATCCGAAGAGATTGGTTCTCAAGGTGAGCGCTCGGCACCTCTAGCAACTGTAGCCTACCTTGACGTAGACACTAATCCTCATTAGACGATGGTGCATCCAAGAGCTTGCGCTAGCTGAAAACACCATTGTACAATGCGGTGCAGAATCTGTGCAGTCGATTGATTTGGCTGACATCATTTCCAACTTTTATACCACGAGGACAGAAATGTTTGATTTCAAATTTCCTGATATTGCAAAGCTCATATCTAAGGCCAACGCCATTTCGAATTCGGGGTATCTTTTGATCCCGTCGAATTATGATAGAACACCACTTACAGAACTTCTATTTAATTTCCGACACTGGCGCAATGGGGACCCTAAAGATACTGTATACGGACTACTCGCGATCGCCCAACATGGGTCGATAGCCATCGAATACACGAAATCGGATATCGAAGTCTTGATTGATGTGTTCAACGACAATCTTTACCATGCAAAGCACATAAATCTAGTCGGGGTACCTTGGGCTCCGAATATCCCCGGCCTACCATCATGGATAGTTCCAACGGAAGATGGCTCGCGCTGTAAAAATGAGGACAGATTCCTCTTTGAGTTACTAGATCCGGTCGATACCTCGAGTGCTCCTTTGGAGTGGACAACAAATGCAAGGATAGCCCGTCAGAACGAAGATGCCCTTCCACCCGTTGCTTTCCCAAGCTATACTTTGTTTGCGAACGGTATCACGCTCGAAATGTGGGGCGAAGCAGCAAAGTTCTCCGACGAAGACTTCCCCCCGGGTGAATTCAAATCGACTCATGATCAATTCGCAATCTTCAAGAGAGATACGCGACAACAATACGAGGCTACCAGAGAGCTAGGTGATAGAGTGGTCGTGCTATTTGGTTGTAACCATATTCTGTTGCTGAGGCCGGTGGAAGTAGGGTTTACCCTCGTTGAGGTTTGGCTGGGTAGATTTTGGATTGTCATCCATCTAGATTATTATTGGAAATACCCAGAAGAGGATACCCGGGAACCTTTTCGACGCAAACTCAAGGAGCTGTTGCGTGCCTCACCGACAGAGACATTTGCTATTGTGTAACGCAATGCAATGGGAGGAAAAGAAAACAAGTCGCATAATATGATATCTTCCCTATCACATGTATCTATTCAAAAGATGAGCAACCGCCAAGGTACCAGTGCAACAATCAGATAGACTGACCAGCCGGCACGTCTGAACGTAGAGCTGCTAGTCCTCAGCACGTGTGTAATAAAAAGGCAACAAATCTGACCGACACTTCTTCGTCCGGCCAGTCGGTACAACTTTCAGTTAGGATCCTCGAAAAATCGTAGTGGGTCGTCGACTGCTAGGAGAGGCTGAGCTCTCGGCTTCACAGCTGCGCATAGTCTGGTTTTGTGCATCATAAAATCGTAGTGGGTCGTCGACTGCTAGGAGAGGCTGAGCTCTCGGCTTCACAGCTGCGTATAGTCTGGCTATGCGCATCATTAAATCGATCGGTCGCTCTCGGAGTGCGAAGAATATGTGAATCAATATGCAACCGTCAGCATCCCCCATCGCTAAGCAGAGCAGAACATGAAAGGCCAGTCTACCAGCCCAGCCCCGTGCAATCTATGCACCAGATCCTCACTGTAGAAGACAGCATATGAATACCTCGCAAAATCCCACCGTACAAGACAGCATATGAGAAGCTCACAAAGTCTCACCGTCTCAACGTGCCAGACCTCACAACACGACACGACCGCCAACGCAAAAGACAGAACAAAAAGCCCATGAATCAGATACACTGTATATTCCAAGAAGCGGTTCCCACCCCTCTCGTCATCTATGTAAAGATCAAATACCCGCTCACAACGCCATCATATGCCCTCGCACATAGCTTTTCCTATACATGTTATGTTGTACATTCACGCGTGCCATCGTACCACTTCGCACATTACCCACCGCATACATGACTAGCTATCTACCTATCCTTATCCTTACCCTGGTCCCAGTCATCCCACTCCTGCGCCTTCTTCGCTTGCCTCTCCTGACTCGCTGCAGGACTCCTCCGTCTTCCTTTAGGCGGCGCACTCAAAAAGTCTTCTGGGATGTCGTTCCAGTCCCTGGTTTTGGGCAGGGGCACGGGTTTAGGCGCTTTTCGCTGGTCGGCGGCCGCTTCGTCGCTGGAGACTTCGTAGTCGTCTGCGTCGTCGTCGTCGGAGATGTAGTTGTACTGGTCGAATTTCCGGCGGTCGATCGGTTGAAGTTGTACGTCGCCGTCTGCGTACATTCCGTTTTCACGTCCGAGGATCTGATCGGCTTTGCTCGGGCTGCGGCGGCCCTCGGTCGGCGTGGATACGATTCCGTTTGACGTGGTCAAGTACCGGGCGTCCTCTCCTCGTCGGCGCGTTTCCTGCCAATCTGGCCTTCTGGGCGTCCGCTGGGGCGGCGCGAAACGGTTGACCTGCCAGGGCTCAGGGGCGCGTCCGTTTCGCCGGAATTCTGCTTCGGTAGGGGAGTCGACGCCCCAGCCAGCGTCGCGCTCACGCTGTTTTTGAATTCTTTCTTCTGCCTCGCGCTGGTTCTTGATGCGCTCGCATGCCGCTAGCCACTTAGGGCTTGCCTCCCACGACCATCCATCGCCGGTCGTGTTGATTATTGGCACGAACCATAGTAGTGGAGAAGGTCCGAATATGTGCCCCACGTTCCTTTTCCAGCCCAAATCGAATGCATTCGGAAGTTGTTCGTTATCCCGTTCATCGAGGTAGTCTTCGTAGCGATCGTAATTCTGCTGCCGCTCACGCCATTCGTAAGACTGTTGGTTCGGGTGTGAATAGCCGTTGCTAGTTGGTGCTGGTGACCGTGAAGAACGCTGGGCGGGTGAGGAAACACCTTCCTCTGGCCTGGTGACTCCTGGTAGGGCATTCGCATGGATCTCGCGCAACTGGTCGCTAATGCTCAACCGTCCGTTGGCCTGGGCGTCCAGGTAGTTGCGGTCTGAAAGCTGAGCTTTCATGCTGTTCCGCAGTGGCGACAGATACCGCGTCTTTTCCAAGCTCTCGATCGTCGTTTGGCCTCGAACCGTCAAATAACAATGCCAAGCAGTAAATCCAGTTATTACGATGCCGATGATGCCAGAAAGAACAGCAAGCAAGACATAGTTGACCGGCATGAATGACTCCGTGTAGTTCACGTCGTTCAAAATCTCACTCCACACCCAGGTTGCCGACGTTGCGAAGCAAACCCAACAGAAGAATGTCAAATAGATCAGGAAAAGGAGGAAGGCTTTGTAGTTGTACAGTCCCACGCACGCCGCTAGCCACGGGCAATGGTGGTCCATCTTGAGCACACACCGCTTGCAGCTCGAGCAGTGGTGTGCGCGGTCTGGCTTCTGCGCTTGACACTTCTTGCAGTAGCGTATGTCGCCTGTAGATGCCTTGACCGTGAACGATGTGTATTGCAAGCCTCCTCCTTCTTGCGTGGGTAGTTGGCTATAACCACTTGTCATGTTCAGCGGCGATCCGGGATCGGTGAATACGGCGGTCGTGTAGCTCCAGTTGAGCATAAAGTACAGGAAGAAGCAGAGCGCAGACGAGGTCTTGCCTATGCACTGCGTTAGTCTACCGACGCTGACATTTTTTGGCCTCCATGGTCCCTCAATTGATTGCACTGCTGGAAAACGTACAGAAGCCTCAAAGAGATCTTCATATCCGTTGTATATCCAGCCAGTGCTCAGCACAAATAGAGTATGTCTTACCTGTCCAGCGGTTCTTAGACGTATTGAAGCCTATGCCGACTCCTACCCACGCGGCCCATGACGTCAAACCATACACAAACACCAGCGGGAAGTATGTTATCGTGCTACAGCAAAACCGCTCGACCTTCCTGGCCCACGCACGGCGGCGCATGTTGCGCGATGGTGATGAGGGCGGCGAAGGCGATCCCAACGTTGCCATCCTTCTAAGGCACCGGCTCAAGGCATGCGGTGAGGCTGGTGAGGCGAATAGTCACTGTCTAAAACGACGAAGCAGTGTGGCGTCGATCCATAAGGTATGCGCGTGCGGAAAGGCAGCAAATATGGCGAAGGCGGACGAGTTTCGGCGTGGTTTCAGGGACGGGCGCAGCACCGCCGGGTGGGAGCTGTGCTAGCGGAACGGCGCGGTAGGGTCACGGAGACGAGAAGAAGGACACGAAGGCACTTCCGTAGTATATTCAGGACAGTGAAAGGAGCAAGCCGGGCAGCGGAGGTCGACCTGTCCTCGCCGGCGTTGCGTTTGAGGCGCGGCTTACCCAGCAGGTTGGAACAGGGGTCCGCGCGCTGGACCGTCTGAACCTTGCAACCTTGAAAACACCCGAGCACGTGATTTGCTACACTTCACGTAGGAGCCAGCGTCAAACAAGTCGAGCTCTAATCATAGTATAACTGCTCCGCGGGGCTGGCACTATCAGCGACGATCTCGATAGAGATAGATGGAGCTGTGATCTGATGCAAACAGAGGTTCAGCACCTGCAGTTCTTGCGTTCTACTACGAGTATCACCCGCACTGCTTGTGCCCACACGTTGACTGTTGACGGTGACAGTGACCACTCAGTACTACGCGCGGTCATTCCACAATGCTACCCACGTAGTCCCAATTGATCAGGGCGCGTCCTCAGGCAAGAGCGGCCAAGGCTCTGCGGCAGCTAAATGGATCGTCACGGTTCTGTCACAGTTGTGCGCGCACCGTGACATTCCCCACAGCGGCATCCTTGCCATCGAATGGGCTCTTGCGAGCCATAGGTGGTGTCTGCGATGATATATGATGTGTATCGGCGCCAGGGCGTGCCTGCCAGCCACACCGCGGGACAATGCTCCTTCCCTGTGGAGCGTGCAAACACTCTGGGTGCACCTTCCACTTTCACTTCTGCTGACGATATATCGAGGCCCTGCCGTCACTCTGCAACCGACAATGTCTTACTGAACTGAAAATTTCACTCGCTTCCCCTCCGTCCGGCCGCCATGCTCTCACCCAGCAGGAAAAGACCTTTGCCTCTGCTGGTCGGACTTGTTCTTACGCTGCTGTTTTGTTTCTATTACAAAAATACGGACGGCATATACATTCGATGGACAGCGTCAACAGCGTCAAAACAGGCCAAGCTCGCCGCAAATCGCACGCTAGGTTTTGGCGCAGTCGTTGTCGTATCGAAAGAAGGCTCCGACAGGCGTCATGCGCTTATGCAACAAGCCAATGTTACCGACTTCGATCTCACCATTCCCAAGCAGCCGCATTGGACAGAGAGCGATGTGCAAAAGTTTCGCAATGGTCAAGAGGATGGTGTGCAGCACGGCTCTATTCTGGCGTGGATGGGCCACCTCAACGCCCTGCGATGGTAAGCCCCCCTCTCTGCATACTTTTGAGATTTGTGCCAGCGCGGCGTGCTAGAACACTACCATACAGGTTCCTCGATTCTGGGCTTGAAACGGCACTCATCCTCGAAGACGATCTCGATTGGGACATTCGCCTTCGCAGCATCCAAGTTCCCCTCGCTGCGAGTGCGGTGCGCACTCTCATGCCCCCGAAGCGGTCGTTGAATCCTCTCGCAAAACATCACCAGAATCGCACACAGTACTGGGGCGACCATGGCGCTTGGGATCTTTTGTATCTTGGACACTGCGGGGACTACCTTAACAGGGTCACATACGAAGGTCTAGTGTTCGACAGCAAGCCGTTCTCCTTGAAAGATGTGGCGCACCTCACATATAACGACCCAACAATGCCCGCGCGATTCCAACTGCACCCTTTCACGCAGGATCTGTTCAGCGCACTCAATATACCCGAGCACGGCCGCACTCTGCATCGCTCGAAGTTTCCACTTTGCTCGTTTGGCTATGCAGTCACTCGGCCCGCAGCAGAACTTCTACTGGGCAACCTTGCACCACCGAAGCTCCAACCTAAGGGGCCGCGCGCATTCGACGTTGCACTGCTTCATGCATGCTCAAAAGGAGCACGCGAGACCAATCCCATTCCGACTCGTTGGGCGAACCCACCATTGCATCCTAACCGCGGACTCCGCTGCTGGACCCTCAATTCCGAACTCTTCCACCATCTGCCCGGCGAAAGTGAAATCGCCAAAATCGGGAAGAATCTGGGCGAGGATATCGGACAAGGCCTCTCACCGGTTGACTGGGCCGGCCAGGCGCAAACGATCTGGCGCAACGAAACCACCAATATAGGCTGTGGATTCTGGAGTGGAGCTTTCACATTCGAAAACGATGATGCGAAACGCCTTGAGTTCCTCCGCGAGGAAGTAGGGCGAAAAGGCAAGTGTTTGAAGGAAGGCCGAGACACCCTCTGAACGGTTTCGATTTGACGGTGATTGGATAACGTCGCATATAATGTTCAGTGTATATGAATTATCTTGGGCGGGCAGGAATGAACATACGGGACTACTGCATCTTGGAGGTTATGGCGGCGTTTAACCAATCGGGGAATTCACTGGAGTACGGCGTGTGCAAGATACCACTTTACTACTTCGCTACGGCCACGAGTCTGCCATGCAGCCTCAACGGACATATGGACATACGTCTCTGCCTAGCATATAGGCTTTGCATCGGGTTCTGTACCATGAATGATAAGTCATACTTTCAAAGTGTCACTCGCAATAAGTTTGGAAAACATCGACAACACAGCCTCGCGTAGTGGATTGAACGTGTTCGTAAACGCGATAAATCGTTTTAAAAGCACCTTCCATATGGGTCCTGGCGGCTGCAAGAGGCTTGCCTAACCGGGGACTGCATGAGAGGCCTGCGTACGAGGCTTGCGTAGTGCGAGGAGTCACCGGCGTTTTACCACGTAAACACTTGACTTTGTTTCCAACTTTCACCACGATGACATCGGTAAATTGAGGATTGGGGATAACCACGCGCCTTTACTCCACGTTGCGGTTGTTGTTCTGATATGGAGGCTACAGCGCTGTGAACGAGGTGCGATAAGCAGCGAAGACAAGTCGGTGACGTGGTGATGCTGCTGCTGTTTGCAATGTATACGAAGCTGCGATTTGTTAGCACACGAAAGAGCTTTCTTTTGGGACTGTTCGGCCATAGAGACAACTGCTTAGCTTCGGGCCGCCTCCACGAGCAATTCCAGCACCAGGTATCGCCAGAATTTGGTTCACTGTGGCTATGCATGTTCCAAAGGCTGACACTCAAGCTTTTGCCAAGAAGGCTTGTTTATCACAAGCATATAACCACATCCCTGTTCGCGCCTGTGACTCGATGATCTAGATCTCAAGCCCCTGCCAAGGAAGCTTATTTTTATTTAACCCGCACGCTAAAACAGTCGAACTCCGCTCCGTGTAACCATTATACGCATCCACGAACCACAGATCTCTCTCACCCCGGTACCCGCAATCTAAAAAACCCTGCGCAATTCATGTGGCTGAGCACTCTAGGGCAAGGCTGAATACTGCGACATATTGGTGTCCTCCGTGCCAAACATGATCAGCTAACTGCTTTGGGCAGCTGAAGCTGTTTGCGAATTGGTACCCTTGATACACACCTCTTCCCCCAGCAACGGAGCAGGCCTGGAGCACCATGAATCTCTGTGTAATGAATGTGGAAAATAGCACAATATGTAAGGGCATCTGTGCCAACGCAGAGTACGTTTCTTGTTTATGCAACCCAGTGTTCGAAACACTGGGGAAGAGCGCCTCACTTCGTCTGCATCCGCACCTGCGTCCGCATTTGTTGGGCTCCTGCTCCCTTCACGCCGGTCCTCGCGCATGCCAAGGCTCGCATGTGTCACCAAAAAAGGGCGCCACAACGTGAAGGCTGTGCAACTCTATATCCCCCTCATTTGAAGGAGTGGTCCTCCCAATTCCCGCTTTGTGGGTTATTTTCCATCTCACATTCCTTGATACGTCTTTCTTCAGTCCGGTAGGTTGCAACATGGAAGAATTGGGACACCATAGGGATCATGGAGCGTTCGACCCTTGGAGGGGCAACCGAACTTGCGAAGCTCCGCCCGGACTGGCGTTCGCGTGCTTGAGGCCGATGGCGGTGTCGGAAATGTTTCCATTCTCTGTGGTTTTCGTCGGTGCGGTAAGTACATTTCTGCCTAATCTCTCTGCCTCGGCTTCTTTCTTCACCTTCTACAGTATCGGGCCAAACGTCGAACACTGGCCGTTGGACTATGCGGACCCAGAAGCTCTGTCACCCAGTTCATGAACTTAACTCACTCGCAATGGGCGCAACTTGCTCCTCAACGTCTTTCGCTGGTATGCTGACTTGGAGCTCTTGCGGCACAGATTCTTATCGCCTTCTCAATTGTGAAGCAATTCGTACTCGAGAACTATATGTCGCGTAAAGACAGCCTGCACGGGAGAGCATACGCGCGCCTAAAACCACGAGATCAACGTACATTGGTGAATCATCATCTGAGCTTGGTCATGAAGATGGTGCTCTTGGTCATCGGTATGCAATATCTCTTCCTTTCCAGCCACCACAATTACCTCATCTCCCCGGACGTACCATCCCTCCTAACATCATCTTCAACAAGGCATCTACCCCTTTGGGTCTCTCGTCTCCGGCCACAACTTCAACAGCCAAATAATCGGGCGCTCGCTCACGATCGGCGACGTGCTGTTCCTTTGCAGCCACACCTACACATCGATCTACATGTTCGAACTGTGCTACCGGCAGGGAATAAGCTACATCACATGGGTGCAGTGTGTGCTCCCTTCCACTTGCTGAGAGACCGAACCGCCGCTGACAAACCCCATAGCCATTCCTGCACAATCCTCATCGCGCAACTCGCCCTAGCCTTCACATACACGCACCGCGCGCCCGATTCCACCATCGAAATGGTCCTCTGCTTAACCTGGGGTATGCTTCCTGTCCCGCCCGTCCCTATCTGCAGTCTCTCTCTCTGGCGTCGATGCTAATTATAGATGCAGGCGTTTTCGACATCCTCTCCGAAGCCCTAACGCACCTCACAATGGTCCTCTACCGCCTCTACCCCACGCGCCACGCCTTCCTCTTCAAAGCGCTGCGCGCCGCGTTCATCGTCTCGGTGCTCAGCACAACGATCGAAACGGCGGTCGTGGGATGGTTCTACGGCGCGTTGTTCCATCGGTGGAGTACGTTGAATAAAGCGCTCACACCGATGCTGTTCATTGCATTTGTGGCGGCGCAGATTTGGAGTGCGGTTTGTCTTTGGAGGATTGGGAATGGGAAGGGGAGGTTGATGAGGGGAGAGGAGGGAGGGGATGCGGTTGAGTTGGTGGCTGTGGGGAGGGGATAAGGAGGGGGGAAGTGAGGAGAGGAGAAGAAGGAGTTGTTATGATGGGTTGGGATGAGTATAATGTATCTGTAGGATAGCATGGGTACTTTCGGTACTAGGTGGCTTGGGGTGTTTTGATACCTGTCTGTATATTATGGGCTCTTGATTAACATATTGGACGGAGTATTAGATTGTCGGTATTGAGCGAATGTGCGAGTGTGCGTCGACGACAGGCTTGGTTTTTTTAAGAGTGAACGACGTGCACAAGGCGAGATTATTGCGATTACGTCCTGGAAGTAGGTAGGTAGGTTGGTAGCTAACAGATTTCCGTGCACTAGTTTTAAGCTTCCGTGCCTTCCTCTAACCACAAAGCCTCCCTGGGGTCAAAAGGACGCACCGAGCACATTTTTGAGGACGTGCCATACATTTTTGTTACTGCTAAACTCCCGGGCAATCTGATCAGGCGTCCGTTCCCGTCCGTGTGGGGATCTCAACTTCTTGTCAGTCCATGGAGCTTGATCTTTCAATTTATTTTGGCTGTCAAATCGGTGCGACTGAAAGCCGTGTGCTGCCGTGTGGGTCTACATTCCCTTCCTACGTCCGGGAAGTGTAATGTTGGAAGGCACTAATGTACGAATCGTAGGTCGAAAGTTCAGCGGCGTCCTTCGGCTTATGTTCCCTTATGCTGGTTATGACACGGTGATCACACAGACTTACGGACGCTAATACTATTACAGGCCTTCTACTCCTATCACCCAGTGATGGAGAAAAGGACGTCCACCGTAGTCCCCACCTTGTAGGAGTGGGCAGGTACAAAAGTATTACTGCCATGTACTAGCTCGCTCGTGGTCGCATGTCGAGAGTTCAAGTCGGGTATGAAGTTCGCATTTCAGTGTCTTTGATTGTGTTTGCGTGGCGACAAGAAGACTACTCAGATACAAGCTCTAGAACGTGCTCGGCCCGGTGCCGAACCAGTTTTTTGAATAATGTTAGCCGCGGAAAAGACGGCAGAGACGCGGTAGGGGCCGAATGTGGGCCAGAAATCAGGTGAGACAGCCAGGGATGGCAAAAGCAGAAAGCTCCCGGGCCGGAAACGGTGAACGAGCCGAGCCATAGCGCTGGCAAATTCGGGACACGCGTCAAAACTCGCTTGAGATACGGCTAGATATTCTGACATGATCATGGGCGAGTAGTTGCGCCACTGGCCGTTGAGAAGAACATACGCAGATGGCGACGGAACGGAAGATCAAGAAGGCGGCAACGATAACGGCGATCATTGCGAGCTCGTCGTACACTTCGAGGGAACTATACGCCTGCGGAGAGGAAGATGTTCATTAAATTCGTATTGAGGTACAGCATCCCAGAGCTTGAAACCCCGACTTAGACGTCGCTCCTTGAACTTTCCGCCCTGCTCTTCCCATCGTCCTCATACATCGCCTCGATCGTAGTCTCTACTCTAATCTTCCCTCTTCCGTCGAGCCCAACACTCAACCCACTCGTAACGAGCGAATCCTCCGAGCCATTTGGGTTGTGGTGTGATTTCGAACGGGAGCCCGAAGCAGGCCCAGAAGCAATTCCGCTGCCAACTCCCAAACGATTTGGGTCCGTCGTTCTGCGCCGGGCAGAGCTCAGTTCGTAATGTTTGCCGTAGCTGCTCGGGTCGTTGGTGCTGCCGCCTATCACCATGGCACGAAGCGCGGGCAGGCATGCGGCGATGATGGCAATGGCGGTCTCGACCATGGAGACAGTGCAGGTCAACATTGTCTCGTTCCTGTGCGAGTAGTATGCTCGAATGACTATCACACAACGTCAGTACATATTGCGGAAACGCGCATAGGATTTCGGACGTACTGCTCGAGATGATGACGAAAAATCCAAGCGCAAAGATAGCTGCGACACCGAGCTTCTGCTTCAGCTTCATTTGCAACCTCGACACCATAGTAATCGGCAACGCAATGATTATGGCGTCCGAGAAGATGTTGAAGAAGATCGTGATCCAGTAGTTGATTTGCGCAGCTTTGGGATCGCATTGATCTGCGTACGAGTTTTAGTATAAGTTTCGCAATTGCTTATGACGCACTCACAATTCGGGTCGCTCGACCAGCGCTTGTCGTACGGATAACACTGGAACAAGATATCGAAGAAAATCACCAGAAATGTGGCTGTTAGTCCACCAAGCGCGATGTTGTACAGCAGGATTAGTCGTGATCCCGGCACAGCGATGCGTTTATAGAAGATCACCAGGGCGAACTTGATGGCCCAAAGGGAGGAGACGTAGAGTATCGAGCCAGGCACAATCATCTGCAAGATTCCCTTAAGCTTCTCAGGCGTCACGGTCGACATGTCGCCCAGGCCCAAGTTCCACATGTGCTGCTGGATGCCCAGGTCTCCTATGAGGCAGCACAGAGCGAGTATGACGAGGAAGTCCTCGATTGCCAATTTGCCAAATCGACTCCATCGCGAGTACATGCGCAAAGCTACAAAGGGCACGGTAGCTACGGTGCAGATGTACCAGGAGACCTATGAGCCTGGTCAGTAACGTACAACTATGCGGCGAGCATCAAAGCACTTACTACCTGCCCAAGGCCTTGGTCACCCATTGTGCTTTTGGAGGTCCCTGAGCGCGAACCCCGGGTGGAGAGATCTTTAAAAGAAGGGATCGTCTATCGATCGACAAGGAAGTGGAGGAACACATCTGTGGGTCACAGAGATCATACTATTATGTACAGGGCGGCCAAGGGGAGACCCTGCTGTCAACACTCGTCTCAAACCCCTCGTGTCCCAGCCCGACCTCGTGTTCTCCTTCATGTTCCTTTCATGATCGACATCAAATTTGCCCAATTGATCCTCGGCTACACAGCCTTCTTGGGAGAGGCTGTCGTTAGAAGGATGGTTAACGATATGCCAGGGCAGATGAACATGCAAGCAGACGAACCATTCGACGTTTCCCCTGCACCTTCGCCGTGTTGGCCCTAGTTCGGTGGGGTGTGCTGCGAGAGCTGCCTCCAACCAATGGATGCGCGGAGGTACGTAGGTTTCGGGAAATAGGACTGTGACATCGCTTATGAGCCTCGGAGCCGTCCGAAAGCCTTTGGAGAGGCCAAGAAGGTTTTTGCGACGGCTCGCGGGCGTAGTCCGGACCCGAGTGCTCGATCTATACAAGTCCCTCGTGCGAAGTAAAATAGGGCCGATTTAAGGAACTTGAAAGTGGGCCGCCACCACCATCTTTCGGCTAGCATTGCTTGACATCCCCGAACACGCAATGTAGATTTTCATGCTTGTGGATCAAGCAATCAACAGCTTTGACCAGACAATAGTCCATAGCGGACATACATCGGCTGATCTTCTTCACTTCTGGTCAAGACTGGGGATGCTTCCATGCGTCGCTTCCTGAGGACCAAACTCAAAACCCACTTGATGCCCAAGTGACGATCTCCTCGTGGCTCCAGATTCCTTCTGCATCTCATCGTTCTCAAATCTCACGCCATGAAGGTTTCGGGCATAGTCGCAACCGTTTGCGCTACCGCAGCGGCGGGAACCCCGTTGCCGGGACGAAGTGAAGGTTTGCCGGACCCCTCAGCGCCAATTGTCAACCTTAAACAAGGCACCGTGAGAGGCTTTGCCGACGCTGGGAACACTGTTTTCCTAGGCATCCCGTTTGCCGATACGACGGGTGGAGCGAACCGGTATGTCGCAATCTCATTGGACGTCACTGAATTTAATTAAGTTTGCGCTAGATGGAAGCCACCGCGGGACATTCCTAAAGCAAAGAAGGGCACCGTTTTTGATGCGACGGCATATGGCCCAACATGCCCGCAAGCCATCTCAGGCACATCATACTCACAGCAGGGTGAGGACTGCCTGAACCTCAATGTCTGGGCTCCGTCTCCAAATTCCACAGAGTGTGCATGTGAAAGCAATGGCCTACCGGTCTTTGTTTGGATGTACGGAGGGGCTATGGTGACTGGCTCGAGCAGCAACCCTGCTTACCAAGGTGCCAACTTTGCACGCAAAGGTGTCATTTATGTCAGCTTCAACACTCGTGAAAGTATCTTCGCGTATCCCAACTCGGCTGAGCTCCAGGGCAAGAATGAGTCTCAAAACTTCGGCATCTTGGACGTAGACAAGGCTCTGCAATGGGTTCATGACAACATTGCTGGTATGCGTTCACTCATTTGACGTGTTGGAACTACTCATTGACGCTGAACAGCTTTCGGCGGTAACCCTAACCACATCGTCTTCGGTGGCCACTCGTCTGGTTCAGTCCAGGTAGACCACTACCTATGGAACCATCCTGATACCTTCTTGGTTGGTGCCGTCCAGATGGCCGCCAACGCGAAGTCAGGTCCCGCTGTTGCTCCTGTGAATGAAGCGCTTGACATTGTCGCTGCGGAAGTTGGCTGCTCTACCGGCAAAGGTCAACTCGACTGCCTCCGCAAGGTCGACGTGTACGCCTTCCAAACGGCGAACTTCAACGCGACTTACAACACCTGGTTCACTCCTGCCGTGGATGAGATTACCCGCTACCAGAACTACGAAGCACGCTTCAAGGCCGGCATGTACGCCTCGCACGTACCTCTTCTGACCGGCAACTCCAATTACGAGGGCGCTCTCTTCGGTCTCGTATACTCAGGCGAGAACACCAACTTCACCAAGTGGATCAACCTCTTTGATGCCGACGTTGCTAATGTCCCTGACGACAAGCTCCTAGCTGCGTACAACCAGGCCGACTACGACACCGTGTCCGAGATGAGCGGCGCGCAGTACGGTGATGCTCGCTTCTTCTGCCCCGTAGACTACCTGCTCGATTTGCGCAGCACTAAGCAGAATACCTGGATCTACCGCTTCTTCGCAAACTACTCGCAGGGCCTACCAGTCAAGGCGCCGACCCACGGTGCCGAGATCCCCTTTTTCTTCGGTGGAAACGAGGTTTTCGAAGGTCAAGATGTGACGACGGAGGACCAGGCGTTGGCTGATTACCAGAACAACTGGTTCGTGGAGTGGATCAAGAACCCTACTGCCGGGCCTGGGTGGAACAAGGCCAGCCCCAAGCAGGGTACTCTTGCGAAGTTGGGTGTTCCGGGCAATGACTTGACTATTGAGCTTGCTTCCACATCTGACTACAACGGAAAATGCCAGTCGGTAAGTACCATCCTTAAGTCCTTTTGCTTTCCTCTTCATAACACTAATTGCTAACAGGTCTATAATCCGTACCTTCCCAAATACCCAGTCATCCAGAGCGTTTATGCTTCATGAGTGTACTCGTTCTAGTTATCAAAAGCCACCATTATAGAATATTTAATCATATAGTATATTACGCATGGCGATCCTCTTGACATGAAGCTAGAATCTATCTGTTAGCCGTGAGGAAGCGCTTCACTGTTCGTAGAATACGGCTACAGTTCGACATTTACCCCTGACTGTTCGCCGACGGAAATAGCTTAATGGCATAGCAACATAATCAAGGTTCCATTGAGCTCCGATTCATTCGAGCCGTTTAACTGGCCTCTCTGCAAACAGCCGACCCACGCATCGAGAGAACTTCCAAGACAGGTACGTCATCGCCTCGCAAAGTATGGCTTGCACATCTACAGCACCCCGTTTAGATCCACCTCAAGAATCCTCCAAAGACGCTAGCACTTTGAAATGGATCATGTCATGGCCTTAGAAAAGCGTTCTGTTGCAACTGCGAAGACGCTCCGAGAGAATACAAGTCGCCGTTGCCAACGGTCAGGCCGCGCAGAACTCTTCATGATCTCGTTGACCTTCATGACCTTGACCTTTTGTTCAGGAAGCAGAAGCTTGGCTAGCTTGTTGAAGTCCTTCTTGAACTGCTCGTACGTCGGGTGCTGTGCATCGTGCTCAAAGCGGAGGTGATTCCAATGTGGCGCAGGCCAGTGTCGTTCACCCTCAATGACCACGATGAATTCCTCCAAGCTGGCCAGTTGTTGCAAGCGCTCCAACGGAGAGAAGTTGCAGTAAAACTCTCTGTCGGAGAGCCCAAAGGGTCCGCCATTACAATAGAGAGTGACAGTTATTCCTCGCAGAGATGAAGCTCGCGGATCGGCACAGATCTTCTCCACCATTCCATGCGCGGACTTGACGTCGATGTTGAGGTTCGATCGCATAGTATTCAAGTGAATGCGAACTGATCGCGCGCAACCGGGAGTTAGAAGTGGAAGGACGTGGTTCATTCGCTTGTTGTGCTTGTACTTGCGCTCATGGTAGTCGAACATGTGCCAGACAGATTGCCTATGTAGCTGTTCGATGCCTTCGTGAAGGGTTTGCTTGTTTGTGAGCAGCCAAGGATGTTTGTAGCTCTCGTCCGGCCACTTTCCACACTCGGGCCATACGTATGTTATGTCGTACTTGATGCGACCGTACTGTTGCTTGATGAGAGGTCCATCTTTCCAAAGCTCGTGGTACACCTTGTCGCGGAGTTCCCGTGGGAGTCCGAACAGGATCGTGGTTCCGGTGGCAGGCTGCAAGCGCTCCGTGGAGATCTCTCCTCGAGTAGACTTGAAAGGCGTGGCCGTGAGGAGTGGCTGCGTCGCCTGCGGCGGTATCTTCGCTGCGGAGCCCTTGCTGTCCTTGTTTACAAATTAGCCTTGCGCTACCGAAGCTTTGCACAGGAAGAACACGATACCTTGATAGTCTTCTTTCGCGCTACGTGGTCATCGACTGCCCCGCCCCGTTTGCGTTTGCCGACCATGGTTGAAGACAGCTGCTGGTGCTTGAGATAGCGCAATGCTGCTGCTCGCAGACCTGCGGCGTGCGTCGCTATATGGTCGACTGGTGAGCTAATGCCAAGTGAAGAATAAGTGTGCTGCTAATTGTGGAAGGTGAAAGGGACCTCAGCGGCGAAACACATCACGTGGCGACACAATCTACCTACGATATCAACCTGCGCATGCAGGCCTATGCTCCACAGAAGAAGTTCCCGCCGAAGGACATTCCAGCGACAGTTCTCTTTTTAAAGCATCCCTTCAGGGAATGTAAGGTCACTACGATGTTCTGGGCCCATATTCGGAGCCACCATATACAGGATGTTCAGTGTCGCGAGCGACTCGTGATAATCAACAGTAGTTATAAAGCCAAGTCTCGATGGGAGGAAAGAAATGTCTGCATATCGAAAAGAAATGATAGGGAAAGATCAACAATTTGATTGGTCGTGAGTAAGACCTATGCTGATGGTTGCAGAACCTATCTATTGCAATGTGTGGAAAGAGTATCTTTCATTGTATCTTGATACAAAAGCGAGCACTGTAGGTGCATGACGTGTCGACCGATCCAGCACATAAATTCTTTTGCACCAAAGAACGGGTAGAGCAGAATTTTAGAAGGTGCGACTTTCAACAATTCATTAAGAGAAAAGTTGGACAGACGTTACGAAAAAGAAGGCAACAAGGCAACAAGGCCGAGGGTGCTTAGGATGGAAGTTTGCGCTAGCGTACAATCCAAGCGAGGAGATGAAAGGAGAATATGGTTAAAATGAGGAGGCAAAGCGACTTAATGTGACGAATGTGATTTGGTAACGGCAAGAACTGTGGGGGCCAATTCGGCTGATCCATGGGCAAGCTGGCGCTTGACCACCTATTGCGGCAGTGATAGGGGATGTTGGAGCCAGGCTCCGGAGTGTTGCTCCAAAACGTACAATTTTCATCTCAGGAAACGGGTGAACGACTGAATACGATCTGACCAGCCGTGTGTGTAACAAAGTGTAACCTTGTTCGAACCTGGAACATAGCCACACAAGTACACCACACGGGCGCAAACAAGGTATCGCGCTGGTTTACATCTCCGCTGAACCCGATGGTCGTAAACTCATCCCAGCAACGACTGAAACTCGGTAAGTCTATTCGATAGCCCCGCCGCTGCAAGTCACCACTTTTCAAGCACTTTCTGTTCCCACCGGCCCCAACCAGATGGACAGCGAAGTAAAACGGCATTCACAGCCTATCAGCGCGCAGAGACTGATTAACCCGCCCAACATACATTGGTAGGCGGAGCCTTCATGCAAGATCGTGTTACGATTTTCCCCCTAGCGGTACCCCGACGTCCTGGCCCCGAAAGTGCACTGCATGGGGCCAAAATGCTAGTACAAAGACGCAATTACCCTTCGCATTCGACTTTGCACCTTCGACACAGGAAACCAGTGAAAGCGCACGAGCCTATAATTGAGTATGGCAACCTGCTACGGACAAGATGGTAACCCGGACCCTGACTATGTTCCTTGCAACCATACCGCCATCCTCGATCAAAAGCATACATCGTGTTGCAAGAAGGAAGAAAAATGCTTCACGAACGGGCTGTGTCGACACCAATCCTTGGGTACCGACACCAACTACTGGTGGCTTGAGGGTTGCACCGATCCGACCTTCAACGATCCAGCATGTTCAATACGGGACTCATGTCGCGACTGTATAGTTACCCAACATCTTTCCAGTAGACTTCCTGTTCGCTGATCATCAAAAAGGGGACAACCTTTATTGGAAATGTACCGACACGAACGCATGGTGCTGTAACAATGGAGGCGCGGCACCTCTCAACAATCGAACAGGCCATCTCAACACGACGTGCTGCGAAATGGCCGAGTTCATGTTCAACGCTCCGGCGCCGACTGAGTATACAACGGCTGCGCAGATGGTGCTCCCTATCAGCACACTAGTGTCCAGTTCAATGAATGCATCGACTCAGACATCGAGTCTCGCGTCGACATCGTCTTCCACGTCCATACAATCGAACATACAATCGACAACCCCGACAAATGACATATCCACCGATCAAATCCCACCAACGCAACCCTCAGGTTCTCCCAACAAGACCAGCATTGGTGTTGGAGTGGGCGTTGGCCTTGGAATAGCTGCCATAGCCTTATCTGCGATACTTTACATCTTGCTGCAGAAAAAGAAAAGGCGACACAATGAGTCGAGAGGGAATGAGATAGCCGAGTTGTCTTCACCAGTCCCGCGATTTGAATTGCATGGGAGTGTGGCCGCCGCTGAGGTAATGGGAGAGAAGATAAGATACGAGATGAGAGCTTGACGGCGTATACTTTCTGATAACTTGCATTGATACCATTTTTCATTCAATAGTACTGGGTCAAAGAATTCTTCCAGGGCTTTCATGTTGATGAGAAATGTCTTCGCGTAGCTTTTCTCGAGTCTGCAGCGAGGTAAAGACGACGAACGAATGAGCTGTGTAGGGAATTCGTATGAACCTGCAACTCGTTGAGTGTGTTGCAAATGAGGTGCGGTGAAGCACTGCGACGCCGCAGAATGATGTAACTGCAGCAAAAAGCCCATGATTGTGTTTAGTAAAATGAAGGCTGTACTTCTAAATCGTGATGTTGTACTCTTTGAAGGCCTCCTTGCCTGCAATGCACACCTAATTGTACTCGAGTCGTAGTTTCTCGAGTCGGAACCCAAATTGACAGATATGTACTGTAATAATGGTAATATTTCTTAAACCTAACGCACCTCAACTTTTATAGAAACCGTAAAACCATCCTTGTACGCCGAGACAGAACGCGAAATGCGTCGCGAGCGTAGCACCATTCGCAGAACTACACTGGTTGTGCAGCCATCAAATTTGGGACCGTCCGGAAATAAAGCAAGCTACAACCCAACCATTCGAGCCCAATTGTAATCGGGAAAACACTCGGCCAAGGTGGGCAAGGGTGATTCCGGAGGCGTCATGCGCGGTGTGCCTGGTGGCGAGTCGATGTCTCCGGGGAATATTTCTTCCCACTCCATTCTTGGTTCTCCATTGGCTGTTACCGAATTGCTCTGCAGGTTGCCTCGTTTCCAGGCAGGCTCAGTAGAGGTATGATTGTTGGCTTGTTCTTGCTTGGCTCGAAGGACACGCTGCTTGTCCGCTTCTACCATGCGGCGGAGCTGCATCTCGTTTTGCCCAAGAGCCATACGTGCAGGATTATTCTGCTCTTCTCTAGCCATCGCGGGGTGCCCTTGCGTGTGCAATTCCTGGGGTTGCTGGCTTTCCAGCTTGATTGGCACGCCGGGAGGCTCAGCGAACGGCTGGGTATTCTGCCAGAAGGCATAATGCTCCTCAGACTTTAGGAGACACACCTTTTTCTGATTCTTAAATGCTCGGAAATCGGTCACATGGGTGTGTAGAGCTACGTTTGCGGGTTGTATAGGCCCTTTCTGTTCTTCTCCAGTGAACGAACGGCGCTTTGTGATTTGTTGCTCTTCAATTTTGAGTGCTTCCACATAGTTCTCAAGTCCATCGGCTTTCTTCTGTTCCTCTTGCTTCTTATGGGCTTGTAGTATGCGCCTCTTGTTCTCCTGCTCAAGAAGCAGGTGCTGCATCTGCTGGTCCGGAATGTGAAGACCCTGGCTGCTCTCTTGGAAGTTCCCCTTGCCTTTCGTTCTGCGCTCCTTGTTCTCCTGCTCAAGCGATATGAGTCGGTTTTGGTAGGCCTGGAGTGGACTGTTGTTTTCCTCGATTCGATCTTGCTCTTGCTTAGCCATCAACAGGCGACGCTTACTATGTTGCTCGAGGAGCATGAGTTGCAACTGGTAGTCCTGGTATGCGGCCTGACTGGTTCGATTATCCTGCAATAGGAGCGACCCCATGTCATAATCGTTATTAATTGTACGACAAACGGACCCGTTCCACCCGGATGTTAGCGGTAGTGCACTGGGCGCAGATGGCGGACACGTCTGGCTCGTTGGATGATACAATAGGGCGCCAATGTCATGAACGAACAATGGGTACAAATCCTCGGTAATTTTGTGCTGGTTCGCAAGTTCAAGTGCGCGTTCAAAAGGAATCCTATACGCATTAATACAACAGCTGAAGCAAGAATGTCCTCTGAAACATACCACACTCCTTGTAGACGCGTTGGCCCGTTCTTAACCACGTCCCGCGTCGTGGTCGCATTCAGTATGACATCCCTTGTCCCACGGGATCGACCCGCTACATTCAACAGCCTGGTACCGTTGATCATGTGGTTATCCTCTCTCCTAGACACCGTTATACCTTCCCACTCAACGTGGAAGACGAGAGAGCCCTGATCCTCCCATAGTGTGGCAGTAACTCGCGGTGCCTTCCCGACTGGACATATTTGGCCAGTGTGATCAAACGCGCGCGTGGAGGCATTAGCTTTGGCTATGTTGTGCCGAGCCATCAGCACAGGTTTCGTCGAAGGCATCGTACGAGCTCCGGGATTGCACAACCTCTTTGCCGCACACTGGTCCCGCAAGCCGCGGTTAATGCAGCGTCTACACGGCCGTTCGTGATCTGTTCGTACCAGTATTAGAACTAAAAGGTCTTCTTTCTACAGTCGAGAGGGCTCAGAGAAAAAGTCTCCACTCACTGCAGCTTAGATGAGCTCGTTTGCATGGGTGGCACGCTCGTAGGCGGCCAACGTCTCGTTGTGGTTCCATGGTCTCAGCCTCCATGGAAGCCTCGTCTATGTAGCTCCGTACAAGACTTTCGTCGCGTTCGAATGCAAAGAGAATGTGTTCTGTCTGCGAGGCTGAAGTCGCGCGCGCAGGCGGCCTCTTATGGAAGCTCAACCCCGCTCCCACATGCTGTGCAACGTATGGGCGAGCTCCTACGCGCCAGCGCTAACAACGTTCGCGAGCAAGTGAACATCGTATATTCACGCACTCGGTCACTGCCCTCCGACTTCATACTTGTTCCTCGAGATATATGCGGAGGTAACGATCTAGTAGATCATAAATATACTAGTAGGTGACGCACGACGCGGCTAGACCAAGCCATTCGCCGTTAGACGCACGCGCTCCTACCAGGAACAAGGTTTGACGTCATGGACCCTTGGCTCAAAACAAAATCGACATGTCTCTTTTCGATGAAATGTCCATCCGATAATCCCTCCCGTCCTCCCATGTCCTTGCGTGCGCTCCTGTTGGCATCCGCAGCTTCGGCTGTGGCCCTGCCAGCCTTTTCTGCTGGCCAACAAGCCCAAATCCCACTACAGCCACTGGATCATTCGCAGGGCTACCAGTTCGACCCATTGCTGCATCTTCCCGGCATCTCGCCATATTTTGATGCTGTGGGCTTTGGTCTCGAGCACAAGGCTCCGGAAGGTTGCAATGTCAGCGCCGCCTCGTATTTGGTGAGACATGGAGCGATATACGCCAACGATAAGGAGTACGAGGAGTACATCAAGCCGTTCTTATGGAAGCTTGAGAAGCATCGCGATGGCTGGTCCGGTCCCCTCTCGTTCATGTCGAAATGGCAGTCGCCTATCGAAGAAGACAAACTGGAGGAATTGACCCCTTCGGGTGCAGTCGATGCGGCCAAGGTCGGCAAACACCTGCTCGAAAGATACGAGGATCTGGTACCCAACACCAAGCGCATCCTCGCTGACAAGAAGTCTCGAACATACGATACTGCTAAGAACCTTATCAAGGCCTGGGCGCACAACGACACCATTGATATTGTTCGAGTCACGAAGAACAAGGATGGGGCAATGGAGTCACTGATCCCACACAAATCCTGCGATGCGTTCTCGAAAGAGCCTGGCGCCGAGGAACAGGAGACATTCATCAACATTTACGGCCCAAGCGTTGCGACCCGACTTGCTCCATACGTACCGTTCAAGTTGACGCCGAAGGATGTCGTTGGCCTCCAGCAACTCTGCGGCTACGAAAGTGCTATCAATGGAAAGCGTTCCGACATCTGTGGTGTCTTCACTGACGCCGAATGGATGGCATACGAGTATGCCTGGGACCTGAAGTATGCATACATGGTCGGACCAATGAATCCTCTTTCTCCCTACCTTGGATTTCCTTGGTTGCATGCGCAATCCAAGATCTTCCAGTCGATTGATGAGCGCGGCACGCCTGGTGAGGGTTGGCCGGACGAGCAGCGATTCTTCCTCTCGTTCACACATCGCGAGGTCCCTCCTTTCGTCGCGACGGCGCTGGGGTTGTTCAACTCTTCGTCCAAGGCCGTGGAACAATTCCCTGCGGATCACATCAATGTACGTACAATATTCACATCCCAGAGTTTCCGCTGATAAGTCTCAAGTGGACACGAGCGTGGCGAATGGCCGACTTGATTCCTTTCCTCGGCCACGTAGGCATGGAGAAGATGACCTGCGAGCGCGGTGCTGTCTCCGGCGAAGGACCCGGCGAGTTCATCCGCTTCATCGCAAACACGGCACCACGACCGATTCCTGACTGTCAGAGTGGACCCGGCGCGAGTTGTCCGCTCGCTGACTTTGAGGATCTCATCGGGAAGGGAGCGGAGAGGCATAAAGATTTCCACAAGGTGTGCGATAAGAAGGATAAGAAGAAGGGCAAGCACGAGTAGAAGGCATCGGCTCGATGCCTGCAAGATACCGATACCCTGCTGCATTTGTATAAGAGCTTGTAAACCCATAATTGTTCCAACATCGCCATTTTGATCATATACTTAGAAGTCGGAAAGATACAGTCATCAAGTATAATTAGTCTAATATAGCCCGTAAACCCATTTTTTCGAGCCGGAATAGGCTGCCGTAAGCGAAGCCTATTGCTGCTGAGCTTGTGGCTGCGCAAGACGTTCTGCTTCACTTCTTTCTACCTGCGAAGAAGCTCATATCTAGGAAGTCACCACCCTCGCTAGTCCTGAGGTGGCCAAGTGTGACTCACTGAATACGAGCTCCTTCGTAATCTGCGCAACTCCATTTTTCCATTTCCTATAGCACTTTACTTATCTATCTCTCAGCACGAAACTAACAAATTCGCGTTACAGGTGCCTTTGGCTCTGGCGCATTCATACTGCGCTTTGAATCTGTGTATCCTCCGATCTGTGTGTGCACACGAAATTGTCCGTTGTTCTGAGTCTGGCGCTACAAACAACGAAGACTTCGTCGACGATTGCGATAGATTCACAGATCTCGGAAGACTTATGTCCAAAACGTCCTATCAGCTTAACCTCGATAATCAATACTAAGCTCAGGGACATCTGAGCCCGTTTCAAAACATGAATCCTTGCAACGCAATGGATCAATTCGAATACACAGTACTGCCAAGCGAAAATCATATCCGTATCATTGAGTTACTACCAGGGGCAACGGAGGACGTAATCAGATGTAACTTAATAACAGAGCTGCGACACCATGCTCAAAAACCATACGATGCCATATCGTACGTTTGGGGAGACGCAAAAGATGTCGAGATCATCTGCTGCCAGAAATCCATGCGCGTCACAATGAACTTGGCAGACGCTCTTCGAACAATTCGGACGAACAACCTTGGCGCGTCAGTTCGCCTTTGGGCGGACGCTATTTCGATCAATCAAACTGATACCGAAGAGAAGAATCAACAGGTTAAGGGGATGGGTCTGGTTTATGAAAACGCTACGCGGGTTCATATTTGGCTGGGACCTGACGAATGTGGCATTGCTCAGGATCTCTTCAGTCTTATACAGCAATGGATTCAGTATCTGCACGAGTACGGAGAGCCTTCGAAGGTCCCTCACACAATCGCCACCAGCGATCTTTGCAGAAATCCGAACAGAGGAGCGAGCCTCGCAAAACTCATGGAATTACCTTGGTTCTCACGTGTGTGGGTTGTCCAAGAAGTAGCGCTCTCTCGAAGCGCGCAACTACACTGGGGTACTGCGACCCTGGATTTCGCCGACCTGGTTGAGCTGGCTTGTTTCTATGACGGGAGCTCAAACGTCATCAATCTCATAGGAGGGGACAATGCCGCGCTGAGGTTTCTAAGGATCCTTTTTCGCTGCGTGTATCGCACTTACGGCAAGACCGCATTATGGGGACCCAATAAACCATATTACTTTCGAAGGCTGAGCCGACAGCACCCTACTCACAGTGGACTCTTCTTAGATATCCTTCTTATTGGAAAATCTTTAAGTGCCTCGGAGCCTCAAGATCACATTTACGCGTTTTTGGGAAACCAGCTTGCGTTGGATGGAGAGGGGAAGACGATAGTAGACCCGGACTACTGCAAGTGTGAAGAAGAAGTCTATCTCGGATTAGCAGATGCGCTCCTCAGGAGCCCTGAAGCGCCTTACGTTCTTTGCTTCGTGCAGCACTGCTCTGCTGGAGAGGTCACAGGAAGTAGAGGGCCGTCGTGGGTTCCAAGGTGGCGAACTGACGCAGCGGCTCAAAGCCCTACGTTTACGATAGGTAATATCGGACTTGGGCATAGAGCAGGAGGGAGTGTTGAGAAGGTAAAATGGAGGATTCAAGACAAGCAGGTTCTAGTCCTTCAGGGATGGATCTTCGATGAAATATGTTGGACTTCTGAGCATCTCAAGAGCGAGAACTTCTCACTTGACCCGGAGCGATGGGATGAGAATTTGCGTGCTGTAGAACGTCCTTATGTCGAGTTGCTATGGGAGGAAGTCTTACTTGCATTCGAGCGATGTCTGGGCTCTGTTCAAAAGTTGAAACGAGCTCGATACGAAGATGATTTCAGCTACACCCTCGTGACAGGGTACAACAACCCCCGGATGATAAGCCGAAAAGAGCATAGAAGTATTCTCAAGGCATACCGCCGAGAATTTGAGAGAAGACGCAAGAGTCAGTCCATTGATAGCAGACATATCGTGTCAAAGAGACAAGATAAAGAAGCTGGTAGATTCGAGACACATTCTCGTAATTGCAGTCAGAGGCGATTTGGTATTACAAAGAGCGGGGCGTTTGCGCTTGTGCCGAAGTTTGCACGAGCGGGTGATGTATGCGCTTTATTGCTTGGTATGGCGACACCGTTCGTGCTTAGGAATGCTGAGGTGCAGTTGCATGGTGAAGGATGTTATCATCTCGTTGGAGAAGCGTATGTTCACGATGCGATGCGTGGAGAGCTTGCAGGTAATCTTGAGAAGGATAAGATAGAATTTATGTTGATCTAGCAAGAGGGGTCAAAGACATGCGCATTCGAGAGCTGGATGGGAGGACTAAGAAGGGAGGCAGGCATGAATAGAAGACATTGATTTGATTCATGTAGGATACTTTTTGCGCTTGTATATAAGCTTGTAATCTATATTGCATAAGGTTGACCACGAGAGCATTGTGGTCTACATATCTCTGATGTGTATGCCTGCATATACAGTCACACGGAGCACGCATCTACTTCTGAATGATACACGAATGGACCAACAATCTAACACTGTCAATCAAAAGCAAAGCTTGGACTTGTCGCTGTCCAGCTAATGTGCACCATCGACCAAATACTTATGGTAGCCCTCTTCATTGAGACTTGGTCATCATGGTACCGCGACCAATACTTCAGCGAATAGATACGCAGTCAACCAAGGTCACGCCGTATTCAACGATCCTGGCGCGTGGTGCTCGTGGTGCTGGGGAAAGTGAAGTTTGGTAAGATCTGTGGGGTCCACGATGAGCAATTAGGGTGGAATCCCATCTGTGGGGCCGATCAACGATGAGAAAATGTGGGTGCTTACATGGGGACTCATAGCATGTTGAGTCTGGAATGCTTTGTAGTCATATGGGAAACCACGAACTGTAGGTGTCTGGCGTGTCCTTTGCGATAGGAGGAGAGAAGCTCCTTTGCTCATTCTTCCTGGGTGTTCTGTCTCGTTGGTTCAAATTGGAATCGGGCCGCACGCTGCTTCGCAAAGCGTGGAATTCGCGCGACTTTGGAAGTGGATTTGAGGGAGTGGACGACTCCCGAGTCCCTGTTGTGTCAGGATCTATTCCATGCCGACGCAACAGTCCCATGAGTTGATGATTCCTCTCTGACAACACCTTTCTGTGGTATTCCAATCGACGTATTCGATCCGCCTCTGGCTCAGAGGTAGCAGCCGTAGAGACGGATTGTAGTAGACGCCCAGACGGCGGCGAAGGCGACGTAAGTGTATCGCTACTCGCTCGGGGCGCATGTGCTTCTTCGGCCCGCGAAGAAACTCTAGAACGGCCTGCTCTGCCTGGAACGAGCTCGATCTCTCTCAACAAGACCTCCTTGGGATTCTTGAGGTGACGGTGGGCGTGCTAGAAAGCATGTCAGCTTCACCATGAGCTGAACGGACAGATTTCACAGATACTCACCACCCGTAGATTGTTCGCGCGATCGGTACTGTACTCACACCATCCACATTGCGTCTCGCACGCTTCGATCCGAAGTCGGTGTTTGCCGTTCAATGGCCAAGGCTGGTGGTGGTGGTTTCGACACGGCATGTTGTCAGTGTCGCTTGAGCGCTATAAGTTGCTGGGCTATGTACATTCAGGCAACATAAGGGAAAAGCGGCAATTGCAGGTTTCGAGCCGGCCATAGCAAGAAACTCGGACAGAAGATTTTTATAGGTGACGCGACGCGTGCCGCAAGTCAGACTGCCCCGCGACGATGACGGATGACAACGGGCAGGCATTAGGGCTGAGAATTGATACTTAATTGATATTGGACCCCGAATCCGCACCGGTGCGGCGCACCCGTAGGGCAGCCGGGAGCTAGACCTAGTCAGGGCTTGGTAAGCGGGCCGATACCGTAGAGCCCCCAGGATGTTCTACCAGCCCCGCTATCGGTACAACGGCGATCTCACAAAAGGTACTGCAAACTCCAAAATATCGTCTTTCCCACAGGCGATGCAAGCAACACTCTATAGTAGGAGACGACACTCTTGTTGTACCGCCTCACCAAGCAAAATACCGTCGAAAGAAATGATTTACTGTCGGTAGAGATATGTACATAGATGTCTGGACTGACGCGACCTCTTTCCCAAGTATCAATTGAATATCAACTCGGGACCGGTGTTTTTGCCAACAAGTCAACAGCATGGCCTGGTATATATGCTTCGTCAAGAACTTTCTCTTTGCTCTACGCACCACGACACTGAACGCAAAACAATACTAACCCCCTACTCGTTTCTCAACGCTATTAGTCTCATCTCAGAAGTCCTACCCTTATTATATACGATATACATTCCCACGTACGTGTCTAACGGCCAAAATGCTTGCCGACAATTCTATCGCGACTACACCGATATTGGCTACCAATGCCACCGCCAACAATCCAACCACATGGAATACTCCCATCATCATCGGTGCTATATCTGCCATCATGGCTGTCATTGTTGGGGTTCCCGGCGCCATTCTCGCTGTCAAGAAGATCCAGGGCCGCAAGCGCAAGCGTGCTAGGCAAGGTACAACACCATCCCGCTTCAAAGCTTCTAAGTCACTTTTCATTGTGTTAACGCCCTCGATCAGGAGACGCCGAGGACGGTGTCCATTTGGAAGTGGATGTTCCCGCTCGTTAGCAGCGCGAGGTAAGGCGGGGCAGTGTCAACAATACTCTCTTGAGGCAGTGTCTTTTCCTGTCGCATTTGAGCGTTGTATGCGTCCATAGCGGAAATACCATAGAAAAGTTTCAATGCAATCGAGCTTATTTCTCAATGACTGGGTAAAGCCGCTATTGAGGCGTGAAGTAGTTGTGACTTGTTGGAAATAGGGATCGTAGAAGTCTTAGCAGCTGGTTTGGCGTCAACAGGGCATCGTATGTACGATGAATTTAGCGGGCCCGGGACCGTCGGTAACGACGTGGACTCACTTGGCGTCAGATAACCGTAGGGCAGGGCGAAGGATGTGCAGATCTTGTTCGCCACGCTGGACCAGGTCATCGCGCTTCTGCAACAGGCTCTGGCCCTAGCTATCATTTTTCTAGAACCTGGAGATCGATCACCACTGATCTGCTGCAGCGCGGGCGGAGGAAGAGCAGATATTGGTCGCCGCGCTGGACCAGGTCATCGCGCTTCTGCAACAGAATCCGACCTTTGCTATTAGTCACATAGAACACTCAGACCATCCATCGCCGTTCGTTCACTAAGTTGTCTCGACAGGGCGGGCTCTGGTAGTTCATGCGTCGACGTTCGGCGCTCTGGCTCGTTGGCGTGGCAGGCCTGCGCGCAGCCATTGGAGTGGCGCTCGTGTCACGGCAGCGCTCGTTCGAGTAAGCCAGCGCACGCGTGATCGTATTCTCGAAAAACGGTGGCTGCTGGGAGGATCGTGCACCAAACAAGAAGAGGCACACTTGGTTAGGTAGCTCCGGCAGCTTCGCATGCATCGCAGCCGCCATGAAGGAACGTCGTTCATGCATATCGGTATCGATAAAATAGCGATTAATTGCCAGCACATGTGCCCATAGTCCCGCAACCTACCCAGGCGAGAGCTGTTATTAAATTGAAACACCGCAAACGGTGTGTCAAGTATGTCTCCCTCCATCTTGTTGCCCTCAGACCAACGATACCGCTCAGGAACAACAACATTGAAGAAAAGCGGACGAGCATTTCGCGCTCTGGAGGCAAAGCACCACATTCAACCTGTAAAACGGTGTTTGCTGTTGTCGCCTTTGAGCAGGCTATGCGTCCCAGCACAGATCTATACTCGAGTTGCGATACACTCGTTCGCTTTCTCGGGTCCTGGGCTTGAGGCTTTTAGGTTTTTCAAGTAAAACTAGGGGATGGTAGGTATGTAATAGCAGCAGCAATTAATAATCGAGATTCAGTAGACATGTTGCATATGACTACATTATTGTCGTGAAACTGGGTCGGAAAGTGATTGAGATCGCGCAAATCCAAGTCAACACATAAAGTCACGTGTTTGGACAACTCCCGAGGTCCCGGCTCACCTCGACCGATGATCTCGACCCAGGTTCGCAGCGTGCCTCTGTAGCAGTATCCGACACACCGCTGTCCATCCATGACCGAATACCACACGCGCCACCTGTTTGACGATCGACAAGGTTGCCTACGATGCGCCACAAATGAAACCGGGGTGAAACGAACACCGATCTCCACGCCAACCCCTTGCAAAGCACAGACAACCCGCCAAAAGCTTGACCAGACGTCTTCCTCAAAAGTAAGGCGGAAACAAGGCCTCAAGAACTCAATATCACAAAAATGCATAAGAAACAATATAAGCGATCAGTGATTCATTATTTACTCAAGATCCCCAACCAGACCAATACAGTAGCCAGCTCAAACTAAACAATCCATCCTAGCGCGGTCGCAGACCAGTCCGCTCAGCCCTGGTTCAATCTATTATGTGGTATATACATCGTTATTATTCTCTATCCGCTCCGCTTTTGAGCTGTGCCTATGTAGGCTCAGTGAAGTAATTGTGCCAGTGCGAGAAGCTTAGACACCGATGGTGGTGCGGCGGCCGCTGGGGTTGGTCTCCTCCTCGTCGGCATCGTCAGAGACGTCAGCTCCGTCTGTGGACTTCTTGGGAGCACGCTGGGAGAGAGCGCCTGTGGTGGAACCAGAGTTGACGCCTGCAGCGGTGTTGGCACCAGCGGCGGGAGCGTTGGCAGCGGGAAGGGTTCCGGCGGCGGCGGCGGTGCCTTGAGAGATGTTAGCTTGGAGTTTGACTCATCACCAGGATGAAAGCTTACCAGCAGTACCTGCAGTGCCGGCGGTGCCAGCAACGGGGAGCAGCAGCAGCGGGAGCGGAGGCGGCGGTGCCTTTTGAGATGTCAGTCAAATGTCCAAAGTCTTTGCGATGTTCGAAGCTTACCAGCAGTGCCGGCGGTGCCAGCGACGGGAGCAGCAGCAGCGGGGAGCAGCGGCGCCGGCGGTGCCTTATGAGATGTTAGTCAGATATTCGACTCTTTGTTAAGATGAAAATGTACCAGCAGTTCCAGCGGTTCCAGCGGTTCCAGCGACAGGAGCGGCGCCGGCGGTGCCTTGTGAGATGTTAGTCAAATATTCGAGTCTTCGCTGGGATGAAAACATACCAGCAGTTCCAGCGGTTCCAGCGGTTCCAGCGGTTCCAGCGGCACCAGCGGCAGGAGCAGCAGCGGCGGTTCCTAAAACGGGTTGTTAGATTGTGATCGAAATGATGGAGAGTGATTTGAAGACTATGAAGTATGAAGGGCTATTTAGAGACTTACCAGCGGTGCCAGCGGCAGCAGCAGCAGGAGCGGAGGCGGCGGAGCCTAAGAAGGGGTTGTCAGATTGCGAACAAAGTGATGGAGGATGGATTAAAGACTTACCAGCAGCGCCGGCAGCCGGAGCAGCGGCGGCGGGAGCGGCGGCGGCAGTGCCTAAGAGGGATTGTCAGATTGCAATCGAAGTGGTGAAGGGTGATTTCGAAGACTTACCAGCGGTGCCAGCAGCGGGAGCGGCGGCGGCAGCTCCAGCCATCTGGACGGGAATGCAGCCACCGAAGGGACCAGCACGAGCGGGGTTCTGGACGCGGACCATGCAGACGTTGGCCTGGCCCGCAACAGTACCAGTGCAAGTCTGGTTGGCCGGGATGGCGACGTTGAGAGGAAGGTCCGTCTTCGCGTTGTCGTTGTTGCGGCCACGAGCATTGCCGTCAACGTTGGTGACAACTGTAGCGGGCGCCCACTGGGTACCAGTGCCGGTAGCATCAATCATGGCAGTGTAAGGGCCCGCTCCGTCGCCGTTGACTTGGTGGAGAGTCATCATGACCATACCGCCGGCGCTGACCTGAGGAAGGGTGCCGCCATTGAGCTGCATGACCTGAGCAGTACCGGCCTGGACATCGTTGGCACCAGCTCCCAGAGTCTCACCGCACTGGTCAGCGGCGTCGCCTCGGAAGCGGGTGGAGTCCTGCTGGAAGGGGTTGCGGCCAGTGCCATCACGGGGAGTGTTGGGGTCAACTGAGGTTGTGATCAGTAAGATGTTCTTGGAATACTTGCGAAAGTGTGAACGTACCACCAATGGCAGAACCAGCGCCACCTGCATCACCAACTGCCTTGACGACAGCTGCGTGGCCAGCAACCTGGCTGGCCAAAAGGCCGACAGAGAGAACAACGGAGGTCTTAGTGAAGTACATCTTGAACCGGTCAAGTGGGCTATTAAATAAGCAATTAAAAGGATGAATAGAAAGTAGTGAGTAGTGATTACTGTAAAGGCTGGATGGAGATGTTGATCGCTGATGTCCTTCAGTTCGTCGCGATGCTGCTGCTTCTTATACCGCCGTTCGGAACTCGAACATCGCCACACTCAATAGTTACGATTCGTCCTTGATGCGTCGGACCTTGCTATCCGGTTCTCGAGAATCAGAACCGTTTTGGCCAAGATGTGATAGACTTCGTTAGCAAGGCATCTAACCGCCGGTGAACCCAGAAACAGCTTCCTGGTCGCATAACCATAGCAACGAAACATGATTGAGGCAAGAAGAGGAATCGGCAGGATGTGTTTTCTGTTTCCAAAACGTGTTGACAGATCTTGGCGCCGGAAGAATGATTGACGCATGCCGGTTGGGCCGTGCGATTCAGGTAAGGTCATGGACGAGACCGTGATTGAACGTCGTTTAGAGTGACATGCATTGAGACAAGGTGTCTGGGAACTAAGAATAGAAGGGAAAGGTGAATGGCAGCCGTCTGCGCCACAGCGTGACTTGTTTGAGCGGGACCATGGATCTGTTTCGGTAGTGGAGTTATATCACTCCAGTTATTCTAGTCTTAACGTTTGGGACAGCCAAACTAGTCTGGACCGTTTACAGAAGAGCCTAAGGATTGCTGACATACACGTCGAGCAGATAAGTCATTTGCAGTTGCATGGGCAAGTAGTAATTTAGCATGTCTTACTGCACAAGCGCAGGTAGCCACGGTGATATTGATAACGTGACCGGCTCTAGTAAAAATAGATACGTTCCGAGACGCTTTTGGAGTCTTCAAAGCGTTTTCCATGTCCTGTCGAGTGGGTCACCCGAAGACATCGGGCTTTCTGACTGTTTGCGCGAAGCGAAACGCAACAATGGACGAAACCAGGTTCAGACTGCAGCCTCGGTAGTTTGGGATGCTCAGAAAGTAAACATTTTCATGCCTGGTGGTTTCTTCGATTTTCCTATGGCATCGCGTATGGGTTCGTGTCGCATCAATCGTTTCACGCACCCCTGGTACCGCCGAGGTAGATCCGAGCCTGTTTCTGCCTTCGGGAGGTTCATCCTCCGATGTGTGATGATGGACATGACTACCTCTGGACGTTGATAGATTGTTGCAGATCGGATGGTAGGTGCAGAACGACGAAATTGACTGCCATTGATTACATAAACCAGAAGGTCAAAGCGCAAAGTGCCTGGCACCCGGCAATTTATCCGCAGTTGCACCTCGGCACTACCTACCATGCGCCCAACACCATCGATTTCCAGGATGTCAAATATCGCAACGGCAATGGAGTTATCATTCTCACACCATGAAAAGGTCAATCCGAGGCCGCCAGCGTGCACCACGAGCTCTTACCTAAGCGTTAACGTTCCTCGCGTTTCCCTCCCTCACCTAGCTGCACTGCTGTGCTTTCACACTTACCCTGATCAATCTCAAAGTCGTGCGAGAAGGATATCTGTACGCGCAATCAATGGAGTGAGCTTCCTACACTCTGCCGGCCTCCCAATTGTGGACTGGAGCAATTCTCATCGGCAATAGACTGCCGTGCCTACCGTGCCGCACAAGTGGGATGTTTGGGCACACGAACCGCGATTGTGAACCGCTTATCATCGCGCATGCGGTACTTGAGCGAAGTCTCTATCTGAGCGCAGATACCCTGGAAGTGATATGCACGGTATCTGTCCCTTCATGGTTTAACGCATTCGACTGCGGACCCTCACGATACGACTCTACGATAAGCTCTGGAATGAGAGTCAGGTCATGTTCGTCTCCGCATTCTGTGTGCTCATGGTCTGCCTTCACGATAGGCTCGGTCATCGCTACTCCGGCTCTTGTATTGTGATCGATTGGCGGATTCATGGTTGCAGTTCAACCGCTATGCCTCCTTATTTCGGTTAAGCGCTCCCCTCACCGCGATACCACGTTGACTATCTGCATTTGTATGTCCCCGCGTGTATGCCACTAAGCGAGTCAAGCCGAGAATCCTCAAACTCGTCTGCTAAAAAGCTTCGCCTTGTCCTCGTTACTGCATACCAAGTTCTGGTCGTTCGGCCTCTCAAGCCTTCGTCAATCGAGGCTCTCTTTTGAGCGAAGAAGTGTCTTCCGTGTACCAACACAAGATTTGACTTCAAGATGAGCGAGGTTGCATACGAGAAAACGGCGTACAGCACTTCTATCGAGGCTGGAAATATCAACCTTACAGAGAAGACCCATCAATGGGACCCAAACTTGAAACAGGATAAGATCGACGAGCTACATGCGGCGACTCATGATGGTGATTCTGAAGCGATCAGAAGAGCAGAGAAGGACTTCGTTGAAGACTCTCCTTACGAAGAAGTAAGAGCTGCAGTGAGGAATACAGATGGTGGAGAACCCGCAAATACGGTACGAGCATGGGTACTTGGCATGTTGTTCGTTACGGTCGCGTCTGGCATAAACATGTTCCTGTCGATGCGAAGCCCGGCCATCAATTTTCCCAATATCGTGGTGTTACTGTATGTGTTGCCACTACAAGTTTCTGAAGTACACACCATTTACACTCTAATAGAGTAGTATATCCTTTCGGTGTTCTTTGGGCCAGAGTAATGCCGACGAGGCAGTTCACGACCTTTGGCATCAAGTGGACGCTCAACACAGGCCCTTTCAATATCAAGGAACATGCTGTCATCACAGTAAGCAGATGACCTTCCCAAACTGTGCAGGACTCTGACAGGTCCTAGATTATGGCTGGAATCTCCATCAACTATGCCTACTCGACAGATGCTCTCCTCGCCTTGTTAGCAAAGCCGCTCTATAATCTCCCTATGTCATGGGGATTCCAATTACTCTTTACGCTCAGCAGCCAAGTAATTGGAATCTCTCTTGCAGGCATGTTTCGCCGCTTTCTGGTGAGCGCAATGATACGCATTTCTCTTTGTGTTTTACTCACTTGTGTGGTAGGTGTGGCCTGCCGCGATTATCTGGCCAAATCAATTCTCAAACTCTGCATTACTCCATGCATTCCATGATCCGAAAACTGATGAAGAAGATGCGAATGGATGGCGAATATCTCGGATGCGATTCTTTCTCTTTGTCATGGGTGGCATGTTTGTGTATTATTGGTTCCCTGGTAAGGCTTCGAAAGCATTTGAAGGATCCACAAAACTCACAATTCGTAGGAGTCATTTGGCAAGGCCTCCAGGTTTTTGCGTTCATTACATGGTACTAGTCCGTTCTTGGCTTCTTACCCTCATGTCACTGATTCGAGAAAAGGATCAAGCCTGACAACGTAGTGGTTAACCAGCTGTTTGGTGGCTACACCGGCTTGTCACTCATTCCCATCACATTTGACTGGACATATGTCTCAAGTTACTTGTCAGATCCCCTCCTAGCGCCGGCTCACGCGCACATCAATACCCTCATCGGATTGGTTGTCTTCGTCATCATCACCACCCTCGGGATATCCTTCACCAATTCCTGGTATGGTGACTTCTTGCCCATCAACACCTCAACCACGTTCGATAACACGCAAGCTGCGTACAACGTCACCAACATTCTTGGACCAAACTTCACATTTGACCTCGCCAAGTACAAAGAATACTCGCCGATGTTCCTAGCACCCACGTTGGCCCTGAACTACGGGTTGAGCTTCGCGGCACTCACCGCAGCTGTTGTTCATACCATCGTATTCCATCGCAAGGAGATCTGGTATCGCTTCAAAGCCTCACGGAACCAAGAACCAGACATCCACATGAAGCTCATGCAGAAGTATGCTCCTTGCCCGGATTGGTGGTACGGTATCCTATTCGTCATATCCGTTGCCTTTGGCCTCGCGACGATCCTGGCTTACGATTCGCAAATCCCCTGGTGGGCATACTTCGTGTCACTCATCGTCGCACTTATTTTCATCATCCCGACATGCATGATCTACGGCATCACTAACATTATGCTGTCTCTCAACATCATATCACCTTTTCTTGCGGGCTATATGATTCCTGGGAAACCCATTGGTGTAATGATCTTCAAGGTCTACAGCACGATCACCTTGGGACAAGCACAATTGTTCTCCGCCGATTTGAAGCTTGCACATTATATGAAGGTTCCTCCAAAGACGGCGTTCACCGCGCAGCTTGTTGCAACCGTCTGGGCGAGCTTTGTACAGATCGCAGTCATGAATTGGACGTTGGGAAAGTATGTCTTACACATCTACACATGGAAGTGAAGGTTGCTAATTCATGATCCTACCCACAGTATACCAGACATTTGCACACGCTTGCAGAAGAGCAACTTCACTTGCCCCAATGGCCGCGCTTTTTTCTCTAGCAGCATCGTCTGGGGTGTCATTGGACCTGACCGCATGTTCGGACCCGGCTCGATCTATTCTTCGATACATTACTACTGGCTCATCGGCGCCGCGCTGCCTATCATCTTCTTCTTCCTCATGCGCCTAGCTCCGAAGTCCCCACTTAGGTACCTAAATGCACCAGTCATGCTAGGGGCGATGGGCTGGTTACCACCTGCCACTCCGCTCAGCTTCTCATCGTGGGCGCTCTGGGGCTTGGTGTTCAACTATTGGATTATGCGCAAGTTCCATGGATGGTGGCATAAATACAACTACATCACGGCGGCAGGGCTTGACGCCGGGCTCATCATTTCGACGATCGTGATATTCTTCGCGATTACTTTCAGAGAGTACTCAATCCCTTGGTGGGGCAACGAAAAGCCATTTGAGACGACAGTGAGTGTGTAGATGTCGGATGATAGTGGGATGCTGACATGCTTGCAGGACTATTTGAACACTGCCATTCGTAAGACAGTAGCCGAAGGCGAAACATTTGGGCCGAAGACATGGTGAAGTGTCCGAGGAGATGTAAGGCGGATGGTTAGTCTGGGCATCGCCCCGCAAGATGGTAAACCGGCTGATAGGATGTGCGACTAGGATATTCCCTAACCCATGGTCATTGATCGCTAGGCAGCTTGTACCCGCTATATTGTGAATGCACACAGCTGGAGGGCGTACGAGGTCTCGTCGTACTTTGTTACTCTTGTGCTGAGAACCGAGGGATTTTGTTCTAGTAGCACTAGATGTGCTCGCTAAGCTTTAAATGGAAGAAGCTAGACTGTTATAGGCAGCCCGGCAGTTTAGATCGGGTCCGCGTGCGACGTCATCCGATGGCCGGCGCGATGTGCTGATAAGGTACAAAGGACATCAAGAAATTATTCCAGCCAAGCGGTGCTAAATGTGTATGAGGGTCTTTCGTGGGTATCACGGAAACAATGACGACAGACAAGAACATATAAGAAATCATCGTTCTGCTCTATAGTGGTGCGTAGTATATTTCGAAGGCCCTGGAGTACACTGTGCTACAGAGCTTCAGCAACGTAAATCTTTACGTTCCTGAACTTTTGCCTCAGCATTGGACGCATTGAAGCTTCAGAAGGCTGACCACAATGGTTGCAGCTTCATTAACTTTACTTGCGGGCCTGTTGCTCAGCAACGGTGCTTCGGCGCGGGCAGACTCGTCCCTTGTGAATGTACTCGGTACCAGACCACGAGCAATGGATGGCTCTCAACCCTCGTCAAGCATCTTACCTGGTGCATCTACCACCCCGTACACAACCAGTGCTAGCTCCCCGAACCCACCCTTCGACGCCCGAGAAGCTACCATCGAGACTGTCCACCATGCCATATACTCTGGGCTCTCCACTTGTCGCGAGGTCGTATCGGCTTTCCTTGCGCGCATTGAGACATACAACAACCACACCAATGCGGTTCTCACCCTTAATCCCAATGCTCTGGACATTGCCGACTCCATGGACAGAACTCTCGCTGCGGGCAATGCTACTGGATCCTTGTTCTGCGTTCCCATCCTGTTGAAGGACAACTACGACACAGCTGATATGCCGACCACAGGTGGAGCTATAGCATTGAAAGACTCTCAGCCAACGGAAGATGCACCAAGCGTGGCGGCCTTTAGACGAGAAGGGGCCATCATCCTAGGAAAAGCAAACCTACATGAATTGGCATTGGAAGGCATTTCTGTCTCATCACTCGGTGGCCAAACCATCAATCCTTACGATTCGACACGAACACCAGGAGGAAGCTCTGGCGGTACCGGCGCAGCAGTAGCAGCCTCCTTCTGCGTCTTCGGCACCGGCACGGATACCGTAAACTCTCTACGCAGCCCTGCGTCTGCAAATTCGCTCTTCAGCATGCGTCCTACTCGCGGGCTGATCACTCGGACGGGCATCATACCCATATCCACGACACACGATGTTATCGGGCCCATTGCGCGTACCATAAAAGACGTAGCCGTCGCACTAACAGTCATGTGCAAGACAGGCTACGATGCAGCCGACAACGCCACAGCCCTCGTCCCCTCTGCAAATCGCGCCATTGACTACGCAGGTAACCTCCCCTACGCCTCGCTCTCCGGGCTCCGTCTCGGCGTACTAAACGGTTTCTTCAACCGCACTGGTACCTCGGATCCGGAAGTCGCGCCTGTGAACGAAGCCATGGACGCCTGGATGGCAAGATTGACCGCCGTCGGCGCAACTATAGTCCCCATCAACGAAACGCTGTACAACGCAACCGCCATCCAAGCCGCCTACGACGTCCAGCGCTTCGAATACCGCGAGCTCATGGATGCCTATCTCCAGCGGCCGTCGCTCGGTGGAGAGCAGCCCGACACGCTGAACGAGCTGTACGCTCTTAAAGCGAGCAACGTGTCCAAGGGCGAATTCCTCGTGCTACCTTCGCAGTACGAGTATGTGAACACGGCACTCGTGTCGTCGACGAGTAATGCGACGTACCAAGAGCGCCGCTTCGGAATTCAGAATCTCACGGTCGCGTTGCAAAATACATTTGCAGCGAATAATCTCGACGCAGTGATTTATCCTGAGCAGAAGAATCTCGTTGTGAAGATCGGCTCGCCGTCGCAGTCTGGTCGCAACGGTATCCTCGCTGCACTTACCGGTTCACCTGTCGTTACGGTGCCCATTGGGTTCAGCAACGCGACAGCCGATGCGCCCATCGGTGTACCGATCGGTGTGGAGATTCTCGGTCGGCCGTTCGAAGAGCAGAAGTTGTTGGGTATTGGGTATGCGATGGAGAAGCTAGGGAAGGTGCGACGGGCGCCGGCGTGGGCGAAGGAGGAAGCTGAGGTATCCGAGTATAGCGCTGTGCCGGTTGTGACGCCGGATAGTGGGAATGTGCCCAGTGTGTATCCGTTGGGGACGCTGTAGGTTTGATTCGGCACAAAGTAATGCATGTGTATGTAAGAACGGCCACGTTTTACGTACAGCTCGATTTGGACGAGTTGAACAGTTTTGTGAATCCAATTATCGAACCACATCGGGAACCTCACGTCTTGTTCCCACAGAAACTGAAGGTGACCGATCTGTTCGAAGCACCTCTTGCATTCGATGATGGAAAATTGTCGGCATACAAGGGCTGTACTCCACTTGCGGGAGGTCGCTCGCATCAACCTGATGGAGTAAAAGTACTTGAGGGAAAGTAGTTTTACAATGATAAACACGCTAATCGTGCCTAGATTCGAGCAGGCACCTAGTAGTACTTCTTCCCAACGGTCACCATCTTTCCCCCATCACCCTGCCGATCAGCATCGAATTGGAGCTCGAGGTGGTGGTCGCCTATCTCGCGAACCTTCACTATTGCTTGCCAAGTGTCTCCATTGTCAATGCCACCGCTCGTGCCATACAGTGTTGCGCTCTGTGCCGAGTTCATCGCGAGCGCCAGGATATCTCCGACATTGTCCCATCCATCGCTGCCAACATATCGCTTGCGTATATGCATGGTTACTACAACCATCATGTAGGCCAGTGTGATCATCGCGTACAGAAACAGAGCGCTCATCGCGGCCCACGACGATGTACTTCTGAACCTATAGCCGTATCCGTATCGGTCGAACATGACCTGAAGAAGGTATTCTGGTTGTAGACCTGTATAAGCGACATTCTGGGCTATGAAAGACCACAGCGCAGTGAAGGTGGCATCTTCACCAGGTGATTCCGAGATGAGCCATGGGATATGGCCATTGTCAACCAACCGGGAAATGCCGTCGGCTACGATGATGCCGATGAGAGTGGCCACAGACTCCTCTATTGCGCCATTCAGACTTGCCGTCGTAATGTTCGGTGCCATGTATGATGTTATGTTGTTTGACCGTACGGAAGTCGGGGTGTCGAGCAAAGTCTCAATAGCTGGGGCATATTCTTCGTTGCCGTAGGCGGACTGGTTCGTCTTTGCGTTGAGATATGCAGCCCAGTCTAAGTTGAGATTCAGGGGCAACTCTGAAAGAGCGAACTTTGCCCTAAGGTTTCAAGATTACTGATCAGTCCAGGTCGATGATAGAAAGGGAGTCGAGTAACATACCTGTTCTCCGGTCGATACCACGAATCCAAAGACGAGATTAGATAGTCAGTCACATTGCTGGATACTGCCGTCGAATTCTTCGGCTCAAAGTATGCTGCGCTTCCTGCCCAGCGTGCGTCGATGGAACAGGCAACGACCCCAGAGGATTGAAACGATTCAACTGTGACATTGGTGCCTTCCACCGGTACTATGGCAAGCGCAAGTAGCGATGAAGAGGCGATATTGCGGGTATCCTTGAACCACTTAAATCGTGATTGAAGGTCTGGAAGCCCGTCCCAAATCGGATCATCGGTGTTCAGAACGAACGGATCATCGACATAGGCCGCATCGTCTGCCCATGGACTTCGTATTGGAGGGAAAGTGGCGTTGCGCATGTCTCGATCAGACTTGACCAGATCCGAAACACAATTCACATGTACCACAGGTTGATAGGTTGGCGTATCTTGAGCAATACGGAAACGTGGGTAGAGGACATCGCGAGTACCTCCAATATTGTTCCGGGTCGCGTAGTTGAAGAAAGTGCCTAACGTCAGAGCGGTCAACTCTGTGACAACTGTGACTGTGGCCCCGGTCGTTGAGACTGCCCTTCGAGCGTCTTCCCAACGCGGCACAATTCCAAAAGATACTGCTCGTTTGGCATTGCTGAATACGTCATTGAAGGTTGGACTATTGCGCGCAGCCGTGTATGTAGCGCCTATGAACCACTCGGCAATGTCGGCAAACCCGGATGACGGGCAGCCCATCGACAATGACAGTGGATCGGATAGACAACCGGCGTCTTGTGTGGTATTGCCAGTTAGTGTGGCGTTGAAAACAGTCGGCCAAAGTTCACTTGGTTTCGCCAGGTATGCGATCTTTGAATTTCGATCCCAGTTCTGGTCCCTCATCTCAAACCAACCAAGTGTGGGTATCATGGTGATCGCTGATGACGGTCCCAACACCACAGACAAAACACATGCGATTGCCACGAACAATCCGAAACGGCGTCGAAGAAGAAGGCCTTGCCAGAACGGCTTTCCGAAGAAAACACTTGGCCTAGACTCGTGGACGCGAAGTCAGTATCATACACGTATCAAAGGGAGGTAATATAGTAGTGTGGGCACTTAATGGTTACTTCAGGGCCGTAAGAGGCGCTAAGAGTTGTCCATTCCGTGCTGGGCTGTTACGTACGATATGGTATAAGTGACGCTGACCAGGCCAAACGGAATACCACTGCGACCTAAAAGGAGCCTTCGCATATAATAGAACATGACGAATGAAAGGGATGCTAGCATGACCAACTCGTGCAGTTTTGCAGCAAATTGCCACACTTTGAGCTCGTTTCGTATCCGAGTGTCGGAGAGCCTGAAATCCTTCCAGAACTGCTCCGTCCTGTTCGCCCAAAACAGCACTACGATAACTCCAAGTGCCAGAAAGTGAACCAAGAATTCTCCATACGGTATCCGCCGTTTGACGAGCACTTTGCCATCCTGAACAGGATGTGACGCCGGCAGAAATGGCTGATGAGCTGGAGATGCGTAGGTCATTGCGTGTAAAGGTTGTGACTCCAAATCCCAGACGTCGTCCTAACGTATGGAATAGGTTTAAGCAACCTCGATTACGTGGCTGGGGAATACCGAAGATAAGTGAAAATGAACGGGTCCGAGAAGCCTGCGAGTGTTCAACGTGAACGGTCGCCACCAGTAAGCCATCGGAAGTGGCTGCAGACAGAGCTCAGCCGGAACCGAAAGTGCAAGTCTCTCATAGGTCTGAGTGCGTAGCACATATCCAAAGAACGGATCTAGATCCATATCGCAGTGATGAAGGGGCGCAAGGCTGAGGCTGTGCGATGCAACAGATGCAGACGGCCGCCGGTTTGAGTAAGGAAACCGCTTGCGATACGAACGACACGGGATGAAAGTGACAGCGAGTGGATGAGAAAACAACAACAACGAAAGGCTAGGTTTTCAACTGGATGGGGGCCGTAGCATACGAGGATATTGTCGTTGATGGGGAATACACGCTAACCATTCGCCCTGACCCTGCATAACAACCACCCTCTACCACAATAGTAAGTATTTTTGAATTAAGGATGTAATAGAGTTTACGCTATACTATTAGCTCCCGTGTAGAAAAAGTAAAACATTAAGTATTGTGGTTGTGGTGTCGCAGTGTTATAACGGAGGTTGTTCGGCTATTTTTCATTCGGCGGTAAGAGAAGGCATTTGTCGAATACGACTCGGCACCTTCACACCTGTACAGGTGCCAAATCTCTGCCAAATAGCATTGTTACCTAAGTATAGCTATAGTAGAAGGGCGGCGGCGGCGGCTGTAGCACTTGATCGTAAAGTGTGTACGAGATCGCAGCCTGTACCTATACTCACGAATGCGCCACCGCCCTGGAGCAGAATTTTGTACGTGATTATCGAGCAACAAAATGTAGTACTCTATCATCTCAGCGTAGAGTCGCATGTTGAAAGACCGCGCGGTACCCGTGGACGATGTCGCGATGTCTGTCAAGTCACGTGCCAGTCTACCCCACCTTTCCTTATCAGTCGTCTGTACCTGCCGTTCCCGGCTGGAGGACCCCGCCAGCTTTCACGCCTCGGCCGCAGCCACCATCGTTCCACCGCGGGGAAGCCCGACGGCGACCTCACGCAAGCTTGAATGGCTATCTTGACTCTAGCGATTGCGGCTGAGACGCTTAAATCATATAAGCGTCCTCCGTGACACTTGCGCACCTTCAAATCCGCGATTCAACCACACCACAATGGCAGACATCAACGTCTCCCAAGCCGTCGCGCAGGACGACCTCGTCATCCCCGTATGCCCTACCCTCTTCCTCACACGCACAAGACCCGGCTGACAGCTATAGCTCATCGACTTCTCTGCCTTCCTCAGTGGCACGCCGGCCCAGAAGCAACAGACTGCCCAGGCCGTCCTCAACGGCTTCCAAACCGCCGGCTTCATCTACCTCTCGAACCACTCCATCCCCGCCTCCACCATCTCGACCGTCTTCGCCAACTCCGCGAAATTCTTTGCGCGCCCGCAGGACCAGAAGGACAAGCTAGCATGGTACTCCCCTGAAGCGAACCGCGGATACAGCGGCTACGGCCGCGAGAAAGTCTCGCTTCCTGATGAAGACAAGGGAAAGGTGGCTGAGTTGCGCGCGGTGCCTGATCTGAAAGAGTCGTTGGAGATAGGGCGCGAGGGCGAGAAGGGAATGCCGAACATGTGGCCGGCGGTCGAGGGCGACGAGGATGCGAAGACGTTCAAAGAGACCATGCTTGCGTTTCATGATACGTGTAAAGAGCTGCATATGCAGTTGATGCGGGCGATTGCGCTGGGCATGGGCATCGACGAGTCGTGGTTCGATGGGTATACCGACGTTGGTGATAATACGCTGAGACTGCTGCACTATCCTGGGGTGCCGAAGAGCATGTTTAAGAGGGATGATGGGCAGCTGCAGGTTAGGGCGGGGGAGCACAGTGATTATGGGTCGCTTACTTTGCTGTTCCAGGATGAGAGGGGTGGGCTGCAGGTTAGGAGTCCGAAGGGGACGTTTGTGAATGCTACGCCGATTCCAGGGACTATCGTTATTAATGCGGGGGATTTGTTGGCGAGGTGGTCGAACGATACGATTAAGAGCACGAAGCATCGTGTGGTGGAGCCGCCGCCTAAGGTCGACAACACGGGCTCGGATACGTACCCGCCAAGGTATTCGGTGGCGTACTTTTGCAATCCGAATTTTGAGAGGGTTATCGAGGCGTTGCCGGGGACGTACGAGGAGACGGGGAAGAAGTATGAAGGGATTAAGAGTGGCGAGTATCTTGTTAAGAGACTGACCGCAACGTACTGAGCAGCATTAATATACCCAAAAGCATTTACATCGTCATCCTCAGCACCTGATGTATATTGCGTGTATCTAGCCTGTCGACTCTTCGTGTACCATGCAATTGTATATCTCGCCAAGCACAACCTACCCCAGATCAACTCACCCACCACTCCCCCCGCCTCATATCGGCGTCTTCGCCGTCACCCGCATCGGATGCGCCTCCGTATTATACACAAAGTAATTAACATTTCCACCCTTCCCCACCCCATCCTCCGCATACTCCACATCCCAGATCCCCTTCCTGTCCTCCGGCGCCTGGATCAAATACTGATACTTGAGCACCTCCGCCAGCGTAAAACTATGCATGATATTATCCCACCCCCCGCCGTCCTCCTCGAAGATATTCAGCACGCCGCTGAACCCCTGGCCCACGCGCTCGGTTTTGTTCTCCGCGAGGGTATACGCCCACGCTACGTCCCGCCAGTATTGATTCCCCGTGACCTGGTACGCGTAGTACCAGCTCTCCACGGCCTCAGGCGCCTGCCCGTTGGGAAAAGCGTTGTTGTCGTCTATGAACCAGCCGCTCTTGTTGTAGAAGTCGCTCTGGTTTTGGAACCGCGGGTAGGCGAGCTCGGTTAAGTTCCAGGAGTACAGCGTGGGGCCAATCCCGACGGGCGCGTAGCGGTAGCCGTTTGCGCAGAACTCCGCGAAGTCGAGGCCGTAGTCGAGCCAATCTGGGCGGTTCAGCGCCGTGGAGCCCAGGATGAAGGAGCCGCCGATGAAGCAGGCGAGTTCTTCGGAGTAGTTTTGGGCGGCTTGGCCGGCGAAGGAGCCGGCCATGGTAAGGTCTGGCCGGGTTGAGGGGGAGGAGAGAAGGTGCGCGATTGTGGAGTCTGCGGCTGCGGTGAAGCGGTCGCCGTAGAGGGCGTATTTCTCTGGGTCGTACACGTACATCTTGATGAGGTATTCGTAGGCGGAGTCATTGCCGGATGTCCATCCGCCGTAGGCATCGAGGATCTCGCCGGTCTCTACGCTGAAGTTGCCGCCTGTTAGGCCGGGCCAGACTTCTGTGCTGGGCTGCAGGAAGTAGTTCATGGCTTTCTGGGCGAGGTCGCCGTATTCTGGGTTTCCGCTTAGATCGGAGAGACGCTGCCATTCGATGACGAGAGAGCCTAGTTCCGCGAGACCAGCAGACCAGGTCCCATCTGCCATGCGATAACGTGGGGCGAATGTGCCATTATTAATGAAGATGTTATTTACGGGGATGCCACTCGTGGTGTTGAAGGCGAACTTGAGAGTGTCTGCGAGCGTGACGCATTGCGTGAGGAGCGCCTCGACTTTGTCCTCGTCCACGTCTAGGTGGTCGAAGGGACCCTTCAGCAAGTCGTACGCGGCAAGTAGACCGCCGACATAACGGATGTTCGTCTCGAAGAGACTGACACTTAGGCTGGCACCTCGGCGCGCGGCAGTATCCACCTTCGTGAAATCGATCGTGGGGATGAAGTCTAAAATCTGGTTCACAATGTCGGTCTGTTCCATAATGATAGCGGTGTCGAGACCATCGACGGGGGTGACACCCCAGCCATTGCGGCTGTTGCTATAGTTCGAAGTCACAGGGAGAAGGTCGTCGTTGGGAAACGCGATGGAATAGTATCCGTTCCAGGCGAAGCGGAACATCTCGATGACGGCATCGGCGCGCTTGGTCTGGTTCTGTTCGAAGCCCGTGTAGTCATAGTCGTCACCTTTTTGGCCTGGATAAGTTACGTTTGAATACTGGCGAGGAACGAGTGCTGTAGAAGCCAGTCCTGCGAGGGCTGTGCACAGCAGCACTGCTTTAGAGAGGTGCCCCATGTTGGTATCTCCTAGTAAGATGTCCTGCTAACGAGCGAAAATTACAAGAACGAACGACTGGCACTCCTTATACCCAAGGAAATCCAACTCTTGTAAGAGGGGAAAAGAGCTCCTGACTGCATCGTGTGAGAGCGCTGCGATGCCATCTTATCTCCCCGACTGTTATCGCCCCGCGTCTTCTGATATGAGGCCTCATGCATGCTGTGCTGGGTTCCGCGGTTCCGCGTGTGCAGTTGTAGGCATTGCAAATTAACTCCAGCATGTTGGGTCAACAGGAACAGGCATCTTGACCTGTCGATCGCACGGCGCTAAACTTTGATAGGCGGGTGAGGACTTCTCCTGGAGGGTACATATGCTAGTTTGCTGCATATGCGTGTTGTCCGACAGAACAAACACATGATTCTTGAAGGGCAGATGAACATGTCGTTGTGCATGGCGACACAGATGGAGTTGTGGGGACGTGGAGCGAATCCACGCTAGACGTAGCGTGTTTTCTGGTGGAGGCACGCGACGGGGGGCGTCATCCGAGCATCGCTCGTATTCAACGCTCATCCCGTAAAGGTACATCCGAAGCCGGATGGCCCCAACAGGAAGGTCATCTCTACCGCCCTGAAGCTTGCAACTCCGTCACCGCATCCCGCTAGGGCTTGCAGCTTGCGCCTCTACTCTACATATCTACCAGGGCCCCCCACCTTCAAGTATACACAGTACGGGCACGATGTAACCTGCGCGCTGCATTTGCACGATAACGCTCAAAACGCCCCAGCGACGCCAAGTGCGCTCCTCCGCCGCTTTCCAGGCTTTCCTCCTTCGACAATGTAACATTCATAGGAGCCAAGCATAAGATGCGGGGAAGTGCTATAGCCAATCCGCAAGGACCTGACCCTAGTCGTGCTGATTGTTGATCTTGTACCTGACTACAAAACATGCGAGCTCCCTGTCACCGCATCCCAGCTCTCATCTAATCTACCAAGATGCGTCTGCAGTGCTTCCCTGCACTTTTAGGCGCTGCAGCAGCTCTGCAGCCTCTCCCTCCTGTACAATGGACGCAAGGCAATGGTTCAGCGAGCAAAGGTTTCTCGCTGCAGGATGCTCCCAAGACGATCTACTTGAAACGCTCGTTCGCAAACGTCTCTGACACCGAAGGCCTGACGCTCATCCCACCTACAGCGTACGAGTTTGCGCAGACGTTCAGCAAGGACCTCTCCCAATTATTTGGTGCCAACTGGACCGTGCAGCAAGTCGATTCTTTCCCAGAGGCCGGGATCTTTCTCGGCAAATTCAAGGGCGATGCAAGCCAATTGACCTATGAGAACGGCGTCGCAAACGAAGAAGGATATTCGCTGGAAGTCGGCAACGGAAGTGTCTTCATTGGCGGTACCGGCTCGCGAGGCTTATTCTGGGGAACACGCACACTGCTCCAACAGTTGCTGATTGCCAATGGGGCGTCGCTGGATCCAGGACGGGTCGTTGAAGCGCCAGCGTATGCTACGCGAGGATACATGCTGGACGCTGGTCGGAAATGGTATACAGCGGAATTCTTGAAAGAGCTCTGCACTTATGCATCTTTCTTCAAGATGTCGGAGTTTCACTATCACTCTAGCGACAACTACCCTCTGAATCGTGGTCACAACGTAAGTGCCTTCGGTACATTTCATTCGTATTTCACCCTAGCGCCAGAAAAGGAAATAAGTTGTCGGACGGGACTAACGATATCTTAGGAAACGTGGAATGAGGTCTTTTCCCATTTCTCACTTTACCCAGAAAACCCTGAATTACAAGGCATCATCCAGCGCCCCAACGAAACTCTCTCAAGGGCCGAGTTCGAAGACTTTCAAAAGCACTGCGCACAAAGAGGTGTTACTGTCATTCCTGAGATCGAAGCTCCCGGGCATTGTCTTTCGATCACAAAGTGGAAGCCTGAGCTTGCTCTAGCGAAGAAAGACCTTCTGAACCTCTCGCATCCGGAGGCAATCCCAACAGTCAAGGCCATCTGGTCGGAGTTCCTTCCCTGGTTCCAGACCAAAGAAGTGCACATCGGTGCTGACGAGTACGATGCTACGCTTGCGGATGTCTACATTAACTTTGTCAACAACATGTCCGACTTTGTGAACTCGACATCCGGCAAACGGGTCCGCATTTGGGGTACCGAGGAACCCTCAGAAAACTACACCATCTCCAAGGATGTCATTATCCAGCACTGGCAGTATGGCCAATCTGATCCAGTGCAGCTGCAAGATGACGGCTACGAACTAATTAACTCTGAAGACTGGTGGGCTTACATGAGTCTAAAGAACGACCACATGCCTATTCTCCCAGCCCCATACCCTCAATTTTTCAACAACACTCGGACTTTGAATTTTGCGAATGTGGAAGGCTGGCAATGGGACCCAAGCCTGTTCAACCCAGTCAACACCACAGAACAGCTTGAGCCTGGCGCAAGTGGAAACAAAGGTGCTATTCTGGCCGCTTGGAGCGACAGCGGACCAGATGCGACGACGCAACTTGAAGGGTACTACGCGATGCGTAATGGTATCCCGCTAGTTGCAGCACGGGCTTGGTCTGGTTTAAGAGGTGTCAACGTTAGCACCAGTGACTTTGACTCGTCGCTTGAACTCCTCACAGCAAACGCTCCTGGCCAGAACCTTGATCGCAAGTTCTCGACTTCGGCCCAGTATAAGCCTGCAGGCGGAGACTCGCCGCTGCTCTCTTGGAAGAGCACCGGCGGATACAGTGCAACGAATGTGTCTATCGGCAAGGGCTCCTACGGTCCGCCATACACGCTTTCCATCGCAGCATCAGGGCCTTTCACTTTGCTTGGACCAGACAGCTCGCTCTCCATCGGCACTGTACCATCAAACATCAGCACAAACGGAACCTCTACCCTAGTCTTTTCTACCGCAGACGGCTTCCCATACCCCCTTCGCTCAACTTCCGAATCAGACGGCCACGACCCTGGTCACCCGGGCCGTATCTGGTGGAATCTCACAAGCTCTACCCATCATCCTGTCCCCATCACCTTCCCAGCCAATATTCGCATCGAGACGGACGTTGTGAACGGGAGCAGGGTCTGGGTCAATGACGAGTTTAAGGGGCGATATGAGGTGTTTGTCTTTGGAGGAAGGAATACGATATTCAGCTGGAGCCAGATGGCATTGGTCGCCCCGTTGCAAAGCGCGAGCGGAGCGCTCGAGAGTGTGGTTCTCGAGGCTGGAATTGGTGGATCTGGAGGTAATGGAACGAGTGGGACATTGCCTGGTGGGCCTTCTAATAGTGGAGCTGGCCGTCTTGGTGGACTGTCTACAGTGGCCGCTGGCATTGCTATCTTGCTTGCGATGGTCGTAATGTGAGCGAAGTCTATTGATCTTACGTACAGACCATAATGTGAGCGAGGTCTATTGATCTTACGTACAGGCCATAATGAAGAAGTTATTGTCTTATCAAATGTGAGCTATCGTGATATCGAAAGCGGGCATCTCCGCGGTGGGCCTTCCCAGATCTAGAAGGACCCTGAGTGGAGTAGTGGGGCAGGAGCTCCCCGCACCACAGCACGTCAACGTCAAACATGCCAATGCCTTTTGACTTCACCTCTACACCCTCCAACCTACTCTGCTGACCGTGCCAACACCTCTGTCCTTACAGATCCGTCCTCAAAATGCCCATCGTCGACATCCACACACATATTTACCCACCCTCCTACGTCGACCTCCTCCGCTCCCGGAAAACAGTCCCCTATGTCCGCAACTTCGAAGATGCCCCAGATTCCAGCCGTCTGATTATCCTCCCCGGCGAAGATGACCCCAGCACGCCGTCCACCTCTCGCGGCCGCCCCATCGGCGCAGAGTACTACGACATCAAGCAGAAAATCGCCTTCATGGACCAGCACAAAATCGACAAGTCCGTCATCTCGCTCGCAAACCCATGGCTGGATTTCCTCCCCGCCTCCGAAGCAGGAGACGCAGCGCGCAAAATCAACGACGATGTAAATGAGATATGTGCGGGGTATCCAGGGCGGTTATACGCGTTTGGCACGCTGCCTTTGAGCGCGGATGCAGACACCATCGTTAAGGAGGTGGATCGCTTGTCTAGTTTGAAATACATGCGTGGCGTGATCATGGGGACTTCCGGTCTTGGAAACGGTTTAGACGATACTAAGCTTGACCCTGTGTGGGCGGCGATAGAAAAAGCAGGGCAGATGATCTTCCTGCATCCGCACTATGGACTGCCCAAGGAAGTGTACGGGCCTAGAGCGAATGAGTATGGACACGTTCTTCCGCTTGCGTTGGGGTTCCCGCTTGAGACGACGATCGCGGTGAGTAGGATGTTGCTGAGTGGAGTGTGGGATCGGTTTACGAAGTTGAACGTGCTGCTTGCGCACTCGGGGGGTACGCTGCCTTTTTTGGCGGGCAGGATTGAGAGTTGTATCTTGCATGATGGGCATTTGAAGAAGGCGGGGACGAGGGATAATAGGAGGAAGGTTTGGGATATATTGAAGACGAATATCTATCTCGATGCTGTGATATACTCGGAAGTGGGTCTGGGGGCTGCGGTAGCAGCGAGTGGAGCTGATCGGTTGCTGTTTGGTGAGTTCAGTTAAGCGCTGCGAGGCGGGGTGTATGAGAAAGTAGGTGTGCTAACGTGATGCAGGTACGGATCATCCGTTCTTCCCGCCGCTGGAAGAAGATGTCGAGGAGTGGCATAGCGTGAACGCGAATTACACCGCGATAGCGAAAGTCTTTGACAATGACGGGCGGGCGAAGGACGTTCTTGGTAACAATGCTGTGCGGATACTCAAGTTGGACGAGTAGGATATACCCAATCGCATCCAAAAGAAAAATCAAATCTATTGACCCTTGTGTATGGTATCTTCGCTATGAACGCGTAGCACGCTTGAAGACGAACGCCGGAAACGCCTCTCTGAAGAGCAAGTTGTACATGAAGTCGAGCAGAGGAGGCGCGGTTATCTCCCAGTCACTGGGCCGGAACATCCCACTCAGATCCGTTGCCATCCTCTCCCAGGTAACACAACCATTGGAATGTAGCAAATGGCAGCATAGGCAGCGTTCGTGGAAGACGAAAAGATGTGACCGGGTAGACTTCGAATGTCTTGGTGGTGCGAGGGAGTGTGGTCCGCGATACCATCTTCAACATCGTCTAAGCAGGAGAGTCAGTCTACTGTGAATCTTTGCCAACCACGTATAGTCAAGTGGTATGCATCGAGACATGATTTAAGATATCGTACCTTGGTTGCGGTCTTTGCGGCTTTGAAGTTTTCTCACGGCAAGAATTGCGCCGGGAACGCCTACAACAACAGCTAGAACGCCAAAGATGGTACCGATTACAAGTGGTGGAGTCCAAGTTGAGGGGTCATTGGTGGTGTTCTTACTAGTCGACATTGTGTGTGAATAGGTAATTCTTCTGTGTGTAGAATGAAACTAAGTTTTATGAAAAGTGTATGTATGAGTTAGGTTGCTCGAAGGATTATACACAACTTCAGGCTTTAGAACGGCAGTTTGGGTGGCCGTAAAGCGTTAGTTCATGACTTGCCCGGGATAGGGCTATTGTTCCCCGGGTTTCGCCATTGGTAGCATCGTTCCGCACCAGCCGCATTAGGCTTGCATACACCTGCAGGTGCGATACCACGTGACTGCCTACGCCACTCTTTCATACTCACCGGTAATGATTGCCACGCACCTTCGGCTGCAGAGAGCGGATTGGACTGTGTTCAAAGTCTAGTCACGTGTTTAGAGTCTCCATACACCCAAATTGATCTTCTCGCTCTTCATAACCTCGATCAGCCCACGGGCACCTCCAAGCGCAACTTTTTTTACCGGGCTGCGTAACCAGCCACTCCTATTCAGAATTGCTGTGTTTTACGAGAATGGCTGACGTGCCGAAGTTTTGTTCGATTCTGTAGTCAATCGGATGCTTTGGTCAATCCGCACATGTATAACATTGCAGAGCAGTAGGCCACGATCTACAAAGAGACTCTTAGGTATTGCGTTTTTATTTCTTTCGACCTGGTACTCAAGGAAGCTTTGCAGCCTACTTCTAATGACTCAACAACGCTCATATTAAATGCCCAAAGAAACATGCGCTATAACACCATAGAGCTTAGCAACCATGCTCATGCTAGGAAAAGAAGGTGTAGTAGAGAGCAAAATGTGTCTGGTATCTCCGCTATGAACGCGTGGCAGGCATCAGGCCAAAACCAGGAACACCCACTGAAAGGTAAAGGCACTGTACACATTGTTGATGCCGAAACGATCTTATTCTGCGTCAAAGTTCCTGTCTTGTCCGAATGCTATATCGTCTTCCGTGTAGGTAACGAGAGACTCTCAATATCTTAGGGTGGTCTCTATTCTTCACCAGACACAACGATGTAGCTTACACCCGTGTAGGTAGCGCTCGCATGGGACCGAATGATTCGACGAGGCTGTGGTCGATTATTTTGGGGTTGTGAGGCATTGCGATGTCTGGTGCCATTTTCGATATCGCCTAGCCAAGACAGTCAGTCCGATGAAATAGTTGGAGACGAAAGTAGTTGCACCTTGTGTGGAAACTTTCCGGCCCCGAAGTTTTAGAACAGCAACAATGGCACCAGGCACCCCGAGGATGACAGCTATAATAGCGAAAATAGCACTGATGATGATAGATGAGTTCCATGTAGGACCATTAGTGTCGCTATCAGTCGACATTGAAGATATGGGCGGAAAGGTGGAACAAAGTTAATGGGAAGTGAAAATGCTGTATTCGGAAGCAAAGATGTCGGTCAGTTGGTAAGAGGATCATGGGTGAGTTTTACAATCTTCATAGAAATAATACGGACTCAGATGTTGCAAGAGGCTGACATGCAAGCTGCGGACGCGAGGCGAGTTACCCGGTCATCATCATTGGCTCTGCTAAAGGACGATGCATCAGCCGTTGGCTGGACGTTCACATGATTGGCGCAAGGCACCTGAAAGTTGACATGATTGGTGTAAGGTGACGCCTAGCTATACCACACTAATCAGACGAGGAGCAAGCCACCATACCCGAGTACCGTGCGACCCATCTCCTCGCACCTATCAAGGGAGAACCTAAGCCCCGCTGTATGTGAAGTGAAAGTCAGCCTGTGCAGAGCGAGACATGCTGCATTGCAAAAGCAAAACTGATGTACCCTACCTGCAGCCTTCTGCTTTTACTCGATCGGTCTTCGCAGTGCTAACGACCTATTTGCAGGCCGGTGTACACTAGTCTAGGTCCCTCGCCAACATTTCAGTAATATCCTTTACAAGTACTCACGTGATGGCGCTTCTGTACAACATCTCGGCTTCAGGCACCCGCAGCCTTACGTCCTTTCCTCTCTCGCCTTCAAGCAGCCTATCGCCATCCACCAAAAACAAGTGATATTCACTAGCCAAAGAATAATATAGATTCTGTAATTGCAGTAGCACTACGTTTGCGCAACCAGAAAATCGGGCCTCGACACGCGCTGAGCGTATTGGAGACGGCGTTCCACGAGTACCTGCTTCTGCTGCTGTTTACGCCCTCCATATTCGGCCTGCGTCGAGCAGCGGTATCAATGTTGTACCGTTGTTACGGAAACAATGAAAAGACAAAAGTACGCACAGTGCAGTGGGCGGACGTACGATCAAGTACGATGATATATTACACTGCATCCGAACTGGTATCCATAAAAGCTTCATAGCCTCCATTGCTCAAAGACGCCCATACTCAATGCCCAAAGAAACCTGCGTTATAACACCATAAAACGCCTATCTCCACAGCAGCCCGTGCTCACCACAGCGCCGCATCCTTATCGAACCTCACCAGCTCCTTCCCTGAATCCTCGACATCCTTTCTCGCCTTCATCCGCATGTAAAAAATCGGACAATCTCTACTCGAGCAGATAACCTCGCAGTGCAAGCTGCCCTGACATCGCTGGCATTGCGTCCATAGTCGTGCGAATCGTACCTCCAACTCGCTGACTTTGGACAGTGTCTTTTGGTACAGCTCGCTGATACGTGGCCTGCAGTTCTCGCAAACTGCACCGTCTTTCTCCGTTGCGCTGGTAAGCGGCTTCTTGCACCCCATGCACGTCTGCGTCTTTTTCGCGAACTTCATGAGCCCACCCATAGTAGGCGCGGCGACTGAGATCGAGCGTGTGTGTTCGCCAGTGAGCAAGCTATTGGCCTTCTTCTCGCCGATGACAGGCTCGAAGATGCGCCCCAGAGGTTTGGCGAGCTGGTTGTCGAGGTAGTACCTGACGTCAATGGGTAGATTGTTCTCCAGAACATAAAGCGGATCTTCGGATTTCTCGTAGTTTCGCGCGCCAGCGGCACCTTTGATCATGACGTAGGCGACACGGTCTCCAAGTGCTGGAGCGGAACCGGCATCACGTTTCTTCATACGCTCGGCGAGTTCGTGATGGGCTTGCTTGCTCTGATAACCACCTTCTCCCTGTTTGTTTTCTTCTTTGGTAAGAGCTTTCGTGATGACCAGGTTAGACATATCGATCTTGTTCTGTAACAGGTCGGCGATGGTATCTTTTACGAAGCTAAAAGAATGTTAATCTCTATCGTTGCGTGTATGGAGGTTGTGCTTACTCTTGTGCACCTTCGGGGTCCTTGTCAATTAGCAACATGCGTAGCGATGTCTCAATGACCGTCTGAACCAGGCGGCAATTGTCACGGCGGACAGTCTCGATACCCTTCGTATCCATCTTGTCCCACTTGTCAGGGTTTGTCCAGTAAAGGCCTGCATACCGCTTCTTATTGATGAGAAGGTATGGATAGTAGACCTTTTCGAACTCGAGTTTGATAGGTTTGGTGAACTTCGTAGAGACAAAATCGGCAGCTTCTTGGCCCATCTTCATCGCTTCGGCAAGACCTGTTGTACCGAACTTTACCATGACGGAGTCAGTATCACCGTAAATGACTTCAGCATCGTGACTGTATCCGTTCGCTATGTTGTACTTCGCTTCGACTTCGTCTTTAGTTTTCTCAATCATCTGACGACCGAAACTGGTGGTACTACTGGCGATGGGAAGACAGGGTAGCTTTCCGTTCGTTGCACCAGTCAGACCGTAGACGGAGTTCGCACTGACTTTCAAAGCCAATTGACGACCGTTCAACACAGCTTTCTTGAATGGATCTGTCTCGACGGCCAGATCTTTCTTAGCACGTTTACGTGCACCTAGCAATTCCTCCAGAATTTGTGACAGTAGACCTTTGCGAACCTTCGCTGTGCAGAACAGGTCACCATTTGGTGTTTGGATGTAATCTTCATCCTTCTTCATGTTGAGCTTCTTGACAGTTTCCTGATTCAACAGAGTTGTGTAACAGAGGTTATGCGCTTGCATGATACTGGGGTATAGGGAAGCAAAATCGAGTGTGGCAACAGGCATTTTGTAGTAGCCACGTTTAGGTTCGATGACGGTAGCACCTTCATACTGGTCGTCCCCACCACCTTCTTTAGCGACATCGGGAATGAGAAGACCGTGCTCTAGCGATTTTCGGAATAGCTGACTCAAGAACCGGACTTGTTGACCTCGAGACAGGAGAAAGTTGAAAGGTACACCCGTGACTCTGGCCATTTCGGTGTAGTTAACCAGACACATAAGCTTATCGAGCAATCGCTGAGGAAGATACGCATCTTTCAAGCAGTAGACTGCCAGTCTTCGCCGCGAATTCGAATCACCATTGTATAGTTCTGTGATCATACTGTGGTGGACGTCTTCTTTCTGTTCTTTCAGGAAGTGGGCACACACAGCGTTGAGAGTGTAGCTTCGCAAGTGGTAGTCGCGTTGAATGAGTGATAGTAAATCAAGCTGAAGGCGACCGTTTGTATTCGTGGTTTTGGTATCGCGGGCTCCCAGCTGTGCGCTTGAAAACCTGGAACTGCTATGCTCGGACTGTTTGGTCTTCAGTCGTGTCCAGTACGGGAACTTTGCGGCTTTGAGGTGCTTGGCGCGATCGAGTAGGTACGGGAAGTCGAAGTTCGATGTATTGTATCCAATGATGACGTCTGGGTCTACCTCCTCAACGAAGTCGCGCCATTTCAACAACATCTCTTTCTCGTCGTCGAACGAGAAAAGTTGTGTAGCGGCAATTGGACTGACGGTATCCATGCAGAAGACGTTCCGAACGAAAGGTTTTTCCTCTCCAAATCGCGTAACAACGTTTGCGATCTGGATGACCGGGTCGATCTCAGCCTTGGGAAAGATTCCCTTACGACCCGCGCACTCGATATCCATGGAGAGAATGCGTAGTGGTGCGCTCTTCGAGTACTCGCCATCGGCAGGGTGTGCGATCAGGTCTTTATAGTGGATCTGGGCTTCGATTTGACAGTTCGAATGTCGCTCGCGAAGTGGAATTAATTTGTACTTCCCAATGGGGGCTTCTACCCAGGACATGCCGACGATCTGCAAGATCAGTTATGCCTTTCCTGGGAACGGGAGACGCTTACACTAGTATCCACCATAAATCGCTGCACGTATTGGATGTTGTCAAAGGTGAGTAGACCGCCGCCGTCCCGTACATTGCCCCAGAGGCCTTTCCAGTTGGCGCTGCCGGACTGTACCATTGTCCGTACACGGTTGACCATCTTGTAGTCATTGACAGTGATCTTTAAATATGGGCTTTTCTGATTGCCCTGATAGCGCAGGATATTCTCCCTCATAGTCATCTGCACCGAGTTTATTACAGCCGAGTGCTGATTGAATGCTTTCTGGCATTCTGATTCTAGGTAGGTTCCGAAGGCGTCGCAGTCGTTCTTCTGAAAGCTGAGCGGCGCGGCGATGTAAAAGTAGTGGAGGAAGTTCGTAACGTGGAATAATACCGAGTGGCCGTCCTATCGCACCAATTGTTAGCTTTGCTAATACTGGAGAGTTTCGTGGCCATCTTACCTCAGTGACACCAAAGAGCTTCACTGTACCCTTCCCACCGTTGAGCACGCCCTCTTCAGCATCTATCTGCTGCATTGTGATCCCATGCGTCATTTCATTGAAGTTGTTGGGCAGAGGAGGTCTCTTCCAATGCTGGTCCCGTTCCGCGTTGGTCTGCTTCAGCGACTCGATGTCCTGCGACATCTGCTCGAGCACCTCCTCCTCAAAGCGGCTCTTCTGCTGGCTGGCATTGAAAGAACCATTAGCAATCTTTACAGGCGCTCGGCCGTTCGTAGTGGCACCGTTATCGAGCTTCAGCTTCTTCGCCGAGCGGGGCGACGCCTGCATGTTCTGGCGGGTGGACGAGGCATCGCCGAGTACGCGCTTCGCTGGTGTCTTGGTGACGCCCGGCATATTGAAAACAACGGCAATCGCCGACCGGTAAAAGAGAGGGAAAGGGTATGGGGAATGGTCGGCGTGGTGTTGTGAAAGAGCGCGGATGCCAAAGTTGATTGATGTCAGAACACGAAAGTCGCGCCTTCCCGCGTTTGGGTCCGTGCCATCCCGGCCACGCGTTAATAGGTTGCGACACCAACCGACCTCCACCGATCTCCGCACTCTCAGACATCTCGCGTCGTTCCAGCTTGATAAGACACCTCATACTTTATGGCTGGGAATAGCTGCACTTCTTCACAACTGCTTGTCACCAAAGCTTTGAACCACTAGAAAGATGATCGTGTGGGCTCGCACTACATTACTTTCGTGGCTGCACCCGCGCAACGCTCCCAGATGTATTGAAAGGTATTTTCTAAGGTACCAGAATATGATCGAGTTCGACTATCGCCATTCGCAGCTCACGTTCTCGTGGATCATTATGTCTGTATTGAGAAATCTTGGCTAGGCATTTTGGGGCGCCTTATTATGTAACATCGCGACTTTCAGTACCCCTCCATGACCCACAGCAGTCATCTCTCCTACATTCCATCACTAGTCCTCTTTCCATCGTTACCTAAAACATACCTTTTTTCATCACCTCTTACAAAACAGCCAAGATGGCCGACAATTCAAATATCACCATCGAACCCGTCTCCGACGCCTCAGACTTTACCCAAATCTTCCACTGTGTCGCCGAAGCCTTCGGCCGCCAAGCCAAGGACTCCGTCTGGATAGTCACGAGTCCAGGATGGGACACCCCCGATGGCCAAAAAAGGGGCGCTGCTAGCCTTGTAAAGCGGTGGCAAAACGTCAAGACCAACAAGAGCGGCAAACCCAACACCGTCTTTCTCAAAGCCACACTTCCCGATCCCGCAGATGCGAGTAAGCGCCGCATAGCTGGCATGGCTATATGGCAGCAAGCTTCATTTGTAGATGGGTATGGTGATCCTCCTACAGACGACCTCGGAGCAGACTTGCTTCAAACCCTGGATCCTACTGATGCCCGGTTCGCTGGTCAGATGTTCAAGTCGTTGTGGAAGCGGAGGATTGCGTATGCAAAGGAGAAGGCTAGTGCTGATCCGCCAGCTATCTTCGTTCTGGACATGTGCGCGGTAGATCCGGATTTTCAGAGGAGAGGAATTGCGCAGAAGTTGGTGCAATGGGGTTTGGACGAGGCGAAGAGAAGGGGCGACTTGGAATGTACGACGGAGGCGAGTAGTATGGGAAGGGGCGCGTATCAAAAGCTGGGGTTCCAGCCGGAAGGAACGGAAGACATCGTGTACGAAGTCGACGCCGAGTTCGCAAGTCGGGACAAACCGCCAAATCTCTTCTTACGGACAGGTGTCAAGCACTAGGTGGGAGCGCGGGTATGCTGCATCGAAGTAAATATAGACCTGTCTTCTCTCACCCGTGGAAGGAGCTCTAGTGTTTGCACGCTAGCCGTTTGCTCTGACGTTGACTTGCTCCGCGCCCAGCCTACAAAACTCCCCCAGCGCGTTCACATCACCAAGGACACCGATCAGCCTTCCATTGCAGCAACCGTGCGACTTCCTATCTCGTCTTCAAAACCAATTCCCAACGTGAGAGCAATCGAAGCTTTTGGCCAGCGTGGCCTGCTAGTTCTGAGACAGGACTCACCAATTATACACATCTCACCACAATGGCTCGCCAGAGTGATGACCCCGCGTCTGTGGAGGTCGCAGACAAAAGGACTGCCCTGCGCGCTCTCCTCCAGTCGCACAGTTTGATCCGGAAGGCGCTTGACACAGCAGCCCAATCGGAACAGAACGTTCAGTCCAAATGTGCCGGAGCTGCGGCATATGTAAGCGCCAACCCGGGGACGGTTCAATGTTTCGTGCATAGGGCGTACATCACGGCGCTGAATGACGAGGCAGCAGCAATGGCCACGCGAGTCGCAGCTCTGGAGAAGGGCGACGAAGCTATGGCCAAGCAGATCGAGGCGTTGAAGGACTGGTTCAAGGAACGCGGCGTGGATCTCGATGAGGTGAAGGATGCGGTTGGCTCTGATTGAGGCTTCTACTGTACTTCACTGTTGTCACAACAACGTAAGGTAGATCGTTTCTACCTGATGGCTACAGCGCGATTCGAGGATTCCCATGAAGACATGTCACACGAGTGAGGCGAAAGCGTGATTGCCTTTTTTGTGGGGTTACCCAGACAAGGACCGAGACCCATTCTTTCTGTCTCTCGAGGTATGGGCGACAAAGGTTGAAAATGATTAAGGCACTAGTTAGGTACTTAAGGAAATCCAATGGCACTAAAATTTACTCCTGTACCCGCTGTTTCATAAGCGTTCACTTTTCCTTCAAAACACCTTTTGCTCGGTTTCTTCCTCGCTTCACATTATCAACTCATTCGAGGCTGACTCTGAATGGTGAGTAATTTAAACACCCTAAGCGCAACATAGCTGACCGCACTGAGCCCTCGAAAATCAACGCACGGGCAACCATGGCCAACATCCGCAAAGAAGTGGCCGAAAAGCTGAAGCTCCTCGACTCTCTTTTCGACTCACGAATTTCCATCCTCGAGAAGAAGACCGCAGCCCATGGAGCCGAACTCGACGCCCACAAAGCCCTAATGGCGATCGTGCACAGGGAGCGTGTAGACGAGGATTCGGCAGTCCTTGTGCTCGGAAAGGTAACCCCCACCCACGACATTTTTGGCGCGCAGATCGAAGCACTCAAGGGTGAGATCGCGGCTGCGTCCGCCAATGCTGCAGTGCTGCAGAAGGAGCACGAGGTTCTGCTCGAGCAGGGTAAGCAGGTGGAGGATTGGCTTGTGGAGCAGGGTATCGGCTGGCGGAGGGTGACGCCGAGATGAGCTTCGGGTGGGGAAGGGAGCGGTCGGCTTTGCTTGGTGATAGCATATGGTGTAAGTCATTTTCCTCTGCATTATAGTGGGCGCACGTCGATCATGCGCAGCGGTAGGTCGTGAATGGGCTTAAGTCAGTGCTGAGACAAACGTCGGCCTATCTGAAATGGACATGGACACATTAGCATGAACCACAATATTCAGGCTTTCTCCTTGTAAGCTTAAGGCGGCTTACCCAACGTGCATAGATCAAGATATGGAACGTTTGTACTTGTCTCCCTCGAATAGAATTGGCAAGCAAATGGTGCTAAATGTAGACCTAAAGCGTTAGCAAACAAATTGACCTAGATGACCATGCGATATATGTCCCTCTCACCAGCTGCAAGGCACTGTTCGATTCGGATTATCACGCTCTGTGTAGAATTGTTTGCTTTGCAGTACTCCTTGCTTCGGATTACATGAAGAGTCGCGAGTGGGGCCTGGGGCGTCGCTTCCGGTGCCAAAGTCCACACGCCTAGAGCCGCCTGTGTGCCTACCTGCGATAGTGGGAAAGTACGTGCGTGACCGTCTTGGTGAGGGTCTGTGCTATATGCGCGTACCATGCTTCACTAAGACTATTTTCTCAACTATGTGTATACCTATCGCTTCGGATTATTACTTACTCTGAGTATGACGTGCTCCGTGAAGCGCTGATTGCGCCGCATACTCACTTATTTTGGACGACCTTCATACCCAGCGAGTCTCTCTTTGCTCGGTCAACAACACCGACGCACGATCTGTTGCTGTCGAACTATCTTACACTAGTGTATCGAGTATGTCGCTTTAGTCTTTCGTTTCGGCACAAGAATTTACTGTTCGTGTTCTCTCCACCGTCCCCACGCCTGAAGAGCTAACAGCACTGCAGCAAACCTTCTACAACCAACTCGATCTTGCATTCGCCAGCATGTCCTCCCGCCAACATCCTAGCCGCGAGACCGAGCGACACTCACAAGTTATGCAAGCTCTCGATGACTTCTACCATTACCACGGATTATATTACGAGACTTGCGAGAGGGGCAGAAACCTCGTGAGCAGATTAGACGTCCTCTACGTGGAATACGCGCTGATCCCGAGGAGGGACCCGGCAAGGGCGGATCACCGTGAACAATACATGGCGTTGAGGTCAGAGTTGGAGGCTTTGAAGGAGCAGGCGAGACTGCATGAGGCGAAGTTGAACGAGTGCAGGGCTAGACTCAAGGCTCTTGGGTTCTCCGAAGACGAGTGGCGCTCGATAACAGAGGGAAGGGGTATTCCTTAATGGGATGTAAGTCTCGCTCTTGGAGCTTGAGCAATCATGGTGTAAGTGACGCAACGTCTGTTATGACACGGTGACTTACTAATTTGAGTGCAGGTGCAAAAAAGGTGGCATCTCCCTTAATGTATTTCGGTCAATGGGTTTCAATTATAACTCTTCAGCCGCTTGTACAAATAGAAATGCAGATCAATCATTCTGATTCTCAGATCCCACGGTGGAACCTACTGAATATGCGCGCTGTGGTGGCTATACAGATGGCCATGCGTTACAATCTCGCCACCAAGAAATCGTCTCCGAACAGCGCGCAATCGTTTTGCAGCATACCGCAAGTATATGAATCTCGTTCGCCCATGCGCTAACCGCATCATGTTAATCCTAGAGCGGTTCGGGTGATCGACTGCGACTATATCATTTTCCTATCCTGGCTTAGCACTCAGTGCTCAAGCCATACTCGACACGTAATTTGCGTGTACTGCCTGCACTTGCACGTCGAGCTTGTCCGCCAGAGACATCTGTATTAAAGATTTAACGCATTGCTATTGAATCGCAATGTCATGCTCGCGGAAACCAGAATGAAGAAGGCGGTGTGAGGATTTGGTTTGCAATCGCATAGCCGAGTTCTTGGATGTGGGTCTGAATGTACCTATGGTATGTTCCCAAATGTTACTCGCGCGAACCTTTCGCCAGATGCATCTAGATCTGCAGATGCGCATGAGAAATTATGCTGATTTTCCGTGCAGGATTGATTCAGCTCGCGGCGGAGAGATATCGAACATGATGAACAACCATGTGTGCCGCAACGTAGGGATAACATTTTCCGATTGCGCTTGCTCGCATCCCATAATTTTGTACCTCTTCTTGAGCTCATCTTGAAAGTAGCCATGGCCAGTATAATTTCAGAAAAGGGAAATGATGTTGGGAGTCCGATTTTCGTGTTCGATAGCATGCGCACACGCTCCCACCTTTTCTTTCGGTATCTGTCGACGAGCTCGGAATTGTATCCGATATACCACCCTTTCGTTTTGGCAGCTTACCTAGGGCCAGATAGATGGTATGATTCATGACTCCACCTGATTCTCAACACAGTGTAGAGCTTGAGAAAGTGGCACAATTGATTTGAACACGCAGGCCGCAATACTCGCGCGGTTGCGCAACCCGCATCAAGCAGATCGATGAAGACGGCAAGACGGGCAGTCCAGATATGACGTATCCCAACTCTCAAGCAACGCTGTTGAGGGAAATAGGAGAGGCGCGGAAACAGGGCAAGACTCCCCTTTCGGGCGAACACATCTTCAACGTGCTGAAGCAGCCGATCCTGCATGCCATGCACCGCGCTTCCTCCATACCCATCACGCATTTCGGCCACAATCCGACGCATATCCCCGATGAGATCTGGCAGACGCTACGACCGATCATCGTGATCAGGCATCCGGTGCCGCATATCAACTCAGGGTACGCAGCGTTGAGTACGCTGGGTATGAGTGTGACGGTTGGCGATGAAGATCTGGGTATCTTTTGTTCGCAGCGGTATTATCGGTACGTCGAACCTCTTCTCCCTCACTATGTGTACAAAACAGGTCGTGTCCAGGCTGCGCACGTCTGGCGGTTATGCGCTGTGGTCTCCCCCCTAAAGTTAGACGATCACCCCTCACTCACCTATACCAGCCACCTCTTCGACCTTCTTCGCTCCCAAAATCGTGCGCCTCTTGTCATCGACGCAGACGACCTCCTCTTTCAAACGGATCGCGTAACCCGGGCCCTTTCGGACACTCTGAACTTGGACGCTTCCCTCTTGTCTGAGCACTGGGATGTCATGCCGGAGGAACAGCGGCCCAAAGATCCTATTATGAGGGCGTGGATGGCGACCTTCCATGCAAGCACGGGTATTGAGAGGCCAGAAAAGGAAGACGAGAAAGATGTGGAAGTGGCGTTTGGGCGGTGGAAGCAGAAGTGGGGTGAAGATGTTGCGGAGTGTTTGAAGGAGTTGGCGGAGGAGAATCTCATGCATTATGAGTATTTGGCTAGGTTTAAAGCGTAGGGATCTGGGAAAGTTAGGCGCGTGTTGTGTTGGGAGGCACTTTGGTAGCGCGTGGGTGGTCCAAGACGTGCTTGCCAGCACCATCCGCAGACAAATACAAAACCAACGGTACACGCGAAGCCGGCCCCTGTCCGAGTCGCTCATTGGTGTGATGCGTAATTAAGCATTGCTCGAACTGCCAGTAAACGTTCTGGTCCCGGAAGTCGTCGCAGGTTCTTTTCCAACCCATTGAGTCATGTGCGAACCAAAGGCAAGCTTCTGCTGACAAGTTTAATAGGGGCCATTTACCTCTCGTATTCATAACCGAACTAAACTCTGGATACTGAAGCAACTCAACGAAAATACGCAAGTTCCAGGCTATGGCCGAGGTCGGAGCCGAAGACATCAGATAAGATGGGCTGATTGATTAGATTTTCACAGGCCAAGCGCGCTAGGCACCCCAAGCCGTTCCTACCGCTTCAACATCCAACCACTGGCCTTCCACGCTCATCTCCGCTGCAATGGCACCTCGGAGCCCTCGTCTGTTAGTCTTGTCCTCCGTCCTAGTGGGCTCGGATCTACGCATCCTCCACTGTCGGTAGCATATCACGGGGATCTCCAGATGTCTGCAGTGGGCACGAACACAGTCTTCCCCGCGATGGATAGTATAGCTTGAGACTACTTGGGGACTGCTGAAAATCGTGGTAACATCTTCTTAATAAGATGGCCGTGTTGCAAGCATCGTACTGGCATTCAACGCAGCGTTACATGGCTTGCTTCTATGGCACGTTCAATGCCGGCCCTGGCACTAGAGGGCACATAAGCCTTGGACCAGGACTTCCAGGCCGGAGCTCTCTGGGGTTATCCATCAATCAGATTAGATGGGTGTAGAAAAGCTTGACGCCCCTAGGAGTTTAATTTCTCTTGCAGTTAGGCTACAGGTCGCCTAACAGTCTGGTATGCGTCGCCAATGACTGACTCACGCCATTTGACCCGACTTCTCGCGTTAGCTATCGGCGCAAGGGTCCGCCATGCATGCACATGGGCTTTATAACTTCCATTTCGGTACGCAAGGAACCTCAGTATCTCATCCCAACCTCTTTCAATTACCTAGCTCAACTGCACAACGATGGCTTCCTTGGGTACTTCACAGGGACCGCAGGCCATCTCGACTGCTACCGACGTAGAAACAAATGCCCCCGTTTCTATGGTGAATCTCGATTCAGAGAAGGGAGGGATTGTAGAGGAGGCTGCTGAACCTGAAGATCTCAAGGATTTTCCCGATGTGGTACTGGACTTTGATGCGCAACATGGTGTTCAGAAGATAGAGGCTGTCACCCTGACCTGGAGCAAAGCCTCGCTGGCCGCTCTCTTGATCAAGTATGTTCCTTCTCTTCGAGATAAACAGCTCGCATCAGCAGAACGTCTAGGCTAACCAATGTTATCCAGCATCTGGCTCATTTTTCTGACCAACGGATTCCGAGGTTCTATCCTGGCTGGACTGACGCCTTATGTTACAAGTGACTTTCAGTCGCACTCGTTGTTGACTGTGATTGGCATCGTATCCGATGCAATGACAGCTGCTGTTTACATTCCGATGGCAAAGCTGCTTGATGTCTGGGGCCGAGCTGAAGGGTTCATACTCATGGTCTGCTCTGCCACCCTGGGCGTCGTTCTGATGGCTACGTCGCACAACCTTGCTACATTTTGTGCTGCACAGGTACGCTCGCGGTCTTTACGTTAGGCACTTGTGGCAAGACAAGCTCACATCTCTAGGTCTTCTACTCCATTGGTTTTGCCGGCATCATCTACACCGTGGCCGTTCTCGCAGCAGATGTGACTTCGTTGCGCAACCGAGGTATCGCATTTGCGTTCACGTCTTCGCCATACATGATCACCGCGTTCGCGGGGTCTAAAGCGGCAGAAGCGTTCCTGCTAGATGTGAAGAACTGGCGCTGGGGATTCGGCGCTTTCGCCATAATCGTACCCTGTGTGACTCTACCATTGTTCGCTCTGTTGAAGCTGCAATTACGCAAAGCACAAAAGCAAGGCCTGATCACGGAAGAAACCAGGAACAAGTGGACGCTTGATAGGTTTTGGAAGAACATTGTTGCATTTGATAGTAAGCCCCTTCCTCCATCGACCTTCTTTCGATCCACTCACACACACACAGTTCCCGGTGTCGTGCTCTTCGCAGGCGGCCTGACCGTCTTCCTCCTGCCTTTCACTCTTGCGACACGTGCTCCGAAAGGATGGAAAACCGACTACATAATCGCCATGATTATCGTAGGCGTAGTCGTACTCGCCGCCTTCGGTGTCTACGAAACCTACATCGCCAAAGAACCCTTCCTCAAAAACAAGTTCCTCACTGACCGCTCCGTGATCGGCGCTTGCCTCATCGACATGACCTACCAAGTGTCCTACTACTGCTGGAACAGCTACTTCACCTCTTTCCTGCAAGTCGTGTGCAACTTGTCTGTCGCAGAAGCAGGCTATGTGAATAGCACATTTCAGGTGGTTTCAGGTGTGTTGTTGTTCATCGTGGGATATTTGATCCGACGTACAGGAAGGTTCAAGTGGCTCTTCTACGTTACGGTGCCGATCTATACGTTTGGCCTTGGCTTGATGATTTACTTCCGGCAGCCGAACGTCAAAGTAGGCTACATCATTATGTGCGAGATTTTCATCTCGATCGGCGGATCGGTTTTCATCCTTCTGGTTCAATTGGCTTGCCTGGCTGCGGTCGACCATCAGTTCGTAGCAGCAGTGTTAGCGCTGCTATACGTGAGCGGCACGATTGGAGGTGCAATTGGCAATGCGATCAGCGGTGCGATTTGGACGAACACGTTCCTGAGCGCGCTGCAGAGCAAATTACCGGAAAGCGCGTTGCCGGACGTGTTGACCATCTACTCGAGCTTGCCGGTGCAGTTGTCGTATCCTGTCGGTAGCGCTGAGCGTCTTGCTATACAAGAAGCTTATGGATATGGGCAAACGAGGATGCTGGCTGCCGGGGTGGGAATCTTTGGTTTAGCCTTCATTTGGATGTTCCTCATCCGGAACCACGATGTGTCGAAGAAGGGGCAGACCAAGGGAATGGTATTCTAGACGGCAAGAAGGTGGAACACTCGTAGATATGTAGGCATGGACGGGCTGTGCCAAGCGCGTGGCATTCATGTGCGAGACACGCAAGCAGGACGAGCATTCGACGGCACTTGGATCAATGGGCAGAAGAAGTAGCTGCCCTCGAAAACGCGCGATGAGTTTTTCGTCTCCTTCGGCCACTGATTATTCTCGGCATTTGACAAGCTTTCGCGGAGCATTCGGCCTCACTAAACGAATTAAAGCGTAGTTGCTACTGATATCTGCATGAGTCTCCGAAAGTTCGAAATCAGCGAATCGTGCTTTCGTAAACCAACACGGAATGCCTATATAATCGTGTTCTCTATTGCTTTCTCGAATGTCGCTCTGCATGTGAACACAAGGATGCCTATGGTACAATACACCAATGGGATGTCTCCCTTTTGCGTCACACGCGCTAGTCGTTTGGCAATGATTGTGCTTTTCCCTTTTCTAAGCTAGTGTCAGATTATGCGCGGTCTTTGGCACGTTGGTCTACTACTGTTTCAGCATCGCTTAGCCCCTTGTGGGCAAGATACCGCCACGCATATCCCGTCAAACTTACTGTAGTGGTCTCTCGTCGCGTGAAACAAGAGAGGTACAGGTCATTAATCTCACAGGGTACAACAGACCCAATGCCACCAAGATTGGCCTACATACTGCTCACTAAACTTCGAATGAGTGCATACCCGGTCATAGGCCTAAGTAACCTTCACTTCATTCAATACAGTCAATTATTCTTCTCTCGTGGTGATTTGTCCTGCCACTTATATCTGGTGTCTGAAGGCTTATTCGCTTATCTAACCGAAGTGGACGCCGAAGTCGAAAAGAACGACTCTCACGCCATGGACTTCCGGGAAAAGTACAACGACCTTTCCCAAGATCATGTGGGTCGTAAAAGCGACATCGAGACGCTCGAGCAACAAGCCGCCGCCTTGAAAAAGACTATCAATGCTTTGAGCATCGGGGGAGCCGTGAAGCCATTGAAGATCAATAAAGAAGCGGGTCGCGAGCGCAGTAACAGCGTTGTCGAGGGCAACTCGACGATTCATAACAGACTAAACGCCACAGAGGCCAGAGCAGCAATGCTAGGAGCTGCCAGTTCCAAGCAAGCACAAGCATTGGAGCAACTCGACAAGATCGTCAGCCTCTCGGGCGCAATATTGCAATCGCAGGATGACAAGATCAAGAGCTTGGAGCAGAAGGTGGAAGAAATTACCATGCAATTCAGACAGCTGCACGAGCTTGCGTGTGTTTCTTTAGCACAACAGACCAGCGCAAACCAAGAGGTCGACGCTTTAGAAGCCAGGCTACTGATGTTGGAGGTACGGGGCGCTGAGCAAGCGAGAGAATTCAAGAGATCTGAGCAGGCGGCAAGCAGAATTCAAGAATCACTACAAGAGCGGATCTACGCCTTGGGGCAGTCTAATGCACGTTTCAAAATTAAACTTCAAGCACTGGAAAATCAAAAAGTTCAACAAGACAAGCAGCTTCCGGATATAAAAGACTCGAAGCCAGTTCAAGAGACTGAACAGGAACAAGGAGAGCAGAAAGGTTTGAAGAAAAGCCGAAGTCTACTTCGGAAGAAGCCCAGCAAAACCTGGAACTTTGGACTTGTTTCATGAACAACAGTATTCGGGATTGTTGAGTGGCTATAGCGTGGCGTCTTTTGGATAGATATGTATTCTCAGTTCATGTTTCTCTACGACGGTTTTCAAAATGTATATGTTACACTAAAGGTTCACTTCGATCCACTTTTCCCAATGTCTCGTCAAGGTCGATTGCTCTATTGTGTGCTGTCTTCAGCTCTCACTCCGATTCATCCGTGTTTATTGACTCTTCAACCTCGACTATCGCGTTCGATTGATATGTACTGCTTCTTTCTGCTCACGACTGCGGTATGGCATTAGACTTTCCTATTGCCTCAGGTGATAATTTGACATGGTTCGCTTGTCACTACTCCTTGTTGATTGCTATGCTCAGCTTTGTCACTAGAGACTACTCTAGAGCACCCGCTCTATTACTCGTGCTGTTCAGAAAACGATCGTTCAAGGTAAGATTCAACCCACTATCCCTCGTCATATTCACGAACACTAGGCCTTGATCCCTCCAGCAACGGAAGGATTGTACGTTCCATCGTCGTACACTACTTGCGCTCAGCGTAAACGTTCCGTGGGCTGGCTACAGGGGCGGATACAGGAAGCTGAGTATGTCGCATACGAAGTCGGCAGAATAATACTTAGTTAGGAGGGATCTTCTGCGATAGGTAGGCTTTATATCGCCTGGATTGCCTAAGATGGCCGACGCCATTCCTGCGGATATCAATAAGATGAATCCTTCTCAGAATGGTCCCTTCTGGCAAGAAAACCCTCCAACAAGCCGTCCGTTGTGAGTATCTCTGCGCTTCGAAGTCTCCGGCAAATTGACCTTCACACTCTAGCGTGAGTACTCATTGGATCTCAATGAAGTCGACACAAACAGAATTGATGAACATGGAAACCCCTCGACAATTCATACGATGGCACCGCACCGGGTGCGAGAGGAGGCTGCAATTTCGCGCTAAGCCAGATGAAGGAAGCGCACTCCATTGGCTGACTAACCACAAACTTTCCAGCAGCGCAACTCTCGCGCATCACCACATCCAAAGCCCCAGCCCGTCCACAATATGCCTCCCCGGCTCAAGGCTCTTCGCCTGGCCTCCTCGATCGTCCAAAGACCTACAACATGCACAATTAGCGTACAGTTTCCGGCCCCGGCACAGCAGCGCTTCGCCTCGATTCTCTCCTCGCTTTCCGACACCAAAGGCGCGTACAGCAAGAAGCTCCGCAAAGGTCGCGGTCCGGCTTCCGGCAAGGGAAAGACGGCAGGAAGGGGTCAGAAGGGTCAACATGCGCACGGAAAGGTGCCGGCGGGGTTTCAGGGTGGACAGACGCCTTTGAGCATCACGAAGCCGCCGAGAGGGAGGGATAAATATAATCCGTGAGTGGCCCGTTCAATTGGGAGGGAAAATACGCCAGGGGCCTTGGAAACATAAAGTGCAATGCCATTGAGTTGCGACGTTAAAAGGTGCAGAGGATGAGAAGGCTAACAGGAGGGTCTGCAGGTTCAAGGTCGAAATGTCGCCCATCAACCTCGACCGCATACAGTCTTGGATTGACCAAGGCCGGCTCGATCCCTCGCAACCAATTACAATGAAGGAACTGAACAGATCACGGTGTCTGCATGGCGTTCAGAGACATGGCGTAAAGCTGCTCGGCCGGGTACGTTTTTCTTCGTTTTCCCAAAACCTCCACCTTCCATTTGAATGTCTATCGTACGAACGGTCAATCTCGGGGTCAGCAATATATAACGGGCAGCGTACTCCCTGCAGCACAGTGGAAGACCTGCATACACAAGGCTAGCACGAGCGCCGAAATCCTTCGCCAACCGCAAAACCAACCCAACCCCGAGACCCAGTTCAGACATACACACGCTATGCATTCGCTTGGTCATATCCAAACGCCCCGAATAGCACATTCCTAAGTCGGCCACACGTGTGCGCTGCCGTCTCACCTCATCCTCCACTTTCACAATTATTACATGCACCCTTACTAACGCTGCCCCCATTTCAGAACGCCGATCAGCTCACCTCCGCAATCCACATCATCGTCTCCCGCGCGTCCGCCACAGCAATCGCCCGCATCGAAGCCCTCGGCGGCTCCGTCACCACGCGCTTCTACTCTCCCACGTCGGTCAAGCGCGTCCTGAAGGGAGAGTCGCACCCGATAATCTCGCTGCAGGCCGACGCGGGGCTAATGGAGCAGGGCGCTCAGTACAAAGCGCCCAACGCTTCCACGAGCATCCTAACGCCCGGCGTGGTAGAGACGTTGAAAGCCGTCAAGGCGAACCCGGACGCCCCTATAGAAGTGAAGCACGAGGCTCTGCGCGCCGTCATGGCGCAAGTGGGCCAGAGGTATAAGTACAGACTACCTGATGCGACGGCGAGGAAGGACATTGAATACTACCGCGACCCGGCGCACAGGGGGTACCTGAGCTACATGGTCAAGGAGGGACAGAGCCCGAGTTTGTTCTTTAAGACGCCCGGGGGCGCGAAGGATAAGAAGGATCAGACGGCCAAGAAAGCAGCGGCGAAGGCGAGCGCGGATAACAGGCTGTTCTAAAGAAGGCGGGGAGAGCGCGCTGTACGATATGTATCAAATCATGACGTCTTGGGGACATGTAGATATAGATGTAGGACTTGCGATGGAGAAGATGGACCGTTGTACGCGTAAACTTCCACTGCTTGATTGGATGTCCACTTTGCAGTTCAAGGTCCTTTCTTCACCGCTCACTTGGGCAAGAAAATAAAACATGCGGAGTGCTTTTGCCCAATCCCTTACGATACGAAAGACGTGCTGTCAGAGCCCTGCACTCGATTTTGATGTGGTGAGGCATGGCACACAAAACATATTGATGAGTACTCTCCAGCTCCAGTCTATGAAGGATTACACGGCAGCATGGAACTCTAGCTCCGAATGACATGAGTCGCACAGACATGGACGTCTATGAACTTTAGCTGGCTTCTACTGCGGTTCGTGACCAACGACGTCCAGCTCCAGATGAGGCTGAGCAGTACTGAGGTGACCTACCAATATGCTTCTTGTTCGACAATCACTCGACATACGGTCGGTCTAGGAGCCATAAAGGCGTCGAACTGCGGTGGGCCGCCAGAGTCGTCCAGCTCTACGCGTGAACACTGTCTAGGGCAACAGCTGCTGCACGTTCCCACGGTTGCCTAGTCGACAATGGCATGTTCACGGCCTCAGACCGCAGAGGCAAGGGTGATCTTGGTGATTGAGATAAAGGAGCTGTCGAACGGATGCAACCATAGCACGCAAGGTTGCAGCGCAAGGTCTGCGTTCGGGCGTTGACAGGATAGCGAGACGGTACAGCTGTGTACGATCTGTTCAATGCGTATCCATCGTTGGGCTGGGCACGCCGTCATGTCGCAAGTACCGAAGGGCATCCGTATCCTGGTGATTAGTGTCGCCCAAGCTTGGCTACTTACGTTGACCCAAGGTAGGTCGTGTAGATGCCGAAGGCATTCGAGTATTCGAACTCGACCAAGCGACATTAAAAGATGGCAACGGTAAGCAAGCTCAAGATAGAAAGTGAAAGCGACTGCAAAGTACAGTACAGTGGATGATGTTGCACAAGGAGTATGCACGACCGGACCGGTCAGTTGCACTAAAGCAAAGATATTGTGAACTATATCAGGCGGGGATGCGGTCGTGCTCGCCGTTGCACAGTATGCCACCAACAGAGCCGGCTGGATGCGTGTTGGCCTGCTTGCACTGTATAGTGATTAAGAAGTCGATACAAGGAAACGTGAGCGGACTCGATAAGAGCTGACTGCATGGTGGATTTCGGAATATTTGGTAACGCCCTGTATGCCGGAAAGACATCTTGTGGATTAATTAGCAGCGATTGTGGCTTCATATCGCTTGAGCCTGTCCATTATATCGTGGGCCGGAATACAGCAGGTTGTCCAGATGCATTGTATTTCGACCAGGTCAATCGGAATTGCTGCAGTCGTATACCCTATGAAGGCTTGGCTTATTGATGATAAATGCTGGTTTGCCTCAAGGCCTGTTCTCGTCACTACAACCTTTCAATGTACGCTCATGTACAAGGCGTTTTGGGTCCCATCTCCGAAACAGATTCAGCCGGTCGGCGGACCTCGTACTTCATTGCCACACAACCGCTGAATGCAGATCGAGGCAGCCTAATAATCTCTTGCGGAAGGCGTGTAGCCACTGTGATATGCCGCGGTGTTGCAAAGAAAGGACATGTCTGACCAGGGAAGGACGGATGTGAAAAGGACAACCATGTGGTGCCGGAAGAAGCGGACTTGAAGAAAGAAAGCGCTGGCAGGGATGCATGCCACGACTAAGCGTGTCACAGCTGCAAGGCCTCTTGGTCGGTGTCACAGGGCGCAGTGAGTTGACCCACGAATGATCATGGTGATCAATAATAGCAGCGACAAAACACTACAGACGTTTCGCCGAGACTTGCATGGTTGCAGCCACCCTCGTGTACCAAGAGAGGCTTCGGAGGTTGGGTTCTGCCGGCAATTGGTTGGCCGCCACCCTATTTGTGCCCGCCAGTGAAACGAGTCGCGCGTCTTTCAGCAATGTGCCAACGGCCGCATGCGGCATCTTGCCTCGAGGATATCTGCCTGCACCACAAGGAAAGGCGGTTGGTGGTGGTTCTAAAGGTCAGCCAAAAGCGATCGGTATCAGGCTAAGCACACCAAGGAAGCACGCGGATCCGAAAGTATAATTGGAGCCAGCGTATGGTCGGGAAGCGAATGGCGTTGAGGCTGCACAGAGTGTGTGAGGCGGTTCAAAGTGGGCATGGGCGGCGGTCAGAAGCGAGCGGTGTCCCTGATTCTTGACGTGGGTGTGCAACAGGAATGAATGGAATCTGCCGCCCAAAAGCATGTTTGTGAGGTGTCGCCCGTCGAGAAGATTGGCTGCAACGCATTGGCGCCTGCTCGCTCCGCGCATACCGGTACGGTGAGTGAAAGAGCCTTGCAGGGCAGAGCTGGAAGGTGGTGGTGAGAGCGGGCCTTGTTGACGGTCTAGCTGCTTGTGGGGCAGAGCGTCAGGCGAGTAGGAAAGAGCGCAATCGACAGATGACCACTGCCAATCAGGACTCCGACTGTTGTTACCGGTTTGGGCGTCAGCGAAACACCAATCGAGTGGGACGGCAAAGCTGTGGTGCATTCTGCGGAGGCGTCTCCTCCAGCTCGCCGGGAGGACATACTCTTCTCATGAATCAGCGTCGCAGGAGCGCTGGGAGGCTCGGCACTCTATCTTGCTAGTTCAATATCGCCAACATTGCCCGGGGGCAGGCGCGTCTGTGGGGTGTTGGCTGGACCAAGGAAAGAACTCCCTGTATCGTACCTTCCGTGCCTTGACTTGACTCCTGCTTGGTGCATGTCACACGAGACCGTCAAGGCGGCAACAGTCAAACCGTGCCCGCATTTCGCAGAGGAAGAATCAGGGCTGGATCGTGTGTGTGGCGCTATGTGTGTACTCGTGCGTGAGTGGAGTCGCAACCTCCGTGACTAGGTCAGCACTCGGGATACAAATTACGGGCGCTTCGACCATCGCAGTAGCCTCAACCAGTTGCTTGCATGCTGAGCTTGCCGATGACGGCTGCAATCAAGGCCGGCCGTTCATGTACATGCAATGTCACGGATGCAGTTCGCCAGCTGACATGTTTCGCAAGTACAATGTACTTGGACCTCCGATGATTGCAACAACATGATCCATGATATTGATTGTCCAGCTAAGGCACCGCTGCGTCACACAGTCGGATGCAAATGAGCTGCGCAGTTGCCTGCATCAACATACATGAAGTAAAGAGTAATGGCACGATGCCTGACCGCGGTGGAAAAACCTTGCAAGTATCCAGGTACTATGGGGCACAGTACTGCGTATGATTAGTAGGATTATTAGGAGTGCGATCCATCAAACCGGTGATGGATGCCTTGGATTCGGGCCTCTCTAGGAAGAGGTTATTGAGCACCGTTCCGCAGCCATCTTCATTCGTCCACCTGCCGTCTTACCTACTTCTTACGGCGAAGCGGGGATAAGATCTTTTTATTATGAAGGACGAGGAAGAAGCTAAACCCGGCCAAGTGAGGTTGAAGGACGCAGCCGAAGACCTTCGCCACGTTCGTGTCCGTCGAAGCGTGAGCAGGGGGCGGACAGCCTCGACGCGTCTCAAACAACGTTCGCACCGGACAGGGGTCAGACAGGAGTGCGTGTAAGCCGACATTGCGTGCCATGTTCCTTTAGCCGAACATGGAATTTATTCGACTGTTTGCCGCAAGCGGGCTCTCTCAGAACTGTGACTTCGTATGTATGTCGCCAGTGTCATCAGGAAGCGTCATCTCCGGTTCTCGTGGTCGCAGGCGGCAGCGGTGCGTGGGGCGGTCGTGCAGAAGCAAGTCAAAGAACGCGGGTAGCCTGGAGAGATTTTTGCTTCATCCCCACAGCTGCTTCCAGCGAGCCACCGGTCACAATGGTCCACCGCATACGAACGGATGTCCTCACCCCGAAGGCTTTTTGCTAGGACAGACGCGCTAACTCGGATGGTTGGGCGTGCTCGGCGTTCATAGCGATAGCGAGCCGATATCATCGTCGATAAATCCATAGTGGGATTTGCGCGTGGATTCAAAGCGCGGTACGTCTCAGCGTGGCGCGACTCTGGGAGGACTAATAATGCTGCCGTATGAGGTGTAGTGCCGTCTTACACCACCAGCGCTTCAGCGACTCGCGCTCGTAACCCTGGGAACAATCTGCGGGGCATGGACAGGCTGCCGAGTCTCCTCCGTATCACGCCCTGGCTCCAAGCCGCCACCTCGCCAGCACTAGCATTATGCTATCCACCATATTGGCGGTCTGACGGGATCGCTCTTCCAACAAGTGTCCTGCTGGACGGATGCACGGCTCTGGAGCCACATCACCATTGCTGCACTCCTGCCCATGGTCGTATCACGATATCAGCTACTTTACGGCGAGCAGGCGTCCAGATGCCTGTTTGAAGTCTGAGAGGGAAGCGTGCAGGGGGGACAGATGCAGCCGCACCCAACCTAGCTGTATTGTGCTGAGTCATGTGTGTATTGTTGGCTGCATAGTTTCTCGTCCAGGAGACATCGCACATGGGCTCGCATCGGCTTGCTCGCGTGAGCTTCTGACCTCGGCAGCGATGGATGGAGAATGTCACTGCGGCCGTGAATAGCAGCTGCGGCTAGTTTGACGATAGTTTTTGATAGACTGTACGGAGGTTCGCAAGGGGTACGCGCCTTCGAGTGGCTCATCAATGTATCGATGGGGAACGGACGAGGGGGGCTGATTACGTATGCGTTTAGTACCACACCACTCCGGCTGGGCGGGTGCGCAAGACCAGCATTTCCGCTGGCCATCTCACCCCACTCTCACAGGAAAATTCGAGTCGTCACCGCGCCGGCGCAGAGACAGTTGACAATCTTCGTCGTCCAGACCCCTGCACTTGCGCCTTCAGTTGCATTATCATGGACCGTCACGGTTGCACGGTTAGCGTCTGCCCGAGGCGTCGACCATGGCAGCATTCTCGTCGCAGGCCGCCAAGCGGAATGCCAACTCGAAAAGCAATGTCAGCTCCGCGCGGTGTTGCTGGGTGAATGAGGGAGGGATTCGCGAACCGCAAAGCGGTTGCATCTACCCCTTGGACGTGGAGCAGCGTTTGCAGCGGCGGTGACGGCCTGCAGTCGTGGTCAGGGAGTGGAAACACCCAGCCGCGAACCCTAGCCTCTTCAGCAGTCCAAGCATCCACGCAAGCCGGAGTGACGGTGTTGATGAGTGGCAGCGCGGGATCAACAAATACGTCGATGCGTGTTTCGCAGGGGCGCTGATGGACGACGGTCCTGCGGTGCAGACTGCCTCAACTTGGAACGGCGCAATCTGGCCTCTGTGCAGCGTGCCATTCGCCGGACAAGACGCACCGAGGGATGCAGTCGGCGACGGCGGGCGACCTGATTGGGGCGTGCACACGACGCAGCGCAATTTGCAAAAAGAGGATTCATCGATCAGCAGCTCGCTCGAAACTCAGCCTGCGCAGCGTCGCGTTGGACAGGGTTCGGGGTCGGAACAAGACGATGGTCAGGGTAAGACGATATTATTTGCGCGAGCCACGGCGGCTTTGCTGCTCGTATCGAATCTGGATTCTGATACCTTACTTACCGCTCAGACTCAGACTTGCGGTTGCCGTTCGTTCGCTTCAATTCTGGGCCGCCTGCGAATGCTGCAGCGGAGAGGATCCGTGGCAGGGCTTCGGCAGCAAATCAAACACACGGCATGGACGGAATGATGCACGCCAAATGCCATTCCAGACCGCCCGCTGCGACGTGATTGGCCCGCCGATGCACCTGGAGAGGGCCATCCGCGCAGCTCGTGGCCACGACTTGGGAGTGCTACTCAGTCGCGGCTAGACACGACGGGCGGGTGGTTTTGGGGTGAGCGTGCCCGTCATCTTGAGCGCTTTGTGGAAGGCTTGGCCGTGCCGCAGGCCACAGGCAAGGAGCGCTGCTCTGCCATTTTGGACCGGACTGCGGGCCCACCTTGTCAGGAGGCTACTGTGGTGATGAGTAGGCATTGTGTGAGCTGGCTGTGAGGCCGTCGACGCGCACGACAATCCGCGCAGCCCGCGGGATGCCCAATCAGCGCGGGCGGCGGGTGCTGAGGCGGAGGTTGGCGACGAGGCCGTGGCGCCCCAGCCAGGCTTGACACGCTTCGGGGCAGCACCGCGCATCTAAACGACACGACTGGGTTGCGGGCGGGTCAGATGGCGGACGCCGGCGTGGATAATCAAATCCCATGACGGCGGCGGTCGAGGGCTGAGGTCATGTCTAGTCGCGGCCCATTATTGCAGCACCTGCGGCAAACGCACGCAGCAGTCGGCGTTGCAGTCCTGCTGGCTGTCTCTTGTGCCGCCGTGCCGCTAGGGGTGCGCCCAGACGCAAGCATGACTGCACACAAAGCGCCCGCCGGCCACTCGGGCAGTGCGCGCAGTGTCTCTGGCTGACCGCGGAGAGGCTCGCTAGCGGACTGCTTGCGTTTGCACGCTGGGCCGCGCCATGGGCACTCTGATCCATGATGCAGACCGGGGCTTTGTCGGTGCTGCGGTGGACTTCTCTGGCAGCGGAATGGGCCAGTCAAGGACAAAGCGCGCGGGCCACTCAGCGCGCGCCTTCCCAGCAGGGGCCGCCAGTCCCCATTCACTCGCTCGCGGCTGCCTGCCTGGGCCGCCCCTGCACCGCGCACGGCCTGATGAAGTCAGAAGCTACGATCAGTCCCTATGCCTGGAACCTTCCGAGCCTTGCCCTTCACACTCATGAATTCTGTGCTGTTTTATCACCCCAACGGCCCCAAGCCATGCTTGTCAAGCAGCACGCGGCCCGGGGCAACAATCCCAGGCCCATTACGGCACAATCGCCAGCGCCCGCCCACGGCTAGCCTCTAGTCCTCCATGCACCCCTTCACCACGGTTTCCTTTATTGCCCAGCACCTTCTTTGCCTCTTCACCGAACCTGCTCACGAACCAACAACCTGGCCAATTACTGCCTAGTCTCATTTGCCCGGCATACCGTCAACAATTGAACAACACGGACGCTTCCCTTGCTTTGTGCCTAGCCTCCTTTGACCACCACAACTCCTCCGCATGGGTCCTGTCGTGAAGACGCAAACACTCTGAGCTCACTCATAAACGACCGCTCCTCACATGCCCAAACCACGCTGAGCCTTGGCCTCTGCTCTTGACCCTCACCTCCGACGCCGTCCACATGCTCGAGCTACAGCTTCCCAATCCGATGCCTCACGCCCTCCCGAGGGAGCGTCCTTTCGACTTCTACGCCCCCTCCCGCTCATCCTTGAAGATGGATGCCACCCGCCAGATGCAGCTGCCCATGCCGCAGTTCAACGGCCACCTCGGGCTCGATGCTCTGAGGTCCACGCAAAGGGCCCAGCCGCTCACGCCATCTTCAGACTTTCCCGGCTCCGCAGTAAGAGTGGTCTCTTTGCCGTCAACAGAAGGCACCGGCCGAGAGTATGGATACCAGTTGCCTGCCATCGGCAACTCACGAACAGCAACATCACAAAGCCCGACAAGACAGGCTCAGCAATCCGTGCAAAGCATGGCGCCTCAGCAACCCGTACAAAACGTTGCACAACGGAAGATTTCAGCTAACCTCAGGGTGCCGGCCTCGATCAGCACACCACAGGAGGGGCTGCCGCAATTAGCCGCCGAGGTGAGTTTGGCGATAGCTGTTCTCTCGCCTCGCGGTTGCTAACTTCTCTAGGTGACGTGCCTTTTCTGGTTCGAAAGCTCGACGGTCTTGAAACAGGTCCTAGATGGCAACTCACCCAGGATGCCAATCCAGCCTCTTTCGCCAGATGCTATTCCGACGACTGGCTTCAGGAAATGGGTGACTACCATTCTCACAACCACCCAGGTCGCACAGAACGTGATTCTCTTGGCATTGCTATTCATATACCGATTGAAGCTCACCAACCCAACGGTGAAGGGAAAACCGGGCAGCGAATACCGCCTCTTGACCGTGGCTTTGATGTTGGGCAACAAATTTCTCGATGACAACACATACACCAACAAGACGTGGGCCGAGGTTTCGGGCATCTCCGTACAAGAAGTCCATGTCATGGAGGTGGAATTTCTCAGCAATATGAGATACAGCCTGTTCACCTCACAGAAGAAGTGGGAAGAGTGGCATATCATCCTCGGGAAGTTCGGAACCTTTTTCGATCGAGCGTCCAAAGTACCGCCGCCCAGTGCCATCAGCCCAGTCGACGCGTTCCCCGCTCAGCTCGCTCATCCAAATTTTGTGCCTTCACCTCCCACGTCTCAACAGCCATCCCCCCCGGTGCAGATGCTGTACTCTCCATCGCACAGCCAATTCTCCCACGCCCCGCTTTTGCAACCGCAAGCTACGTCGACTGCCGTGTCTCCGATTGGTCCTCTACCGGAATTGGGTCCCATTCAACGCAAACGCAGTTCCGATTACACGGTGGAGCCGCCACCAAAGAGACATGCTCATGGATTTGCTCCAGGTCCTTACAGCAACGCACCGCTAATCCCCACGCTGCAAGCGCCCGTCAACCGATCCTTCGAGCCGCCTCCATCGATGAACAGGCTTCCGCCGCTACCCAGTCTATCTATTCCGGCCCCGCAGTCCAACCCCCCTATGCAAGTCAAGAACTGGTCAGACCTCCCGCCATCCGTGCCGGGAACTCGGTCCATGGCTATGGTCTACCCTCCTCCAGTCCAGTGGCAGCAACCTGTCAGCACGCCGACTTCGACAGCCCCTTCTTCCATTTACTCTACGCAGACGCCAACAACAGAGAGGTCACGTCAAGTCAGCCCTTATCCGCCCTCCGCCGGGTCTTCGCCTACTAGTGCAACCTATCCTGTTGCCGGGCAGCGGCAACTATCTCCGTCGTACTTCCTCAACCAGCGGCAGTCTCCGTACCGCCCGGTTCGTGGTGTTCACACGCTGCTCGTGCCTCCGCCGTCGACTTCGATGCACAACCCGGCCCGCAACATTGCATATGATCAAATGCAGTATCAGCCACTTGGCCGCCCTACAGCCGACCGTCGTTCCGGACCCCTTCCTTACATGGATCATGGCGCATGGCCTGAGGTCAATCAATTCAACCAACTGCCTGTTCCGCAGCAGCCCATCTTCCGTTGAGGAATCTCACTCCACTCTGTATATACATGTTTCCGAAGTCGACGCTCCCCAACGACGGCTTTTGTGGAGCTCTATCTCCTTATCTCGTCTTTTGTCGCCTGCGTTCAAGCGTTGCATTGCATTGGGTGGTTTTTTTTATTTCAAGCACGCTGGTCGTTTGGAGCCAGCTTATCATGCATTCTATTTCAGCATATTCAAGGCGTTTTATGTCCAGCATCTGCGGACTGGCAGCTCTCAGCATCAGTGCGAACATCATGGAGACGGCATCTCCAACATGCATCGGATCCTTCGGATATCATTCTAGTAGATTAGATGATTGCATCTCCAAACCTTTTGTGGTTCGGACGGATAGCACGAAATGGGATTCATCATCAAGCATCATCAAAATCTGTCCATGCATACAAGTGTGATGTAGAGGTGCCACGGTTCTCGTTTTCCTGTGACAACGGAGTGATGTGATGTTGGAAAAGGTGGGCTCTGATTGGGTGCAGGCGTTTTGGTAGCGGAGCTCGCGTGCGGTTTCCGTTTTTCAGGTGTTGGCCTCGGCAAACGTTAATGGGGAAGGTGCAGGATTGCTCACTGGCGTTGGCGCCGGCGCCGGCCTCATCGTAAGTTCGTTGGTGCAATATCAATCTGAAGGGAACGGACTTCTTTATTGAAGACATTGGTGGCGGGCTTGCCGATGGTTCGTTCGGCTCAGGTTAAGTCATGTCAAGTCAACAAAGCAAAGGAAAGGAAAGCGTGGTTGCGCGTGGCCTGGCCTGAGCTGAGCGTGTTTCTCATTGATCTCATTGCTTCATCTGAGTAATGTGGCAGGCGGGCTCTTTCTCTGGAGCTTTGAAGGCGCCTACTGCGCACTTTGTGGCGCACCGTGCGCGTGAGACTAGGTCTAGTTCGACAGTGCGTTTGCGTGTGGCGCCGTGGGGAGGTTAGGGCACTTTTACTGTACTTTGTGCCATGCGAGACACGGAAGGAAGGATGCACCACGCGAGAGGCGTCATGAATCGTGCGCTCGCCCGGCGTCGTTGGGGCGCAATTAAGTTGGCTCTGGGCGCTTCTACAATGGGTGATAATAAGAGGGGGGCAGGCGGCTCGGGGATGAAGAGCAGTGCTCGTGGGGCTGGTGTTCAGGGGATGGGGATGGGTTGGGTTGGGGATGCGAAGCGCGTATGCGGTGCGTCAACCCAAAAGCTGAGTTAGCTAGTCCTCCAGATGTACGTAGAGTATCGGACGGGGATGCCGAGGTGCGGGCGTGCATGCGATGCGATGCAGGTTCGACGCTGCCCTGGGCTGACTGACCACAACGTGAGGTGTGCTCGGGGCTTCGCTTACGTTTGCACGAGCCGTTTTGCCGTTTTGCATTTGCCAGGGGCGTAGACTGCGTGCCGTGCGGAGGACGAAGGAGTGTATTTGCTTTTGTGGTGCGGTAAGTGTTTCGGGTGTATTGTCACAGGCGGTGGGTGTTTGGTAGTGGGGTGTGAACTGCGGGCGGGCTGTTGAGTTTCGACGGACTGGAGTCTGTTGTTGAATTGCTGGCGATGCGCGCGGGTTGGTTTGCCGTAGGTTTGATGTTGAGGAATGCTAGGGACGGTTGTCCTTCCGGCGGGCGCTGTGCGACGTCCATCGCTCTTCGGCTGGACCCTCCCGTTGCTAGACACTGGATGCTGCTCGGTAAGGCTCCGCGCGGGTGTCCGTGTAGTCAGGAGATTTGTCTTGCGTTAGAGCACGTGGGAAACTGAGCGTCGGAAGGTGAAGAGCTGAGGAAGGGCTTTAGTGCGGCACTCGTCGAGACGGAGCCTCTTTGAGAGAATTACATATTCAGTCGACCGGTGTAACACTGACAGGGATGGCGTATACCACCGTCAGTACTTTGAGAAAGCCACGAGGTCATTTTACGATTCTGATTGGATTGGCCTCATCCAGTTCTTGCGTGTATAGTTTATCTTCGTACTGGAAGATATTGGAATGGATCGCCGGACCCTCTCGCTTGAACCTATACACGCTTCCTAGCATGCTTTCTTCGTTACGTTTCTGGTCAACTCCCTCCTATCGTTGTCACCTCAAGAGCTCGGGACAGCCACGGCTGCATGCATGAGAAGTGCAAATCGTGACAAGTCGGAACTTGCCTACCTCTGTCTGACTATTGAAGCTGCGTCTTCCCGGCCAGGAGATGAAGTGCGTAGTGGACCGCGGTGCTGCTCCAGTCGAACAGAATATCCGTCGACCTACGCAGTCATTGTTATAGTATTAGCCTGCACACTCTGCGCTATTCGATAATAAACATCAATATTCAGTGAGTTATTCGAGGCGTTGACACACTTTGTAGCAGCCACATCTCTCCTGATAGACGGCGTACAGTGCAACTCACAGAGGCCGTTTGCGTATATCGACGTAGCAGCGAGTATAATAGATCGCTGCTGCAATATGCCGCCGTTACGTGACTACCCATATTGACGTACACAGGCGTATGGCAGGAGCAAACGTCTGATCGTTGTTTACACAAGTGGGTTAGCGCCCGCAAAAACAGCGCTAGTCAACCTCCACCCGCTATTCCGCGTACGCAGCTAATTCTCCGACACCACCGCTATCCTGCCTTCAGATCTCAGAGCCCGACCACTGCTACTCGAGTCCAGGTTGCGCGAGCATACCCTGCACCTACGTACTCAGCTTGGTATCACCGTGTATCGAGCCATGACAGACATCATCAACGCTTTCAAGCGTCTTCCTCGGCCGCAAACTACACCCACTGGCTTGCCTAATCACTGGGTATTTCGGATTCGTCATGTACGTATTCCCGATACCATGCTACCAATCAAATAGGTCACCAGGATGCGGCATCTTCAGGACACGGAATATATAGGACGGCGTATTTCCGTAGCATCTTGCCCTCTGCACTGCGACAATAGTTGTCGACGATCTCCGCCCCAGCTGATCCATCTTGGAGGACCAATACTATTGATGCTTGACTTACTTTAAATACAGGTGCCTTTCGAGCCTCCTGGTGATCTAGTCGTTGCCGTGAATCCGCAGAGCAGGTTCCAGTTGACAGCTGGACCATTCCAGGCTCCAACGACGTTGACCACGAAGGAGAAGGCTGGGAAGATGCTGCCATATCTCTTGGAAGCATTCGTAAAACAAATCCCGGATCCGACCGGACGTGCGCTGGCTGAAGCGAAGGCCCCATGGAGTTGGTCTACTGACGATGCGGCGTTCGCTGCAGCTCTGGAACCTCTATTCGCCTACAATGGATTACCAGAGGGACTTTGCGTCGTACCAGTGTGCAGTGAGGAAGAAAAGAATATCATGAACGATTGCTGGTCGGAATTACTAGGCAGGTTGGCGGAGTCTGTGCGTCAGGATACTCCATCGATGCGCAACCAGTCCTCCATTCAAGCGACTGGCTCTGCTGTCCAGCTCGGTGAAGAAACGCAGTGCCATAATTGCCAAGAGCATCGCAACGACATTGCATCGCCATTGATGAAATGTGGCGCCTGCAAGAAGGCTTGGTACTGCTCCACAGAATGTCAGAAAGCTCATTGGAAGAAGCACAAGCCTGCCTGCGTCGCGAACCGCCCGAGCAGGAATGCGCCTCCCAAAGTATCTGCTGATGCGGCTGCATTGCTCGGTGCTGCTCACACATACTACAATACCGAGGCTCACAAATCTGCGGAGGCCAGAGCACTTGCTGCTACGCTCAACCTGGGACTTCCGTCATCGGCTTCCGACGGTCAAGGCACCATGTAGGCGTTTCTATTCCCTTTGACGATAATTTTCTGACGCATACGTACAGGGCGCCATTACGCCGACTCGTAGTCACCGGAAAAGACACCGCAGCCAACATGCAGTTGCTTTTCGGCCCACAATGGCGGGACAGCCTCCTTCAGTCCTACGACGAAGTTCGCGCCGAGGTGCTAATGAATCCTCCTCGCGGATCTCCAGCCTATTTCAAGGCGGCGCATCTAGACGCCGGCGCTCCAAGCTGGTCTCCTCGACCACCCAGCGATTCCGAGCAGCAGAAGATCACGGAGGTGCGCAAGATGCAGTCGGTGATTCGAGAGCGCGTTGGCGCCGGAAAGTCCCCTTCTATGGACGATATGAAGGCCATTCTGATGCCCTATGGGGCCGAGTGGGCGGGCATCCTACCTCTCTATCAGCTCGCTGTCAACACGATGGATCAAGGCGTCCAAGTGCGCTGAGAGGTCATCGCTCTGATCAGCACTATAGTACAGGTGAGACGGTTCTGGGGTTGCGGTAGTCTGATGCAAAATCATGACGCCAGATCCAGCACGTGCTCTCCTGACTTCCTCGAAAGTTAGCCTTTACAAGAAGCGCGTACAGAGCGTCCAAGCACTTTTTCTTTTCTGGACGTAGCGAAGAATGCAGTTCTAGAGCGTCAGAACAGCTCATCTCATGATAGTTTACTCTAGCGCCACCAGCGTTCATGCACGTTCCGCCACTTGCAAGGCTACTTAGAAAGGTATGCGGTGTATTCAGAGAAAGTGGAAATGTGTACCATGTATAGCAGCACGAACTGAAATAAGAGATCTATATCAACCCCAGTCATCCCCTCGTCCGCTGACCTTAGCTTTCGGTCTGTTCCTGGAACACTGTCAATCCCGTTGTTCTCCCTGTTCTCCATAAACTTCGACAAGCTGACAGACTGACTCGCATATCTGACAAAGCTCCTCAAGAAGCGTGAAGCGTGCTATCCATTGAAAACGGGCATGCATAAACTGGGTCGTCACCCAGGCCTCTGTCGTAGCGACAAGGACACCTGGATCGAAGAGCGTTCATCAGCCCCGCAAGTATCGGGACAAATCCGAGCTGGGGAGTCTGGGGTGATTCTCGGAGAGACAGACTTCCCGGTCTCTATGACAACGTCACATACGACACGCGATTAACACGTGGAAAACCTGGAGATAATCTGAGCTTTTTTACACGAAATACCGGGTCCCTAGCAAGTCCCAATGCTGAAGTATCCTACCTTGGCCTACGCTAGGCCTTCGCTCAATGGTACGGACGGAGTCTCAAAGATTCAACCTTCTCTTCGCGTTCGATGAACGCGGCGATAAGCGTCGTCGTCTTGCGAATTCTCGCTGCGCTGCTTTGAACTCATCTTCCTCCTTGGACTGGGCGCCTCGGCGCTCTGGTTGTCCTTTTTGGCGATTGCCCCGTTTCCGGTGGCTTTGTTCGTGAGATCGTTGCGGGCGCTGATTCGTAGGTCTTGCTGTTTGGTGGTCGCAGAGTCCTGGGCTGCTCGAAGGCTGTGAGAAAGGTGGGATTGGGGAGGATCGAGGGACGGTGTCTCCGCGCTCACATTGGGTTTGAGGAGAGGGGCTGGTTTTGGTCGAGGAGATAGCTTTGGGACCTTGTAGCATCTCTTTGGTTACCGGAAGGATGGCTCCTATCGGGACCTGGAAAGTGGTGGGCGGGGGGTCTTGTGGCTGCCCCACTGCTGGCGGCGCATATTCATGCGAATGCGGAGAGTCAGCTTTAGCAGATGAGCTAGCATTGCGACCTTCATACGTTTCCTTGGTTTCAGGAAGAAGGAGCCGTATCGGGGGCTGCAAAGAGGTGGGCGGAAAAGCTAGTGGCGGTCCTGGCGGCGCATATTCATCCGTATGCGAAGGGTGGTCTTTGGAAAATATTCGATCCAGCTTGCGTTTGGCCTCTTCCGTCGCTTTATCTGCTGCACAATGCGATGGTTGCGGCTGCATAATTGGTAGCTTAGGCAGCAGTGGAACCATAATCGGTAGCTTGGGCAGCACTGGAGGCTTCATTGCGCCGTTGTCTTCCGACTTCGTTACGCCGGGGCGGATGGGCAGTGTCACTGGGGTCTCATCGCGTGGAGCATTTGGTTGATCCATAGTGAATGGTGGTATATCGATGCCGGGTAAAATACTACGAAGTGTATAGCTTTCATAATCAGCAAGCCCAAAGGTCTCTCATGAGAGTGTGGTGGCTTACCTGGTTGTATGACGAATGAGTATTGGAGATGTGAAAGGTTTGTTGTTAAGCTTGCTTCAGTTGTTCACGATGGGATGGAGGTGTCACTGCCTCCTTGGAGAGCTCTTCCCCTGGTTCTTGCGAGCGCCTTCCCTCACAGGTACCATCGAGTCCGATTATCCAGTCTCGTAGACAAGAGTTTCCGACATAGTTCTTGCTTCGTCTTCAGATACAGTACAAAAAAGTACCCAAGCCTGTCGTATGCACAATGATATCGCGAACTACGCTCATGTCTTTCACGCGATGCTCACAACATGTATGACGAAGAGATCTTTATTCTACGCTCTTCATCAATACTGAAAGCTCATGATGATAGAGCACGCTTATGTCCTGTTACCTGATTTTGCTTCCCCACTCGCGTATCTCTTTAACAAAGAGGTTTGGTACCTCCCACGCCGCAAAGTGGCCCCCTCTTTCCACCTCTTTCCAATGCACAATATTCTTGTAGTACCTTTCACACCATTCCTTCGGACCGTAGGTTGTATCGCCCGAGAACCAACTCACGCCAACCGGGAGATCAATCGGCCACGCGGTTGAGTCAAGCTCGCACTCCCAATAATAACGAGCAGATGATGTCCCGGAATTAGAGAGCCAATACAACATAATCGTGTCGAGCATCTCATCTTTACTAAACACCGTCTCCACATTTCCATCGTGATGGGACCAGTCTCTAAACTTCTCATAGATCCAGGCAGCCTGCGCAACCGGCGAGTCAGAAAGCCCATAGCCAAGGGTCTGCGGTCTCGTTGACTGCTGGGTGTAGTATCCGTAATGTCCTATGTCCCGATGGCGGTCCAGCTGCATGGCTCTTTCTTCGCCCGTCTTATCTTGGCATGATTTTTGGGCTTCTTTCTTCGGCTCAAGGTATATGGAGTTCATATGAACACTCTTCAGTCCCTTTGGTGCTTGATGGCCCAGACTTGCGGACACGTGCGCCCCCCAGTCGCCGCCCTGGCCGACCCATCCGCTATCTGCATAGCCCAATCGTTGCATTAACTCAGCCCATGCACGTGCGGTGCGACGGTAATCCCATCCTCCCTCAGTCGGCTTACTGGAGAAGGCATAGCCCGGGAGTGCTGGGACCACCAGATGGAACGCGTCCTTGGGAGAGCCGCCGTGAGACTCAGGGTCGACGAGCTTATCAATTACATGTCTGAATTCTAGAATTGAGCCAGGCCATCCATGTGTAAGGACCATAGGAAGAGCGTTCTCATGCTTTGACCGGATGTGTAAGAAATAAATCTCCACACCGTCAATGGTCGTCGTGAATTGAGGGTACGAGTTGAGCAGTGCTTCACATCGCCGCCAATCGTATTTTGTCTGCCAATACTCGCAAAGCTCTTTAATTATTGCAAGGGGAACGCCCTGAGACCAGTCGGTGACTGTCTCTTTGTCTGGCCAGCGGGTCAAACGAAGACGCGTTTGCAAGTCATCGAGAGTGGATGAAGGGATTGAGAGCTTGAAAGGATGGATAGATGTTGACATGATAACTATCTGTATTGGTTGTTCAGGATCGAGAGCTATGTTTTATAAGATCTACCCAGCCTCAAAGCGATTTCTATTACAAATGCACGAGGAATGCTGTTGACAATGACGTCGACACACAATTTGTCAGCACCACCGCTACAGCCTTCCCCCCCGGGCTCGGGGGCCTAATGTCGGGTATGTGTACGAAAGATCTCTAGATTGGCAGTGGCCGACTCTCATATAAATTTCGTTATTGCAAACTCTCCAATCCTCCCGCCTTGGTTCGATGCTAGGCGCTCTGGCCTGTCGAAGTCTTTGGATTAATCAGCGAGCGTGTTTGCCAAACAACGCCGCTTCGTTGGGCACGACTTCAGACATGATTCTTAGCATTTTCCCTAGTGGCCACTAGGTCGTTATTTTGGGAGCGGTGGGGAACATGTTATTCGTGTCATGGTTCGCGGTTGACACTCCAAGAAGTATCGGATTCCTCCGCCATAGACAATGAGATAAACCCAATCATATCTATGTTTGGGTAAATTTGTGATTTAGGGAACGTAAATAAATAAGAAGTGGGGTGTTATGTGCAGCAGGTGCGCACGTGAGGTGCTTCTCTCCAGGGCTAGACGAAGCGCAGGGATGTTTCCACTCTAATGGCGACGAGTCAACCCAACAGTCCCGGATAGCTGGTATGTAGGGACCTGAACCCAGAGTTCCTGAAGAGCCTTAGATCCTTCAAAATCATGATCCTTCGCACTCTTCGCCATCGTATCATCTCGAACAGCAAGCTGTTGATAATGCATCCACATGTACAAACATGATTGTTATAGCACACACCAAGGCTTTGGAGCTCGCGTGTGGCAGAGCGGTACGTTCATTGAAGTTTTTAATGATGTTTCAGAGCCCACGGGTGCAATGTACTCTCCAGGTTTATGTACAGTGTCCTATTGCTTGGCCTAGCACTATATACGAGACGTTAGATTCTTACTTACAAGTCGCCAGGTACCCCTCCTTCGCGTGGAATTGCCCAAGCTAGTTGCTGCATCTACCTATCGCACCTTCAGCACACAGTCCCGTCCTCGGCTGAGTAGCTACAGTCGCCTCTCTCCACAGTCACATAGCTCTCATTCTCGGATCCCCTGCTCTAAGATCGACGAGGCTAAGATACGTTACTCGGACGCTAGAAAGGAATTTCGAACTGCCTGACGAAGTACAATGTTCCTCCCGCCGCAAAGTAAAATCATCAGCTAGCTTGGCGGATCTTGCATTTACTGCAAAAACGCCTCCGAAATGCATTGGACAGCGACTCGCTTATCGAAAGCGAGCAGGCTACTTGATCACAATGTCTATATGAAGAAAGACACAGAGGGCACCACTTCGAGTGCAGGGTAAGTAATCGACCCATGTCCAGCTGCATGTACAACGTAACACCACTTCTTGAAGCAAAATGCTGATGTTCGAGTAGAACTCCTAAATCTTCCGTAGATGACTGCCAGAGCGTGGTCCAAAGTACGCCCTCCCGCATCGATGTTGCCACTTCGCAGTGCAACATGACCAAACAAAATGACGAATGTGTGAGGATTCAATTCAGCGCTGGGCTAAACAAGAACTAGCCCAGCGTCAGTGATGTTCATGGATCCAATCCAGGAGCCGTATCTGAGCCCAAACTATCCGAACTTGACGATGCAGTAGAGCAGGTTAAGGCCGCAAGAAAGAGTCTCGTAAATGCAGCCAAAAAGCTTAAAAGAATTATGCAAAATATCGAGCCTGCTCATGATGATTTCAAGCATGGATCCCATCGCGATGACCTCAAGAACAGTAAGATCCATCGCAGCATATGACATTTATGCGACGCATGCTGACTATGTACCGCTGTGAAACAGGTAAGTTCAAGTTGATTACAGGATACTTCCAGCTGTACATTGTCGTATTAGTCTTGGGAATTTTCGTCGCAGTAGTCTACGATAGGATATACGGCGAACCTACTGGACCTCTATCTATATTCATGGTGGAATCCCGCATCAGAAACGACAGTAACGCAGGTACCCACAAGGACGACATCAGCGCCCTAGTAACTCCAAAAGATACCAGCCCGGCCCCAGAGATTTGTACTTTCTTAGACATGTGCTGGTTCATGTTTATTGGGTCTCTTCAAGGTATTGCAATGTTGGCTTCGTTCCTTGCTCCTCCCATGGGATTGGCTTGGGTATACATGCGTGTGGATCTTGAGGACTTCTTCGAATTACTCGAATGGTTGTGGCCCGGCGACGAATGAATTTTCTTTGCGGATGAAACAACTTTGGGGTATTGTGCTACCTTGATGGCAAAATGAAATCATCTCGTACACACTTAATCATGTCTTAATTTGAAAGCATTCACTTCTTGTTGCAAGATGTTTGCCTTCACGACAGTGGATCAGGCAACTGATCATGTTTGCTCGGGGCTTGACATTGGTCTCTAGAGCGCTGAAACTTTGTTTCAAAATACACAGCTTGCACGTTCGAGTAGTCCACCTAGGTGAGTCGAACCACTCGCAACAAACAATAGAATGAGCAAGATCATTCTTTCACTGATCTCCACAGGCGTCTAGAAAGCAACAGTAGTGACCTAGGCTTTCACCCACGATCCGTGCAACATCATCCACTTCTACATCAACACTCTCGCACACCACACCACACCAACCCACTCTATCCAACGTTTTTCAACCCAGATAGGTACCTTTACATCCCTAATTTCGTAGTCCGACAACATGACCGACACCAATACCAGCCTCTCCGGTACGCTACAATCCTCGCTAGCCCTAACTTGGGTGGGTTACGAACCAGATGGGGAGACGTCTGACAGCATATACGAGACTCCACCGCCTGAGGTCCGTCGTTCTCCCTCGCCGCTCTTGTTGCCCCGTCCGGACAAAGAGGCTTCACGCCACGGTTCTTCGTCTGCACAACACCCGGACAAAGACTCTGTAAGCGAGGACCAACCTTCGTCTTACCACACCCCGCCTCACTCCCCATCACATAGCCGAACCTCATCTCAAATTCCCTCGAGCTCAACTACGGAACAACTCGGCGCTGTAACTTCCAAGATTTCTCATACGATCGAGGGAATGTTCACCATCCTACAACAGATGCAAGCCTCTTTCGCCAGCTACACCTCCCGAAACTCGCACCAGGAGGAGACTCAGGAGAAGAAGAACGAGCATATTTCCCACCTTGCCGCCAACACACGTGCTCTGCAGGAGAACACGCGCTTGGCTGAGAAGAAGAATGGTGAGGAGGACGGGGAAGTCAAGCGTTTAGAGGATGCCGATATGCAGATGACTGAGACGGAGAAGGTCCAGCGTCTGGAGGAGGCCAACGCGCGCTTGGATGGGGAGAATCAGGCTCTTCGCAACGAAGTGGATTTGCTTAGACGGCAGAACAAGGCGGTGCGGACGGAGTTGCGACGGAACGTGATGTTGCAGGGTAGGCGGTGGATCGGGCGTGACTTGCCTAGGTAGAGGCGAAGGACTGGCGAGTTGTTGTGGGTGTTCGTGATGGACATCCAACGGTGTCGATGGCGGGATTGATCCTGAGTAGTTCACGACACTGAGTGGTTACCTTTTTGCATAGAGTAACATCATGAACAATTCGTTTCGCACGAACAAAGATACCATCTTCCATTCCACACTAACAAAGCAGGGTCTCGGAATCCCAATCCCTGTTCCCTTGCGGATTGACCAACAAAGACAAAGGTAGAGCATAATCCTACGCCGAGCACCAAAACCAATAGTGATACTTGTAGCACGGCTTCCTGACTCATCCACCAACACGCCCTACACAACAATCAATTGCCGAACCAAAGCCACCACTGGTGCGTGATTTTCGCCTTCCCTAATTCGCCTAGCGTCCGCAATAGCATCATCATACACGGACAGAAAACGTCCCACTACGCGGGGTGCCACCGACATCGTCCCAACTATAAAATGTAGTTCCTCCCTCGCAATTGGGATTCCTCAGTCCTTCACTCGTTCCTACACCGAAGAACTCGCAAATTTCGAAATGGCGCAGCAGAACAGAATTGACAAGGGCATCGCGCCAAACATCGATGTCAAAAACCTGAGCTACGCGTTCCCAGACGGAAGCAGCGGGCTCAAAGATGTTTTTCTGGAGTTGCCGCCGGGGAGCAGGACGCTTTTGATCGGAGGTGCGCTTCCCCTTGCCTTTGATTTCCCTCGCACTTTCGCACAGATAGAGATTCAGTGGAATTGACATTGACGCCCCCGCAGCCAACGGCGCAGGCAAAACCACGCTCCTCCGTCTCCTCTCGGGCAAGCGCATGGCCCCCGCCGACACCGTCCACATCGCAGGTGTCGACCCTTTCAAGCTCGGTCTCGAAGGCGTGACATACCTCGGCCTCGAATGGGTGCTCAACCCCATCGTGCGCTCCGACATCGACGTCCCCACACTGCTTGCTTCCGTCGGCGGAAACAGCTGGCCAGAGCGCCGCGACGAGCTCGTGCGCATTTTGGATATCGATTTGAGCTGGCGCCTGCACGCTGTGAGCGACGGCGAGCGGAGGCGCGTGCAGCTTGCGATGGGGTTGCTGAGGCCGTGGACGATCTTGCTGCTTGATGAAATCACGGTGGATCTGGATCTGCTTTCGCGCAGCAATTTCCTCAATTTTTTGAAGAAAGAGACGGAGACTAGGCCTTGCACTATCGTGTATGCGACGCATATCCTGGATAACCTCGCGAGCTGGCCGACGCACCTCGTGCACATGTCGCTCGGCCGTGTGAAGAAGTGGGGCAGCATGGAGGAGATGAATGTTAGAACGGCAGAAGACGAGCGAGTGAACAGCGGGAACAGCCAGTTGGGAGAACTAGTCTTGAGGTGGCTACAGGAAGATTTGGACGAGAGAGGTCCGAGGAATGCGAGGACGCAGGGGAAGACGTACGAGAGTCTGGAAGGGAAGGGCGGGTATGGTCTGGAGAAGAGGCCCGCCAAATGATTGAAAGAGGAGGTGTAAGGGCTGTATTCTTCCGGGCCCTGCTGCATTCAACAATGCAACAGCCTGGGCGGCATCTGCGTTTTGGCGTTCTGTGTCTACTCAACGATGATACCCAATCTCGGCTTTCAACACGGATTTCAACATGGGTAGCATTTCCTGGGATTTGGATTGCATATTCGATATAGGCATATGTATCGGTGCTCTTGCGCGCCGAGCATCGAAACTTCGGTCATTCATTCACATAGTGGGCCTTCGCTCATCCTCTAATCATCCCATGTAACAACCTTCCTCACAAGAAACTCATCCATTCCCTCCCCCGCATTGAACCTCCCCCATCCACTCCCCTTGACACCTCCCATCGGCAAGCTCGGCTCATCATGCACAGTCATACTGTTAATGTGCACGGCGCCAACCTCGAGCTTCTTCGCAATACTTAGTGCCCTCCTCAAATCCTTACTGAATACCGCGGCGTGGAGACCATAATCTGTGGAATTCGCTAGCGTGATGGCTTCGGAGTCGGTGGTGAAGGTTGAGAGGGTGACGAGCGGACCAAAGGATTCTTCGTGGTAGAGCGGGGTTTCTGGGGAAACATCCGTGAGGATGGTGGGGAGGAAGGTTGCGGGGGGAAGAAGGCTGTGTGGAAGGGCCGGCGATGAAGCGGGCGCCGGAGGAGAGGGCTGATGCGACGAGGTCGGCGAGGCGCTGTTTAGAGGCGGCCGAGGAGACGGTGGGAGGACCTGGAGAGGATTTGGAGAAGCTTTCGAGGTGTTGTTGCAGGATTTCGGTGAATTTGGACATGACGGAGGTATGAACAACGATACGGTCGGTGCCCATGCAGATTTGGCCTGCATTCAAGAAAGCGCCCGCCAAACACTCGTCCGCCGCCTTTCCTAGATCCGCGTCCTCCAAAACGATAGCCGTATTCTTCCCTCCAAGCTCCATCAGAATAGGTTTCAAATGGTCCGCACACGTCCTCGCAATCTTCCTCCCTGTCGCTGCACTGCCTGTAAAGTTTACCTTCCTAATCGCAGGATGTTCGATCATCGTATTCACGACCATCGGCGCGTCCTGAGGCCTACACGCAACAACATTGAACACGCCGTCGGGGAGACCAGCCTCCTTGAACGCTTTGCCTAATTCGTAGTAGCAGCGAGGCGTCACTTCGGACGACTTGATGACGGTGGTGTTTCCAGTCGCGATAGCCGTTGCGGCTGAGCGGATACCAAAGACATATGGGGCATTCCAAGCAACGACGCCCAGGACAACTCCATACGGCTCTTTCCATACCATCGCACTTTGCCCTTCTTTCGCAACGACAGGCACACTGCCGCAAACGCTCGATATCCGTCCGGCAATATCCCGACACATGGCGATCGCGAGAGGCGTGACGAAGAATTGGGCTGCGCCTCTGTCGGCACCCATTTCGGCCATCATGTAGTCTGCATATTTTTCTGCCTTGGCCTCGAGGATGTCTGCTACTTTGAGGAGGATGGCGGTTCTGGTACTTGGTTTGGTTTGGGACCATGATGAAAAGGCAGCCTGAGCGGACTCAACTGCTTTTATTGCATCGTCGGCGCTGGCAGAGACGGCTTTCCAGCATAATTCTCCTGTTGCTGGTGAAATAACATCAAAAGTCGATTCATGTTGCACGTCTTGGCCATCGATGAGCAACGGGACGGAATGCGTATTTGCCATGTTCCGGGGAGCGTGGTTTGATTGAAATGACGAATTGTTACTTCGTGCTTGCTCTTCGCTTTTTATCGTCAAAGTGACCCCACGGTGGATTGTCCTTGTCAGATCTGTGATTCCCGTGGCACCGGTAGAATCGAGCATGAATGTAGCAACTGGTGCAACACCTAAGAGAGGGGTGCGCTAACTAAGCGCTAAGACTTACGCCCCTGTAGTCTACTTGCGTGAGATCCTCTCACGACTCATTAGGGAAGGTCGACATGGAACTCTCAAGCACATCGATCATGTCTTCTTGTGCGGCTGTAGGGCCTCTAAACCTAGCTGACGGAACGTTGGCTTTCTTCTTGTTGGTGCCCACAGCTCGTCTATGGGACCGACTCTTGAGATGTAGTTTCCAGTCATTTTCATTGAAAGAAGTTGTCCCGCACGTTTCGCACACGCGCTTGCCCCAAAGATCTGGACGTTGTGATAAATCGTAGTCGCGTTTGGGGTTCAGCATATCGCGTGCGGCTTCGGACAGCGATGCTGGATCTGGTAGAGACTGCCCCAAGAGGAACCGTTCGGTAATGTCGGTCGACGGTCGCACAGCTGCCGCTTCCCATTTGGATACGTCTGGCAAGTCAAGCAAAAAGGTGTTGCCTCCTTGGCCAGCCGCGAGAAGAGCGTTAAGGAGTTTGATCTGTATCCACCGAACTTGTCGCTTGGCATACTGCCTTGTCGCAGCTTGCGTCTTTTCAATGGCTGCTTGCTTTAACTTTGCAAGTTCGGCTTCTGAATGTGAGCCCTCGCAAAGTGCGGTCTGGTAAGCCATAAACTCTTTGTAGCCAATAGAGACCCATATGCCTCGGGTCTGGTCGATCTCTTGCCCAGTACGTGCTTCGAAATCGGAGCGGAAGTTATGGAGTGTCTCCACTTCGGAGAGCAAGCCTTTCTCCAGCATCTTGTCGACACGTGCGTCAAGGCGGGTCGTCAAAACCTCCTTCGATGCATGTACCCAGAACAGAAGAGTAGGGAATCGTAGACTGGAAGTATTGCCCGACTCATCGGCTGAAAGGCCCTTTTTGCTTTGCTGCTCCGAATACACTTGAGAGGCCGGTTTCCCTGTTTTGAGGAAGATCTCCAGCGATCGCTGGATTTTTCGGCGTTCGTTCGGATGCCACCTGTCGGCCATGACCGGATCAACCTCCCTCAGCCTTTTAAGTAAGACCTCGGTAGGCTCATCTAGAACCGGAAGTCTTTCGGATTGATTTTCATCGATCTTGAGCAAAGGCTCCTCGGATAGGGCATCTTTGAAGAGGAGTGATTGCGTATAGTAGTGCGTCCCACCAACTAGTATAGGCAGCTTCCCTCGACTTCTGATCTCATCAATCTAGTAACAATTAGCTGTACAGTTTCATTCTCCAAAAGAACAAGACCCTACCACTCCTAGTGCGTTTGCTACAAACTTCCCCACCGTCCACGTCTCTTCCTCCAGACCAATGCGACCAAGCAGATGATGCGAGACACCCTTCATCTCATCTTCTGTGATCTTGTTTGTGATGATAGGTAGCCCTTTGTACAGTTGCATCGCATCTCCGTTAATAACCTCGCCGTTAAACCTTTGAGCTAGTTCTACGGCCAACTACCTGCTGTGATCAGAGTTGAACATGGCATAGTTCATGTCCCACATACATCAGATTTACCCGTACCCGTAGCGCCTACAATAGCCACAAGTGGCTTTGAAGGTGGAGTCACAGCCATCCTCGCGGTGAGAGTAGAGTATTTTTTGAGTGCGCGAAACATGCATAGATCGATGAATACAAGTGAAAATCTCTTTACAAAGGCCAAAACTGAAACATTAGAGGAAATTTTGACAGGCTAGGAAATCGTGTCGTGTGACTGCAAGTTGTCCGGACTGAAGCAATTCGAAGACGGGGATGACTAGCGCGGAAGCTCGGGCCATCTAAAAGTTTGGAAGGAGCATCATCGCGACTTCCCTCGAGCTCCAACGCCCAACTTCCATCATCAACACTATCTTCAACGCCTTCACGACCCCATCACACCACCGAACTCTTCCAAACCCCTATCACAATGGTCAAACTCGAAGAAGTCGTCGACGAGGAGTTCCTCCGCGAGCAGGAAGGCCCCCATGACGAGGACGACTGGGACACCGACTCGGGTGCGCCTCTATCTCATTCACGGCTTTGTATCATGTAAGACTGACATTAGCCTCTGCAGAATCAGACACATCCTCCATCGCGGACCTCACGCCTGACGAAACCCTCTACGAGCGCGTCGCCGCGCTGCAAGACATCATTCCCGCGCACACGCGCCGCTCCATTGCCTCAACGTACAACACCGCGACCAGCTACCTGAAGAGCGGACTCTCGCTCGGCGGAAAGACGCTCTGGGTCGTTAGCACCAGTGCTTTGCTGCTGGGTGTGCCGTGGGCGCTCGCGTATAGCGAGGAGCAGATGATTATTGAGCAGGAGAAGATGGAGTTGGCGAACCAGAGGGCGCAGAATGAGGTACGTTATGACTTGTGAAGCTGTGAAAGCTGTATGGATGCTAATGGGTGACAGTTCATGGCGCCGAGTGCAGGAGGCCAGCCGCAGGGCGCGAAGCCGGCGTTGTAAAACTTCAGTTCAATTGGGTCGGATCGCGATACGCACGCAAATGTTGACGGCAGTTCTTCACTTGTTTTACTATAGATGGGCTGGAATGGATGAATGTCGCGCAGATACTACGCTGCGACGGACGGAGCACTGTCTTGAATACTTCTGTACATTACTTTAGGGGTCTCCTCTTTCGGGATATAATGCATGCTTGTGAATGGTCTCACAAGAGCACAGAAGAAATCATGCACAAGCGGAGTAATGTAATGCTTCAATGCGACTATATGTACAATGCAGCCAACATTTCTGCTTACATGCTGGCGCTCCAACGATCAATCGTACCCGGTCTACCGTAACCGTAGCCCATTAGATTCAATGTGTGAATACGCCCCGTAACAACGACCAGAAATATGACAGACAGCGGCGAGAAAGTGGAAAAGTCTAATCGTGCAGATCCCCTAGCCAACCGTTCAGATGCGCTTTTGACATGACTGCGAGCCTCACGCTCGCTCGTTGCTCAGGATAAGAAAGTGGTAATACAGCGAAGAGAAGGCGGGTGATTATAGTCGGTACAGTGAGTCTTCGTGTGGCCTAAGCGTTTAGAATGGGATCGAACCGGCATCGGAGGCTGCGCGCTCCTGCTGCTCCATGACGGCTTCGTCTGCGGCATCTATTGAGACGGCGAGACCTAGCTTGGCAGCGCTCTGCTTGTATTAGTATCAACGTGTAATCATAGGGTCATCGAACTTACCGTCTTGTGGTCAATCTCGCCTGAGAATGTGACACGGATGGGTTGCGCAATCATCTTCTCCAACAAGCAGGAAACCTTGCCTGAGTTGTCGATTTGCGCCCTGAATGATGCGGAGCGGAAGTCATATTTGGCACCAATGGTGACCTGGCCCTCCTTTGACGGGCCGCCCATAGGACCGCCGGGACCAATTCCTGCGAAAGAGAGGTTGCAGTTGATACCCGCCTCGACTCTCTCCGACAGCCTTCGCCAGTATGAAGCATCGATAGCACCTCGGTCTGGGATAACCTGTCCGCACGCCATCCAGTCGGCTGCCCTGTAGCGGGCGGCGTATGAGACGGCCAACTCGGGAGGATAAGCCATTGCTGGTCGCGTCCAGAAGGCATCGATACCGAGCGCGAGCTTGGGAGTGACAGACTGCAGGTAGCTGGCCATGACCATGCCTGTGATGCCCCCATCCAGAAGGGAGGGGTTGACAGCCTTCAGCGACGCTGAGAAATCCGAGCCGGTGTAATCGTTCTCGAGCGACACCATGTTGCCCTGGGATGTGAGCTGCACCGAGGCCTTTGAGATAAGCGCTTGAGTCCATCGCCAGTTGAAGCGGCCAGAGAACTGGAGGTCGTTGTCGAGGTTACCTTGCAGGAATATCTGAGGATGTCAGCTCAGGTAGGCAGCACGCGAGCGGCGCGACATACCTTGGGCGAGCCGTAGATGGCAGTGTATGCATATGGAGGCTGGACCTGCGACCCCATAGACAGCGAGTGTGAGACCTGGAACATGGGGGCGGCGCTGAAGGCCTTTGTGAGCTCGGCGCGCAGGCCAGAGAAGCTCAAGTTGTTGAGGAAGACATCGCGCTGCACCTCCTTTGCAATGTTCTCGACGGTCCCCGGGTTCGAAAGCCCGAGAGCCTCTCGCCGGCTCTGGAACGCGGCGTAGACATTGTTTAGCTGCCCAAAGGCGCCGTTGTGGGTGATGATGTCGTTGACGGCCTGCTGCTGCTTCTCTCCGATCTCCATGGCGGCTGTGAAACGGTCCGGTGGGGGACGAAAGATGTGTATCAAGCTGCGTTGGTAGGTCACGAATGCGCGCCAATTGCGATGGAAACGGCGCGATTGAGGGAGGAGGAAGCTATTGGAGGATGGAGATGCGGTCCTGATGATGCTTCGAACTTTTTCCCGTGAAGGAGAGCGCGCCAAGCATTATGCCGTAAACGCGCTAGCGCACCTTCCCATCAGCGAGCCAACAAATGACGCCGATGATGTGACTTCAAGCCGCTTTAATAGGGCTCGTTTGCGGGACCCCATCGTTCGCAGTGTAAAGGCAAACGAACATTAACAACACAGACGCTTTTTAGTTGAACCTGTCAATCAGCCATCCCCTCGCCGTACCCTGGTCCGCTCGCCTGCTGGAAAGGTACCCGGCAGCCCGACACATTGGTTGCGGCCGTCCACACGTCCCAATTCGCAACCCGAGACAACCTCCGACCTGTTTTTGTATTGCACCGCGCCTGACTTCAATTTTCATTCTTAACTCCCTCGATTTGATACTTTCTTATCACTGGTCTTTGGAGTCCGAGTCGAAAATGGATACCCTTTTGTAAGTCCTCGGTTGCCCCACGTGCCGCGGAGTGATGCATGGGTTCTTCACTTGTGTCACGGTGAAGGTGATAAGCTTGAGGTAGCAACAAGACTCACCGTTGCAGGACTGCTGAAATCTACGCCAACTCACCCCGCTTCCGGCGGCGGTCGAGTACCTTTGTTGATGCCATCCACGACCTGCCCCAGAAGGAGGAGATGGCCCCAGCCCAGCTTTACAGCACAGAATCAGGTCGACTTTTCCACTCTGGGCGTATTGTGATTGCTACCGTCGGCCTGCCCGCCCGAGGTAAGACACACACATCGGTCGCCGTTGCTCGCTACCTACGATGGCTGGGTGTCAAGACTCACGTGTTTCACTTGGGCGACTATCGTCGCGCAACGCTTGGCCCTGGCAAAGATGTCCCCGATGACTACTTCTTCTTGAATGCATCTCCACAGTCGGTTTTACTGCGGAATAAGATCCTTAAGAAGTGCCGCGAGGACATTTACCATTTCCTCGAGCACGACAAGGGCCAGGTCGCTATCTACGATGCGGTCAATGCCATCTCCATGGGCCGGAAGTCGCTAGCAAAAGAATTTGCCAAAAACGGTATCCAGACCATCTTCATTGAATCACACTGCACCGATGAGCGTATCATTCAGGAGAACGTGCGTCGCGTCAAGATCTCATCACCTGACTATCAAGGATGGACCGATGAGGACGCCGTTCAAGACTATCTCGCCCGTATCAATTCCAGGATACCGCACTTTGAGACGATGGAAGAACCAGAGCTACACTGGATCAAGATGATCAATGCCGGCGAACGTGTGGTGGTGAACAGTTGCGCGTTTGGATACTTGTCACAACGAATCGTCTTCTATCTTCTCAACCTGCACATTAAGTCACGGCAGACGTACTTCGCTCGCGCCGGGACTACACGAGACGAAGACTCGTACAAAGCCGACGCGTCGTTGTCTCCTGAGGGCCGTGACTACGCGAAGAAGATGAGCGAGGTGCTGATGAAATATCGCGAGGAAGAGAAGGAGAATTTGATCGCCCAAGGCGCGCGGGATGCTGCTCTGAAACCACTCACCATATGGACTTCGACCCGCCGTCGAACCGTTCAAACTTCAGAATACCTAGCATCAAAGGGATACCGCGTGAGACAGCGATCGCAGATGAGCCAGATGAACCCAGGCGTGTGCGAAAAGATGTCCGAAGCCAAGATCCGCCAGGAGCTCCCCGACGAGGTAGCCAAGCACGAGCAAGACCCGTATCATCATCGATATCCGCGAGCAGAGGTAGGTCAATCCCATTTGTGGTTTCGAAAGCATACTAACAAATTAGTCATATCATGACCTTGCAGTACGCATGGAGCCTATCATTCTCGAACTTGAGCGGGAAGAGAACGATCTTCTCATTATTGCGCACGAATCGGTATTGCGAGTGCTTTACGGCTACCTTATGGCTTGTAATGCTGCTGACATTCCTAAACTCGAATTTCCGCGAGACGAAATTATAGAGGTATGCCGATCACATCTATCTTTCAATACACTGTATCAAGCTGACTGGCTCAGATCATCCCCTCCAGCTACAACAACGTCGCCAAGCGCATAAAGATACCTGACCTCCCCGAAAGCATGGTTCCCCCCAGCCCCGAAGATATCCAAATGCCCGTCCCGCCCAGCGGAGCTGTAAGTCCCTTCTCCGGCATTGGCACACCACAAGCCGGCTCTGGAACCGCTACACCGCAATTGACCGCACCCCAACCCCTTAACTTGAGGAAGTCACATATCAGCCCGTCCGACTGAGCTTGAGGTTACATATTGACGTGTATGGCTGAGCAGGTCCGCCATCGTTATTGCTATGGTGCTACGTTCGATAACGAGAGGCTGAGCCAGCAAACGGACATTGATTCCAATTTCGACTGATCGACTTTTTAATGAGCTTATGAGGTTTGCATGGGTTTTAGTATATATTCAGGGTAGGCGTTTGACATGGCGAGCGAAGGTGTAGGTTGCGGTTGCTTTTTAAATTAAACAAAGACTCCTGAATACCTAGACGCTCAAATAGACATTCCCGCCAGTCGTCCCTCTTCTTGTCCACGATATGTCTCACCTCGACACGAGTCATGCCCGATGAGTAAGCAGCGGAATTCCACGCGTACCATAACCCACATCTTCCTTCCCCAGACCACATCCATGTGACAACTCTCCAGGTCACTTTCAACCCACCACTTCATCCTCCTGTATATACAAATCCCTTACTCCAGCTCAAACCAACCACATCTGTCAATATCGACAAGCCAGCACGATTCAACACTCCACCTCCTACGCGCTTCTGAGCGCCTCGGTGAGAAAAGCCTCCTTCCACTTTCTCCGCCTCATCATATCATCCTATCTCTATAGAGCATCTACAATCCCCTCCGCCATGCCCCCTCCGCTCCCCTCCCTCGCCCCTCCGCACCCTCCTCCTCACAGAAGGCACTCTCAAACTCATCTCCGCAACCATATTCATCCTCTCCCCAAGCACCATCCTCAAAAACCTGACGTCCCCTCCTTATTCCCCGTCTCCACATCTCTGGTCCGTGCATTCGGCACGCAAACCCTTGCCTTCGCCATACCACTCTTCCTCGCTGCGCGCAGCGACACCAAGAACGTGGGGAGCAGGAAGATCGTTTATTGGGCGTGTTTGGCAAGGGAGGGGCTTCTGGCGGTGGGGCTCTTGGGGTCGATGCTGGCGGTACGATGGGAGCGGATGGGCGGAGAGCTGGATGAGAGGGCCATTGAAGAGGGCAGTGTTACAGAAAAGCGTGGGAGGGACGAGGATGAAGCGGAGGGGAAGAGGAAGCTAGTGCGTGGGATGTGGTTGTGGGTCGCTGAGCTAGTGCCGTTTGTGGTGGGAAGGATGTGGATTCTGGGGTGGAGGAGTGAATGGTTTGAATAAGGATGTGTGAGAGCAAATGGTTACGAGACTTCCTTCATAGATCGCCAGGGGCGTGAAAATGCATGGCAAATCACAGTCACAGGAAAGAGAGAGAAGTGTATCGACTTAAGGGACCAAGAAATGAGTGTGATTTTCTAACTTTTCTGACGCTTGAAACAAATGCGTGATAAGAGGCGCATCCACTATTAGCACACGTGGCCCGATGCCAGCGTATCCTGACTTAACGATTGATCTAACGCTAGTAGCGGCCGGAAAGTGGCCTGTGGAGAAGAGCTTTTGGGCACTATGGTGATAAGACAGTATGTGGTCTGGTGCGAGCATTGCTCAGATGTCCCACTTCCGATTCGATACGACTACCAAGCGGTCGGAAGCTGGCTTGATATCCCACAACAACGACACCAAGCTCTACCACGTCTTCTAAGCCGCACAAAAACCAAAGCGCCGGCACTCTTGAGCCGGAAGTGGTGTCGTGCAAGAGGCTAATTGAGCTAATTGCAGTGCCAGTACAAAACTGTGAGACAATCTCTCCGCGTCGGGAAGCCGGAGAGCTTGGTGTGCCTCGACCTATCGTGAACACGTAGGCTGCCTATTGTGGTCCGGCGAAGAGCGAGTACGCTTACGTCGGCGACGGTGGAGGTTGTTCTAGTACATGAAACTCAATCCTAGGATGTAAAGCTGTTGTAACGCAATCAGTCATAGTTTGCCGGTCCGCCAATCTGGCTCGCGAAAGCCGTAGAGACGCTCCTAGCGTCATCATCATCGGCGCCGAGTCCTCGGAGACCGCGGTTGCCGACGTAGTTGCCAGGAACATTTTCGTTTCGGCGCGTAGACTCAACGAATCGGTTCAAGCGATCAGACTGGCTCAGAGATGTAGGCTTGTTGTAATCGTTCAGGTTCAAGCCAGTTAGACTGATGCCACCAGGGCCGTCGGCAATGCTGCTCCGTGTGTCCGTCATCTCGCTAGCAGCGACCGACTCGCCAGCAATGCTAGGAGTACCGTTCTTCTTGTTGTGCGCGCCGTTGCGGCCAGGCAAAGGCCAGCTATCCTGGAAGTTCGAGAACATAGGAGGATAGTTGGAAGGCACGTTGACACCGCCACCGCCGAGGGCTGAAGAGTGGACGGAGGAAACGTCATCAGGAATGTACCCAACAATGGAACCATTGTCGTTGTACTCTTGACGTTTGTTGCCGTTCCATCCAGCGGGTTGGCGACCAGAAGTCATCGCGTTGGCGTGCTGATAAGCCATCTGGTAACGCTGGGGACCGCGGTACGATTGCTTCGGACGGCTGAACTGAAGAAGCGATACCTGCAAGTTCGTCAAAGGACCTTCCACGAGACAGTTGCGCTCTTTGAAGTGGAGAAGGAGATAATGCCACAGCGGATGCTTCGAGAGGACCTTCGGGTTGCCTAGAATGACCAAGCCGTACTTGGCTCGCGTCAGAGCCACGTTAAGGCGGCGAGGATCACTCAAGAAACCGATGCCTTGATGGTCGTTTGAACGAACGCAGGAAAGGATGATGAAGTCCTTTTCACGTCCCTGGAAAGCATCAACAGAGGCAACCTCAACCTCCTTGTAGTTCTCCTTCTTGAAGCTTCCCGTAGCCTGCATGGAGCTGACGACGTAGCTACGTTGTCCCTCGTACGGCGTAATGATACCGATATCGCCAGGAAGGACACCAGCTTTGAAGAAACGAGTGACGATCTTCTCTACGTTCTGAGCTTCCGTGCGGTTTAGGTAGGACGTTCCAGAGGCTGAGATTTCTTCCGCTCCGATGTTGGACCAAAACATCATTGGATTATCGCCAACGGGCCAAGGGAAGTCCACATCGCGACGAATACGCTCCTGCATCGTGACACCGTTCTGCAGAGAACCTTCGTAGAACATGTTTGAAGGGAACTCGGAAAGGCAGGGATGCATACGATACTGAACCTGCAGTCGGATCGGAGAGCAACCGAGAATGACCAGTCGCTCAAATAGAGACTGGTTGAGACCGGCCGTTGCCGCCTTCTTGTTCATGATGACGGGTCCAAGTTGCTGATGATCTCCAACCAATACAACCTGCTTGCAACCTAGGACGAGCGGGATCATGCATTCGGGCTCTGCCGACTGGGTCGATTCATCAATCAAAACGGTCCTAAACTTCATCTTAGAAAGACGAGGATCGCCGGCACCAACGCAAGTGCAGCAGATAACATCGGCTGCGTTGAGAATCTCTCGCTCAGCAGCACGAGTAAGCTGCTTGAACTTCTTCTCGTCCTGGCTCGAAAGTTCTCCGACGTCACTCTTGAGTTGGTTGAGTTTGTTCAACTCCACGTTCGTATCGTTCATGCGGACCTGTTCGTGAAGCGACAAGAAGTTGACCGAAGACTCAACGTCTTCCCTTGACTTAGCGGTGACACGTACTGTCTTCAACCCGGTCAAGTGGATGCGCTCACATAGCTGATCCACCGCAACATTGGAAGGAGCACATACTAAGACCGGACCACCATTGATCTTGCACAAGTGGTAGATGATGGTCGCAGAAGTGACAGTCTTGCCGGTACCTGGGGGTCCTTGAATCAAGCTCAATGGCTTCTGTAGCACGCTCTTAACTGCGTTAATTTGGCTACCGTTCAGCTCAGGCAGCCCCGGAACGCTGAATTTGCGGGGCAGTTGGATTTTCATTGGCGCAGACGCAACCTCGTGGCCCAAAAGGCGGTGGAAGATATAGCCTGACACGCTCATCTCATCAATAGCGAACGTCTTCATAGCGTGCTGCATGCGATCGAATGAAGTAGCTTTCCAGACATAGTCGGCGCTGAAGTTGTGGGTGCACTCGGTCGGCACAGACTTGTGATCGCCCTTCGTCCGCAGCTCGATAGTGACTTCGTCGGATTGGTTGTTCGGGATCTTGATCACATAGCCGACACCCTCCCAGTGTGGACGGAGCTCTCCAGTGTACCGTAGGCGCATCTCATCGCCTACAGCGAGCTTTACGTCACCCAATTCGAGCTTTGGCAGAACGAAGCTGGCAGTGTGCTTATTGTTTAGAGCCATGTCCCAGCGCACAACAAGTCCATCCTGTGATTGTGACTCCTTCAGCTTGCGATCGTAGTCGGCTTCAATTTTGACAAGCGGCCCAAACACGTTCTGATATTGAAAAGCATCGTCGTAGCGGAGTAGGACCTTGGCAATAACCTCCTCTTGACCAGCTCCCTTCTCTAGATCCGCAATCGTGGCAGTCGCATTATCCTTCCAGAGTTCCTCCAACTTGGCAATCATTTGTGGGCTGAGATGGCGGGCGCGGAGCTGCTCTTGGTCGGTCGGAGGAGGTACGAGCCAGGGAAGGAAGGAACGGTCCTCAATTAGCGGCTGCCAGCGCGACGTGTCCCAGTTCATATCTTTCTGCGAGGGCATGGCGGCGCATGGCTGACGACATAGCAGCACCACAACAGTGTCGGATTTGGCGGGTATGAAACCGAGCAGGAATACGTTCTTGGTGCCGCAGTTGTAGCATTCGAGGATAGTGTCGCCAAGTGAGGAAAGCGGGTGCAGCTGCACCTCCTTGTGGCGAGCCCGGACGAGGTGGTTGATGATGTGAGAAGAAGACGTATTGCCGCGGGCGCTGCAGAACCACTTGCTGCAGGCCAAACACTTGACAACGCTGCCGGCGTTGTGGATGCCACAATAACTGTCCTTCATTTAGTCGTACTCCGGCCGAGGGCTACCGTACTTACGCGCACGCATGTCCCGGGAGCTCGACCTCTTCCTCCTGTTTGACGCCGCCTTTTCCGTTCGTTCCATCTACAGGCATGCTGACCATGCTCTCCAAGTCATCGTCATCGTCGTACATCTCCGTCTCTTCGTCGTCCATACGTCGTCTG